ATTGCCAGAATATCGCGATATTTAAGGTCATGACAAAAAAGACATTTTTTGGCAATTATGTCCACAGTATATGTTGAAAATCGATCTAGTATGATTTGTTGTATGTGACGTCACTACTAAAAAGGTCTGTTTACTTTTACGATTTGGAATATTTTTGGCGAATACTACCAGCAGGCCAACGAGAGCAAAATTACCGAATCTTAGCATGAATAAAAAAGTATCTACCTACCTGTTTTTATAAAAATCGACATAAATATATTTAACAATTTTTGGAATCTTCTAAAATGATACGCCCATGGAAATGCATACCCCGCACGCGTTACCCGTTGTATAGTCTACATTCTACATGGTAATCAGTCACTACCTACTATTTTCAACTTGGAGCATATGCCTAGTAATGCCTATCGAGCAAAAACGTAGAGGATATTATTCGTATTACTGAAAAGTTCTCCGTTACTTGTTTTTCCACGGCTTATAAGTTGCATACAGTTGCACAATATTGACTTTACACCCTTGCAAACCTCATAAGAGTTAAATACATCTGCTATTTTGAAACTCATCAGCGCAGAGTTATTGAGGATTATGAATAATTCCAGTGGCGTTCCTTCTGACGTGCGTAGTTATATACGGAGTGACGCAATTACCTCTACATAATGTTTCACCCATAAGTGAGCAAAATAGAGCAGTTTATGCAACGAATTTGTAACGTAATAGGTGAGCTAATATAACAAAGTACATACGAATATTCATTATTTAAAGACTAAACAATTCTGAAATGGTAACTTATAACAATTATAGAAATATTTTCCTTTATATCTAATATTTTTTTGTAGAATGGGATACCTTTAGTATCTATTTATGAAGCTACCCTGAAATTTTCTTTAGTTAAGAAAACTTATAGTGACGTTTTAATATACTGTACTGTACCTAAAGAGAAGGTTTGTTTAATTTTTTTAAGTGCATCCATTCAGATGTACATTTTTAGAACCTCTGTCAACTTATATTTACCTGCACACCAATGAGTTGCAAGTTTGACAATAATGTTTTAACACAATGTTTAAAATGTATGTAAAACATTTAAGATTCACCCGGTATATTGTAAGTACCTAAATGTATTTAGAAAATAAAAACATTGGGTAAATCCTTACATAATTAATAAATATTTTTAATAGTATGTATTATTTTTATCGCAGTGTTAATTATTGTTAACCAAATCAATGTTAAATTATATATTAAGCAAGATGATTCAGATTTCAATAAATTCTGACTGTGCAGAATACATAAGTCATGTTTATTTTAAACCATTATTACAAATAAAAAACTGGCAAGGAAAACTGTGATCAGAACCGGACTATAAAATTGTATGTCAGGGCCACTTAGTACTTGTTAGATAGATTATGTAGACACCAGTAAATTGCATATAATAACATAAAATGAAAAATAATAACGATATTAATGAAATAGTTAAATCATTGTTATCGTCTGTGGAGATATGTTTTAGAATTTTTCCACGTACGTTACTGAAATTACTAAAGTACAAATTATAGGTAGGTATTGTATTTATAAATAAAATAACTGACGTAGAATAACCTTGGATTATATGTTTTTAAAAAAACAAAACCTATATGCTTTTTTATTCTTAATTTACATTTTTATTTGCTAGATTTTTAGTTCTCAATTCCTAGTAACAAAAAATTGACAGTATCCATGCAAACGTTGCAATAAATTGGCCAATAGGCCAATATTTAATGTTACCAACCTTAAAATATAAAGCAAACCATAAAACATAACAGACATATAATTTATATAGACTTACATAAATACAATAACAAAAATGTATAACTAATTGTAAGTAACTATTGATTAAATATTTAAATTAAAAATAGGTACTAGGTACTTCTACCACTTACAAATACAGGGGAAGACAAGGAATTATCTAGTAAATGCCATTTCGATAGTAAGAAAAGTCTATGCAATTTGTGTTTGTTTATATTTAAGACAAACAATAGAACCAAAATTTTTCTCTCCCCTTTTGAAATGCCATAAATCCGCTGGGAAGAGGAGCAGGCGGTTTTTTAATTTTTTTTTAATTTCACCTCAATTTTTTTCCATTTGTTTACTTACACCCTATATTCTTAGCAGTGTTTAGAATGTTATGCTTCTTGATACAAACTACGCCAATGAAGTGCAAGTATGTGTACCTGAACATTTAATACTTAAAATTTCAAGGCTAACGGTTTATTTCACAAAAAATGTGCTCTTAATTAATAAATAAAACAAATAGGTATACCGAGATGGACTAGATGCGACCTATTAGATATTATTAACATTATAAAGATAGATTTGTATTTCATAACTATAGACATACAGGGTGACCCACTTAAAATGGCTTCTTCCATAGATCTTGCAATACCAATACAAAAGCGTCTTAAATAAAAGTTATAGGTACCAAATCAATTTCTAAACATTTTGAAATTATTTTCGATTATTGCAATTGTTCTGGGTGTTATTCACCTTCATTATTTTAATTGAAACACTATATATTATAGCATCTTTTAATTTACCGCTGAATTAAAGTCCCACTGCGATAAACAAATATTGGATCTAATTTGTAATTGTTCCGGAGATATTTGATGTTTTTCTTAAATTTTTTTGCAGAATCCTCGAAAATATCAAAAATATTAATTCAGATAAAATAAATACAATGAAACAAAACTGCAATATAAAATCTTAGAGAAAGGAGAATTTAATACTAAGCTAAATTGATTAAAATATTCTATTACAATCACAAATCCCAGACATGTGTACTGATTTAGGTCTGCAGTTTGTCAGTTTACTGTCCTCTGCAATGCATCTAACTTTTTATTTTTCTTAACTTTATACATATATATTTTATTTACGTACGTTATATTTAAAATACAACTTTGTTTTACCATTTTCACCATCCTTTCTATTTTATTTTTATTCAAAACATTGTTCTATATTGTTCTATATCTGTCTCCTTATTGATGTAAGGCATATTGTCAGATTATGTGATTGTTCATTAAGTGATAGTAATATACTGTCTATTATACTTAAAAATAGATTCGCTGCAGATTCTTGGAGCAAAAATAACATTTTTCATTTAGATCCTTCTTTTAAAAAAAAATTTTTGTAAACATTGACCCACTCGACTTTTTCGAGCACTACATCAATTTCGTAGCAGTATTGTAACTTCATTGAATACATAATATGAGTTTTTTTGTTTACGCTACGCTTAGAGATTGATATTCTTTAAAAAAATTGTATTTTGAAATAATGACCTTGTATCTTAGTAAAACTTGGTAACCGTTTTCTTAATTTCCTTAACCTTATTTTAAAAACTAGATTAAAATAATACTCAACTTTTAAGATTAAATCTACTCGTGTATCATTATTTTCATAAATTTACTTTATATAACTTTACCAAGTCCAAACACCATTAGAAATAGCTTAAAAAAAAACATGATAGAGATAAAAATTAAATATTTACTAGACAAACGTTCAAAATGGAGCTACGTAGACCGCCATCTCATTTTGAGCGTTTACTGCGAAGGTAGGCCAAGGATGATCCGTTTTATGGACTCCTAGACCGCCCGACCTAAATCCATTTGAGTTTTTCAAGAATTCATTTATACGACACTCGTAAATACTAGAAAAGAAGATCTGCTGAGAATAGCACAAATTCCTAACAATTCTAGAATGTTATTTTCTGTGCACCGGGAAAACATTCATACAATTTGCCTATTTCTCATTTTAAATTTTTATGTTCTATTACTTCTATTATGTTTTGTTATTTTACTATTTTCCTAAGCTATGATCAACTCTTTAAGGAGTTTAGGACTCATTTATGACGTCATTGCATCGTCATAGTCTTGAATTTACCCCTCTCGTTTGTCTGTCATCCTCTGGTGAATAAGGTAACTAAGTATCGCAAATTTATTTCTACGGGCTGCAGATCGATTAGAAAAAATAAAAATATTTATAATCATTCAACTGTCATGTTCGTATGGATAGTAACTTATTTTTATATTTTCACGTAAACGTAACAAATGAATATTAACAAATTATAAAAAGAAATTAACACGACCTAAGGTAACTTTATATAGATAAATAAAATTTTACATAAAGTTGGGTAAGTTCTGTATAAGGTTTTATTTTTTTTTAACGCGTACTGCGTTAAGTTATGTGAAAACAAGTGAAGTATTTTTATACCTACATTAAATAAATTAAAATTTAACCTGACCTAACCCAACTTTATATATTCTGATACATTTCTACATAAAATTAAATTAGGTTAGGTTAAGCTCTTATTTACATATTTAAGACATAAAAAACTTAACCCTACTTTTTGGAGAAATCTATCAAAATATTTTGACATATCATATAGATTAATACAGATTCTAAGAATTGGATATTTATTTTCATATCACACGACACGCACGAATGGAAAAGCAAAGTAAATTTACAGCACTTAGTAACCTTATTTCAGACACATAAGACAAAGATAACAGACGGGAGAAAGTTGGAGATGGAAGCGATTTAAATGCGAAATCATGTACAAATCAATGACTTTTTTAGTTATTTTTCTTAAAAAAAACGAACATATGTTTCTAAAGAATTATTAGATTTGCAATAACAGTATTTTTACAGATATATAAAGAAACAGTGTTGTTGAGGACTGTTGTGTTAAATATACAAATTTAGAAAAATTCTCGAAAACTTCAGATTCGTATTCAGCATCATCGAAAAAAACTTCGTGAGGGTTTTAAATTTTTACGCTATAGTAAATAATTGCAATAATTTTAAAATGTAAAGAAACTGATTTGGTGTGGCTTAATTTTTTAGATTTTTTTGTGGTATAGATATTACCTGAGCTACGAAAGAACCACGTTAAGTGTGACACCCTGTACAATATAAATGCCGCCTTATTCGCCGTGTATTGGGAACTAGTTGTGTGCGAACGGGGGGCGGAGGAACCACTCACCTTACCACTTCCAACAGCACCAACATCAAAGCACAGCACAACCATAACATTCTAGTGTCTAGTGCTAGTGACTAACTGTATGTGTACCGGGCACCTGTTAAATACGGTTGTGAGCTGTTCATGCGATGCGTTATTTAAACAATTGATTTTTACCTTTTATCGTATAGTTTTAAGTGTTGAGCCGCCGATATGTCGCACCCCAAAGCTCGACTGTGCCACATACAAAAGTGGGACCACTTCGACGGCTACGGTTTCAACCTGCACGCAGAAAAGGGTAAACCAGGCCAGTATATAGGAAAAGTAGACGAAGGATCTCCGTCCGAGGCGGCTGGTTTGAGGCAAGGCGACCGCATCTTGGAAGTCAACGGAGAAAGTATTGCCAACAAAACACACAAACAAGTTGTGGAACTCATCAAGGCTGAAAACGGCGAAACGAAACTTCTCGTCATTGACCCTGAGGACGACGGGATTATTCCCACCGAAGTAGAGAAGAATTCTGAAAAACAGAACGACCACCCCAAGAAAGACAAGGAACAGGACAACGGCCAGCTCAACCTGAGTATGACGGCTGCTGAACTTCGAGCTAAACTGGCAGCTAGAAAAAAGTTCGACCCAAAGAAAGAAGCCATGGATTTTAAGCAAAAGTTCGATATCGTACAAAAACTGTAACAGTGCAACGTTTTTCACACATGAAAACTTATTTAAATATCTGCAGATTTCCATTCGTGCTAGTGACCTTGTCTGTTCAGCACATAGGTGTTACATAAATCATTGTGGTACTGCTAAGTGATGCGGAACTAACACTACTATATCTTAATTTAAAAAAATATATATTCGAAAAATCTAGTATGTACCATAATTTTTGAGATTATCGTAAATATTTCGTGTTTAAAACACGTTTTAAGGCTTAAATTATTCAGGTGGTATGACTAAATACGTCCACATCGCAATTTGTATTTTGTGTAGGTACTTGGTTGGTAGTTACAAGAACAGGTCCAAGCAAAACCTGTCGAAAATTCCTTAACTAATTATAATTTTTCCTTGTTTTATAATCCGCAATTTTAAGTTTTAAAGTGTAAAAATTTGGCATGCATGTTTAACAGAGATGTGTTCTTTCACGCCTACCTATGTATAAATAATACATAATACATGCCAAACAATTTTTAAATTCAACTATGCCTCGTTTTATCATATTTATTGCCCAAAAATTAGACATGTATATTTGTGTCTATAAACGCAGGATTTTTTGACTGATGATAAAAGATGTAATTCAACATAATTTTGTGTTAAACATTCCATATTAGGTAAACTAGTTAAAACCAAAAAAATAATCGCAGGACTTATATCACTTGTTGAAACGCAAAAATAAATAATATTTATCAAAAGAAGTGGAAAAAAGGGTAGGAATATGGCATCATGTTAAAAATCATCAAAAAACCGATATTAATTTATGTCTAAAAATATGATTTTAAAATATTGTGTAATGAGGTTTAGTGTATATCGCATTTGTTTTATTTTTTATTGTTTTTGTGATTTCAGATTTTTAACAGTTTCTGTTAAATCACGGTTGTTATCTTATATGTATTCGCAAAATGCAAAAAAATTGGGGAACGCAAGCATGACTAATGTTTTCAGACGCATGGTTCTGACCAAAGCTATAGTTCTGTTATCGGAAATTGAGAGATAATGTAATCATAAAGTTTTTTGTCGTTATGAATTTAATAATAACAGCGTTTAACCAAACTATATACAATGAAAACGGCTATTAAAATTTTGGTCAGTACGTGCAGTTGTAAGAAAATTTTTGTGGTTATTTAGCACACATTGTTTTCTTACCGCTACCTATACGTGACGCCATATTGTCAAAAAAGCAACAATATTTATAATAAGTGTGTATTCAACGCATATTCGATGATTCTATTTTTGTAAAATATGTTATATAAAAATGAAATAAATTTTTTAAATTTATCACGTATACCTCCATTTTTTACCTTGTTATTAAAATGTGGAATAATCCTTATATCCTTCTTCACTGAAGTGGGTGAAGGTAAAAACATCACGGAAATATTTATAAAATATGTCATTATTACTCACTATTCTAGGTATTATTTAAATTTTGTTGTCAATTACACGTATAATTAAATGAAATAATGTATCTACTTTTTTTAACCATGGGAATACAGCATTACAAAATGAATATTTATTGAAATTGTTTATATACTTACATATGTTGAAAGTAAACAACAAACATGCAAGTGCAGTTACTACAACAAATGAGGTCGAATTTGGGTATTGATAAAAATTTAGCTTACAGCTAAATTTATATTTTAGTTAAACAAAACGTAACAAATCTAAAGTTTAATTTTGACAATAAAATCAAATACAATATTAAAAGTTCTTTCAAAAAAATTTCTTGCTGAACAAATATTATTTAAAAATCCAGCTAATGTACATATTTTTTTTATTTACTTAGAAGTTCCAATACAAAATGAATAAAAAGTTCATTATTGCTTGAAATTATTTCAGCAGGAACTTTTTAACTTTAACTAGGTACTGATATACTGCTTGTTTGGTTTTTATATGGAAAACTCTTTAATACGTGAATAAAAAGGAGCGACGAGGTTGGCCATGATTAAAAACTAATGGATTACTAAACAACAGTTGGTGCCGTTATTTTGTACAGCAATCTAGGGAGAAAAAAATCAATTGTTCACTACACTGAGATAATTAGAAAATTTTCCCCTGCCCCCACCCCTGCGGACTGCCTCTTCTTTGTTTTTTGAATAAGTATAATGTTTCACCTAAATAAATTATGTAATATTTGGCGACATGTTTTATAAAAAATGCGAAATACCCATTTTTTGAAAAAGTTTCTATTTACCAACGACTATGTGAATTTCGATTTCTCCATAGTCAGTTAGATATAACAATGGCACCTAATTTTGTCCATTTGTTTTTTTGTCAAGGTCAACTTAAAATATAACATTGATCTAACTCAAAAACTAAAAAACGTATTGAAAATCTGTTTTCACCTGAAGATTTGAAAATGGCCAACGGTATTCGTAATTAAATATGATTTAAATAGTATTATACTTGCGTATTTTAAAACATTGATTACTGATTACTGAATGTACCATTCTATTACATTTTTGACACTACTGTGAAAAATGAAATATTTCACGCACTAGTGCGTAAAATAGATTGTTCATAATTTAATTCATATGGATATTTCGGTAGTAGGAAAGGTATTGTACGCAACTATGTATCTCTTTTGCATATTGTGCACTTGTGAAAAAAGTGGCAGGTACTTCACAGACTTGTTGCATAAATAACTACTATTTTTAGATATACGAGAAATATATCCAGTAAAATATAATCAATATAACGATAATCGTTTTATTTATTTTTCAATATTATAAATATATTATTTTGATTATGTAAATTAAATGTATATTCTATTTTGACTTTTTATCACAGACAATATAGCTTAAGCGATAGCTACTTTACTTTTATACTGTATTCTCTCATTTTTTCTCAATCATAAAAATTACGTAAATGTTTTTTCGTCTAATCTTCAATTCAATTGCCACAGAATAATGTTCAGTGATTAAAATAATTGTATGATTCATTTAAAAATGAACAACAAAAACAGTATCAAGAAAATGTATGAATCAAACCGTGACACAAAAAATGATTTCGGTAGTTTTAGATACCTTTTAAAAGCTGAAAACAATCAAATGCAATTAAAAAAATTTCTGGAATCCATTACCTAATATTTGATTAGTGTCAGAGAACAAAAATATATAGAGGGTGTTCCTAAGTAATAGAATCCAAAATGTCTTTAAATTTTATATCGAGGGTAGTAAAGTAAAATGTTTACATTAGGTTACCAATATACATATACATACTAAAATTTGACAAATTGTTTTCAAGGCCAAAGATTTACCAATTCGAGAAAGACCAGAAAAATAGGAAGAAACCTTTTTACTCTACTTTACAACTGCCCTTCAAATATCATCCATTCGTTTCCGGACACCCTGTACATTAAGGACTGGTCGACTTTGGGAGAGTCAATTGCGTTTTCCTCGAAAACGATGCGTTTTCGGTGATTTTAACAAGATTACCTTTGTTCTGTACAACGACATTTTACATTATATTATAATACAAAGCAAACCCTGTGAATACCTAACCTCAAAGAAGTAACGTCATAAAAGGTCACTGGGACAAATAGTAGCTAGCGACCTCCAACAGATGATCAAAAACTTCCAAATTTCATTAAAATGTATTTTAGAAAAATTATGAAAAAAAATTGATGCTAAAGAATCTTCTTTTATGCCCTGTATTTTACAAACTATAGACAATAATCCCATGGCCCTTCTTCTGAAGTTTTTATACTAATTTTTGCAACACCCTCTATAATAATATATTATTTATAATCGTAAACACACTGAATAGAACGAAAGCTATGTTTTTTATATTCAGGGGCATAATTTTAGAAGTGGACAAATTTGACTAAAGACTAACTATACCGGTACTAAAAAAATAATGGTTTGCGACCTTGTAGCTACACGCTGTATATTTAGAATGAATTACAATAAAACGGAATAGGTAGGCGGTCAATATCTTTGTAACTAATCTATAGAATTAATTTAAAACGAGTGTATTAAAATGTTTCTAAGAGATTATTTCATATTAACCTACATCGGCCTGTTTCAATTGATTTCAAACACAAAGGTAATCTAAGTTTAGTCAGCAGCGACTGCAACTTTATTAATACCTATTAACATCATTCTGTTAAAATCGTGTATTGTTAGCGTTGTGTATGATTCATTAAATCGGCATAAACAGTACAACTATTAACTGAGGATATCTAATAGGTTTTTTTATTAACTCCAACCGGAACGAACAAAGAATGGTACGTTCTTATTAAGCATCTTTATGAACTTTTTTTATTAAATTTATATGATGATTAGACTACTACGGAAATCCGTATAATTTAATAATGGTTATACATAGCATATTTGTCAGCGACCTTGCAACTCTATATAAGTCCAAGAAATGAGGTAGCTCTGCCTAGATGGAGTTAATTTTACTCACTCTCTTTTTCTAGATATAGTTTACAAAACAACATTTTCTCAAATATCTCTAGAGCTGATTGAGGTAGATTGATAAAAGTACGACTAAGAACCTCAAAATCCCGACGCTACTGAATATTGGAAAAAAGGTAGGTATCCTTCAATTTATCTGAAAAATATGCTTGTTTCGATTTATTTTTTTTAATATTTAATACAAACTTGTCTATTATCACACATGCTTTTAGGATTTTTTTTATCTAAATACGATTTTAAAGGCAGTGTATCATCAAGAATTTAAAAGTCATTAGCAAGATTTTTTTATAAAGGTTCTTTGAGCTTCAAGATTACATTTCATATTGTATTTGGAACAAAAAACCCTGCACAATTTTTAAATGGACAGCTTATTTTAAACAAAAATAAATATTTTCGAAAGTAATTTGTTTTTCGAATATATTAAAAGTATCTCTACCTTACCAAATTCTGAAATTCTTAATGAGAGTATCCCAATACCTCCGGCACTGATTGATTTTTTAATTTAATTAAGTAAATTATTAGCAAAAGATTAATCTGTCTAGATCACACATCCCAGAGGTATTTGAATATAGGTGACATTTTTTAAATATCTGTCACATTATGGAACACGAAAACCGGTGATTTAGACCTCCAATAAGACATTTTGGTCTAAAATGGCCCAAAAACTACCTCCTAAAATTATTTAACAATAGTGAAAGCCACAAACCTGTATTTCACATTATATCTATACCTAATCTAGGATGTTATGTTGTTGTATAAGTTTGTTTATGTAACTCAGGGTTCGACACTTGGCCCACTGATTTATATTCCTTTCATTAATGCTATTGCGATTAGTATTAATCTCCACTTTTTGCTGTATGCTGATGATTTGAAAATCTAAAAAACTAGCACATTTTGGACTTACTCAGCGTATGTTGTAACTATAACAGACTACTTAAATGTTTCTAAATGTACCTAATATTTTCCCTTAACTCATTGAATGTGTCTCTTTTTTCCCAAGTTCCCTCCGGTAGGTTCAAAAATAAAAAGCTTTAAAACCAAACGCAATTACTGGATGTACATTATTGGCTGTATTAGATTAGAAAATAAAAGTGACTTTTCATGACTGCAATGTTCTTATACATATAAAACTGTTAACCACAATATTGATTGCATTATGGTTACATCGCACATTAATTACCTCATTCCTAAACTAAATGCTGCATATTTAGCAATAGTCTCCTTTACACAAAATGGTAATTAATTATATCAACATTGAGAGTAGGCTAAACATTCAGTTCTTCTTTTTTTCTGCTCCCTCGCAGTTGAATTCTGTTTGTTTTTTCATTGTCAAAATGTATGTGTTTCTTTTTGTTCATTGACAGTTGTATTTTTTTAAACATAATTTTTAGTTTTGTTGCTCCTTCCTCTTCGTTGTCAGTTAATTATGAAAACATATATTTGTGTAGAACTAAATAAATTAAATAAATAAAAATGTCCCCTTTATAGATACCACGAATTGACGAAAAACTTTCCAATTAAGGCCAAGTATACTAAGTTAATTTGCATTCATGAACAGTTTTATATGTAACGCTGAAATATGTGGCATGTAGTACTATATGGGTTTATTTAGACCAATCGAAAAGTGAAAGCTTCAAGAAAGTATAAGTTGATTAAAAGACGACTGACGCTTAATGAATTTTGTCATATGTAATAAATATACTCAAATTAAAATATGCAAATTGCAGCGTTGCAAAAGAGGAAACCTTTAAAAGCAGAAGTGTGCATTGCTTATTAAAATGTGATTTCTTGACATTACTGTTAGAGAAGTCTTTAAATATCTAAACACTAAGTTTGCAAACCTTAAACTAATTTAAAAAATTTTAAGCCGTTGTATTTGTAATGTGTAAAATAACATAAATGAGTGAAAAAAAATACTTTACAGAGAAAACTTTTGTGTTACCGCATAATATACATTTTTTAACAATTTAATTTTATTGGTACTGAATTTATTTTTCGCATTAGTGTGTAAAATATTATATACTAGTACGGTAATTTTACACACTGTACAGCATGCGTAAGGTATTTTATTCGAGGTATAGTGGAAAAAATAATTTCAATGCAATTCCAGTAAAGAAACAACAACCGCACGAACCGCCACTGAAAGCCAGTATAAAAATCTGGTTATTTTGTGTGTCACTAATTCAGGTAGGTATTATTTGAGGTCGAATGGTAACCTTTCGGAGTGTTCGTGTATGTTTTTAGAATTCTTGATCATACCGTGACTATTCAATAATACTGTCATTAGAGATATCCCATGAAACCATTTTTTTTATTTTGCTTGACAGGTATCTTTCTACAAAATACAGGTTTTGCGTCATCCGGGATAATTTCTAACTGTCTCTGCTTAGGTATTAATTATTAATTGTAATCTGCAGCAATACAATAATTTGATCTACCTATTAAGGTAATTTACAACTGCATAGAATATGAATTCCTTGAATTTAAAACTTGTCAGTATGCAGGTGTATCTCAAAAGCTACATATGTTTTAAATGTTTAAGACATAACAACAAATATCTTCACAATTTGTGTTTCAGATTTATTTTCTATCCAATTTTTTATTTATTAGTGACAAGTATTGACTTCAGGGGTATTAATTTATATTCCAGTAAAACATTATTTATATAAGTAGTATTTTGGTAATAACAAATAATGTAAAAACAGTATACAGGATGTCTTATTTAAGACGGATTCTTTCATAGCCCTGGCAGTATTAATAAAACAAAAAACTGTTGCAAATAATAGTTTTTTTACTAAAAATTATTTTCAATTATACAAGGCATTGATATTTTCGAGAATTCTGCAAACACCATTTTTTTAACCATACGATCGAAGCAGTACGTTTTAGACCCAATAATTTGGTCACCAAAATGAGCCATAAGAATCCGTCTTAAATGTGACTTCCTGCATATGTCAAACATGTTGATCTATAATTCTTAAGTGTAGGTGTTAAAAAATTGTTTAAATTTACAAATTTAAGAACACCCACAATAGGCACACCTTTGTAAAAATCACTTAAGGCCAGGGCTACTTTTACACCACGGGGTGTCCATTTTTCAAGTGTCGGTGCAATGAGTAGTATTTAAATGACCAAAAATAATTTATTTTCTTTTAAAGGATTCAACATTTTTATCAAACTGAATTTTATGTAGGTGTAGGTAGTCTTTTGTTGTTTCAGAATCAAATATTTACTGAAGAAATAACTGTTTAGAGACAAACCAATAAATAATTGTCTAAAAATAAAAATATGTACATTGTTTTAATAATCAAAATAGATACCTTAGCCCTTTTCTTTTACTCATGATTTCGGAATCATAACGTGTTACGATCCGATGGAAACCAATCAGATTGCTAGATTTCGGATCGTAACGCGTTATGATTCTAAAATCATGAGTAAAAGAAAACAGCACTTATTTCCTTATTATTTCTGCATAGATAAATAGGGAGATAGGTAAAATTTCCCTTCGGCGTGTTATTGACAATCACAGTTTTTCCTTAAATATGGCCTACCTAGTATATAAGATCTTTAAGGTGAGGATTGAAAAAACGAACATCCTGTGTACAAAATAATTTGATGAGAATTTAGTAATCAAATTATTATTAAAAAGATAAAAATCTACAAAAAAAAAACCGCTGAATTTGGAACAAAGTAATCTGTAAGATTAATTTAGATTATAAGATGAGACAATTAGATCTTGTCTGATTAGGTCTTGTTCCTATCAACTATTCATTTTTACTACATGGGTACTTTGATGCTGTTGAAACTGGAGACATGTGTTGCAGTTGCATATTCCACGACTCCATAAGTAATGTGGAATAGATATTTTTTTAACTGCATTTATTCGTCACAACTGCAAATCAGAAAAAATGCTGCAATATTTACACACGTTGTTTTCATCACGTAGACATGCAGAAGCCGTTTGCATTCTGATTATATTGTGGTGTCCTGTTGGATTCATGATCACAATCTGATTGAATAAAAAATAATAAAATAGAATTGTGTCTTGTGAAATGTGGATATCGACATAGTTTTAGCCAGTGATTTCATTTGATAAATGAGTTATTTCTAGTAATTATATATATATTTAATTTAAAATAAGCCTATTACAAAATTGAAAAAATATTTCTAAAACTATTCGATTCTCAAAATAAGTGTAGGAATTATTTGTAATGTAATTTCAAACAAATCAGTCAGTGTAACCATTAAAAGTCAAAAAAATCATGGACATAATTTTAATTTTTTCTCCTCGGATAATGAAAAATTTCTACAGGTATGATTTTTTGACATGGTTTTTGATGATTACGTTGTATTTGACATTGCATTTTGAACAAAAAATTTCTGTAATTTTTTGTGAATTTTGTGAATTTTCTGCGATTTTTGGTTATTTTTTATTTATTCATTAAATTTAAAAAATTAATACCTCGAAATAACACCCTTTCAAACAATTTAATGAATATTTAGGAATATTTATAAAAATTTATTTGAAGGACAAAATAATAATTCTAGTTTCTCATAGAAAACAATAACATTATTCTTCATTTCAAATTAACTACCAATGTTCCCTGATTATGTTACATAATTAATAAATATCAAAAGAACAATAGTAGGTATTAAGAAGGCATAAAAATAGTTTTTATGACATTTACATCGCCACCGAATGACCTTGGACATTGTCAAACGCTATATGAAGCTTTATTAATTTATTTGTAGTAACCATTGACCTTATAAATATAGATTAGTAATCTTATAACTTGATTTATAACTACTGACTTTATAGGTGTAGATAGGATATGTCGTCGAGTAACTTCAACAAGTTTTTTTCCCAAATTAGATAGATTCAGGATCAATTTATCAAGGAACATTTAAACTGTTTTTAACTAAATTCCTTAGCAACAATCAATCAAGCAAACTAAATTTAGTTGTAATTACAATTCATTTTAATAAACTGGCCATTAAGCTGCGCCTTCATTGAACGGACTTTGCAAACTAAGAATATGCATGAAATTTTGGAAAAAAACGATTTACGCAGGTCTGGTTAGATCAAGTTAAGTAACGTATCTAAATATTCATACTTTTATTTCATTAAATTTATATCACTTTAGGGGGGGACGAGCAGAGTTTAAGTTTATTCAATTTGAACAAAAAAGAAATGAAACTTGCGCTTTAATTCGGTTTAACATCTATTGCAACACGAAACAATGTAAAACGATGACGATATAATTACATATCTGGTATAGCAATTGTCGATATTGTCATTTAAGATGAGGCTATTAATGAGAAGAGCCAAAACGCTGAGACTTTTTCACACAGAACTAAACTAGTGTTACGCCATAGACTATTTCTATAGACTGACATAATAATTCTTGTGTCATGACCTGGTGAATTGGTTTTTGTCGTAACTTCATAAATGATGCTAGACATAATCCTTCATATAAAACATTCCATTTATCGAATAAAAAACAACAATATATATGAGCAAAGTGAGTTTTGTAGCTTGTGTCTATATTACGATAATGAAATGTCCTAAAACAAAACAAACATCCAATAAGATTTGTCGTTTTTACTAAGACTGTGTTTTAAAACTTACAAACATTGAACACTGAAATGGGGTCATACTAGCAATTTGGCAAATATAGAATATTAAGTGATCTCAATATAAAATAGGTTACCCCGAAACTTTATTGATTGCATCACTTTTGGTATTATATAGGCTGATGACGTCATAAGATGCATTTATATCCTGAAGGTGTTTTACTTCTTTTCTATTTTTCAAAATGTCTTATTCTCGTATTTAATAGCATAGATAAACCACATAACTCTTATCTATTTTATAAATTACACCTCACAGCAAGGTTCTTTCAATTGGCTTTTATTCTAAATCTAACAATCTGAACATATTGCCTTGCCTGTCTATTTCTATAACCTCGATGGCTGTGACGGAATTGAACACGCATTAGCATTGTATTATTGAACACATGGAATATAGATATAAACTCGATTACTGTTCACGCCAGGAGTTAATATACTTTCCAACTCAACAAGTTTTTTTTTGTTAGTGTAATGAAATATTACTATTCCGATTCACATTATTTTTGTATATATTATACCTACATATATTGTATTTTAGAATTGAGGATTGCAATAATTGCATCCGGAAAATTGGAACTAAAATAACGCTCTCTATAATTAATACTTAATGTCAATAGTCTGCCGGCCACAGTTTGGAGTGGAAATTTTGCGCACCAGAGGAAGATCGGTCAAATCGTTTCTTGCGCTCTGGAGGTTGCTGACAAAGCGCAATCGTAACGTACTCCCATGGACAGCGCTATTGGTGGAGAGACGTGGTGAAATGTTCGCAGCAACCGCGCATGTTGATAGCGCAATTTCTCTTGAAGAAGGATAAAGAAAAATATTAAGTTCATCCTTTAAGTGTATCGAATTGGAAATCTGTTGTTAAAATTTCCGTGATTGTAACAAATAGTACCATTTGTAATATGGTTTTCATGTGCATTGCTCTTGTCTAGGGTGCAATTCGTGCTTGCTAAAAATATACCACCAGTGTTACTCGGAGGAGGCAAAATTTTGGCAAAATGTTTTCGGGACTCACTAATCAGGTCACTTCATGGATGGGAAACGTTAAAGGGGATCAAGAAGAAAAAGTGCCCACTCCTACCGAAGATAGTAATGCTCTCGTAAGCCCGGACAAAAAAGACGGCAGGTATGTTACAAAGTGACCTATTTTTTATTGATTAACGTTCACTTTCCATTTAAAAATTAATCCTTTATGTCTGCCCAGTCCCCAACACATTTTTTCAATTTCATACCTTATCTACCAGTTGTACTACATATTTTGCTCATTCTTTAATGCATGTTTTTTTGTGTATCAAAGGTTTAGAACAAGTGCAAGGGTTGTCATAATCAACATTTTTTTTGTTTTACTTTTGACTACTCTGAGGTGAGTTTGGTATTAAACAAAATTGCAACAAATTGCATTACAACGTAGTCACATAGCATTGCTTTATTGTCCGAAAGTTTCTATAAGTGTAAAAAAACGTTAATTTTTCTATTCATAAATTAATTATGAATGCCTGTTTAATAAATATTTTAACTAGTTAGGTGGTCGATAATTTTAAATGTATTCAAATTTATCAAGTATTTACAAGATAAACCAATATAGTGACTAATAAAAATAATTTGCATTCTCTTACCGTTTCATTTTATATCTAAAATTTGACTTATTACTTCTACATTAAATCGACTATATTTTAATATCAGTATTTGAAAATGTTAAGTAAGCCCCATTTAAGTCAAAATCTAAGTAACAATTTTTGTGGGTCAAAATATATTTTTATTCTAAAACTTGGTAACCTTAAATTTGACCAATAAATTTTGTAATTTATTTGTAATATGTAAAATGATGGCCTAAGTATAACGAATTGCAACAATTACTTGAATAATTTATTGCTTAAAAAAAATTCTGAAGACAGTGTGAACTTTTTCATTAAAAAAATCCTAGTTTTTCTCATTTCCTTCTCCCAAAATAAAATAAAATTAGAACCCGGTCTATTAGGCCAATTTACATATTACGTGTACCATTGATCAATTTCTTGATCCGTTTACTTTGTTAATATTAGTAAATATAAAACAGATTTTATGCCTTAATGTGAGCAATTAAAACACTCTTTTAATTCAAAATACAGGATGTTTTTTTCAGTTTAGGTTTTCTATTTAACACAATGTAGAACTCAAAAAAGTAACATTTTGCAAATAATATATCTTTGAAAGTCTAAGAAACGAAAATAACAAACCAACCTTTTAATTCAGCTAAGTTCTATTATTTATAAATTTGAGGGATAAGGCGTGAACTTGCTGTCCAATATTTCAGGTACTTGTTAAATTTTCAATTTTCATACTTAAAACCAAGCTTAAAACATTCCAGGGCCTTGAGCCCTTTGTATAATATAAACACCCTTATTAGCTATGGTATGAGATCATAAAGGAAAATGGCATAAAATGCAAAGCTATGTTAGCATTTTGCTGACACTCCCCATATTCTAATATCGTATAAATTCATTCACCACTACTATAAATATAGACCATTTAAAATACCAAAATTATGAAGTGTATTGTTTAAAACCCAAATCACTACGCCCCATATGAGACATCAAGTTGTGAGTGAGTTGCGTTCTAGTTTAGACAAAAAGAGAATGAAGCAGGAAACACTATTACTATACTATGACAACATAACTAATTCCTACATTTTTAGTTGGACTTTTAGATATTATTTAGAATTAAATATTATAAGTATGTTGATTTAAAACGAGACCCCCAACATGAAGAACACATGGCAATATTGATCAAATTGGGTAATTACTAAAGGTCATCTAAATCTTGGTATGTAGGTGGCTCTCTCTCTCTCTCTATATATATATGAAAATACTTTGTAATTGATCAGTTCATGATAAACAATGGTTTTATGAAAATGTATTGATACATTTTATGGAAAAACCTTCTGCACAAGTCGAAAAACCAAATTATAAAAATAACAATTATTAATTAATTAATTAATTAATTAATATTAATGTAGTAATAAGTGGAAGATAAAAGGAATAAAAATAAATTCAATTGACCCTGTTTTGGTTAGTTCATACTTAAATTTATTTAGCATTAGCATTAGCAACTTTAACATACGAGATATTGCTGAATAGTAACTAAAATTGGTAAAATTTGTTATATAATATAAACGTGAGAATATATATTAAATCTGACATATATTTCTGCTAGTCCCACAAAGCAGAGTGGAGGTGGCAGACTTGAAATGTTCTCGAACGTGAAAAACCAGATCGAAGGGATAGGTGGGTGGTTAGGATCTAGTATTCCAAAATTAAGAAAAGGTGAGACAGAAGGACTTACTGAAGCTCAAGAACCGATTGCTACAGAAGCTATTGCACCAGCTTCGGCAGAGACTGCACCAGCAAAAGACGAAGATGACAATTCCAGGTAAGAAATTGATGCAGGGGAAGGTAGGAAATCTCATGTCTTTGTCGCACTTCTCATTTGAAATTGAATACAGCTTTTTTCTACTTATTTAATGTCGGAGGTTAGAGTGAATAACTTAACAAGATTTCCTAGAAACACTAAATACCTAAATAAAATAATATGCAACACAATTTTATACACTTAAACAGTATGTGTGTATATAATTGTTGTAAGTGTTTTTCTCCATTTCTCATTTTTCATTCATTCTTTTTCTGTTTCTTCTGAAGGCGAAATGATATTGTCAGCATTTGCCCTTCACATTTCTTTTATAAATGACTAGATTATTTCTGTATATTTTTGATGCGGTTATAGACTGAGATATATCCATCTCCATTCTCTTTTAATGGAGCTGCATACAAATTAGCTGAATATATTATTTCCTATATTACTTTTATTGATCTATTTATAATATATAACAGAACGACAGTTTCGCTCTCTTCCTTATTTTATTATATACCTACAGGGTATAACTTTGAATGGGGATTATATTTATAAGGAGGGCAGTAACATATTCAGCCATTCCTGTTTCACCAAATTAACATTGGCTGTTTGTTTTTTGCCCACCTACCTATAGCACCTTGTTGGAATGTAATATGAAGTGGATTGATATGTGGTGGTGGATTATGTAGTTCATCTAAACTAGATTAATGTCAAAAATCAGTGCCACTGAGATTCATTCACAAATACAGTGCTTTAAAAAGTGTTAACAAATACTTTTTATTAAAAACAAATTTAAAAAATTTTTACAAATCTGTCGGATTAGTAAGTATTTTTATTTAATTTTTATAACATATAGGGTGAGCCAAATTTAGCACATTTTAGGGATTCGTTTTTATTCTTGAAAACATGGAAAAGGTAGTTTAGTTACCTCGGGCTCAACTTTCCAGAAATATTGAATGTCGAAAACTATATCTTGATATCTTGCTTCATTTAAGAGGTGCAGAGCATTTATCAATTTTGGTTATTTTCCATTATGCTTGAGAACATTTTTATTTTTGAAAATATTTATAGACATTTTTTACATAAAATTCAGTGGAATAAATAATATTTTTTTTATAACATTTATAGCACAAATATAGTTTTTAAATGGAACACCATATTTTCCAATATTTTAAAACTACCTAAAAAATTTTTTTAAATGATACTTGACATTTTCACAAAAATATTTTTTCCGATGTATAAACACCAAAAATAATGTTTTTGTAATTTAATTATTTCTTGATACAATTCAGTGTACTTACTATACATTTTTTTTATGCATCAAATACATCCAAGTGCCAAATACCAAAATCATCAATTTTTGTCATTTATTCCTTGAAGAATTAGAAGAATGAAAAACTGGAGGTTATAGAAAAAATCGTGTACACCGTTGAATTCTATGTAACTAAAGATCTAGTTTCTTTAATTTCTTAGTACGATATGGCATTTCCTACCTTCCCCTCTACTGTATTATTGTACATCAAAACTTAATATAGGAATTATAGTGCTACCGGAGGTGCAGATTCAGGGCCACAGTCTGTTACAGAATCCCCCACTGAAGAGAAAGACAGTCAATTTGGAAATGGTACGTAAATATATGTGGAATAATTGTTTGCGGGGAAAGTAGATGAAAAATTAATGTTCATGTTTTTTATGCATCAATCGCTATTAGTACTTGTTAATATCACTTAAATTATTTCAAGGTACATATATCTTTGTCACTTGCTTGAGGCAAAAATGAAATGCATACTCAGTTCAATTTTTTTTGTTTGTTCAGTAAAATTAATGTTGATTAGTTGTTATTTAAAATTGATTGCATTTGATGATACAGTTGTGGATAATAAAAAGTTTTCAACCAACGCTAGTTATTTTAAAAAACTGAGTTAGGCTCCTTCTTGTAATATTTTTAAAGTTTTCGCTCTCAAACCTTTGTGTTCACAGCTGTATTGATACATACAACGCATTCCAAAAAAAATTTAACTTTAGTATAACTTCATACAGAGGGAGTTTTTAGAAATGGTGAAACAGGTCAATTTTTGTTCTTTTAACACATTTGTATCAAAAAAATTAAAATTCTGTTTTACCATGAAATTTCATCAAATTGCTGTACAGAAGATTAAAATTTTCATTGGAATGCGGTTCCTATAGCTTGTGTATAAAAAAAATTTAAATACAAAACAAATGTTTGTGAAAATCTGAAAAATTATTAAATTTTTGTGCTGATATGAGTTGTAAAGATATTATGAAGAATAAAAAAAAGATTTGTTGAAAAGTTAATAAAATCATGCATATGACCTGTTTCAGTACAAAGTAAGGCTCTAGCAGGCGCAAAGTCGTTTGGAAGTTTTTTGTATTCTGCTGTAAATAAAGCTGGGAAAACCGTAAGCGAGGCCAGTGCTAAAATCAAAGAAACTGTTGAAAAAAATGTGAGTTCTTAGTGAGTGGTATTTGGTGTCATCAGTATTGTGGTCTGCTTGATTATTGCTAGTTGTGTCAGTTAAATGGAGAAACGCACGTTAAAAAATTTCATTCTTTTCACATTCATATAATTTGACAGATAAAATTTAATACTCGACTTCTTTTCTCCACTTATCTAAATGTTGTGTGTTAATAAATGTGATATATAATATATAAAAATTGTTGGCTTTTAGAGTATTTTAGGCGAGTTTAACAAAGAGCAAGAGGCTTTTGTCAAGTCACAAGGTGGAACCACTACTACCGCATTGCCCCCATGGGTGGGTTGTGCTAATGAAGAGGCACTTAAAGAGGAATGTCTTAGCCTTTCTACAGACAGAAGAAACTTCGTTCGTAGTCCACCAGCTGGTGTAGACTTTCAATTCGATTACGAGGTGTCTTATGGGATCGCCATGGCCATAATGGAGCAGGACCCTAACTTGGAGAAAATGCGATATGAACTTGTGCCTAAAGTGTAAGTTTCGGCTGTAACATTAATCTCCTAACCTAATATTTATCTATTTATTTCTGCAAACGATGTTATCACGAGATTTCAGATAAATATGATTACTCAAAACTTTTTTGTTCACACTATATACTTAAGGTTGTAATATATCATGGGAATTTTTTTTGTAGAATATCGGAAGAAAATTTCTGGAGAAATTACTTTTATCGTGTTAGCCTAATTTGTCAGGCCAATGAGTTGTCCTTTATGTCTAGAGAAGGAGATAGTCAATCTGCTACTGAAACGTATACTTCGGATCAGTTAATAGGTAAGCGAAAGCATGATATTTAATAAAAAATAAAAAATCATAAAGCATTAGTAATATTTTTAATTAATTCAATTATTAGTAACTAATTGAAAAAGATTTTTAAACTGGAATGAACCAAAAAATTGATTGGCTCCTAAATAGAATATTTTATACAGAATGATCCAAATTAGAATTTACCAATTTTTCTAAGAAAAAATACCTACTATAGTTCATCCAGCAATGTGTGAGAGTTAAATTACCTAAGAAAAGCTGGTACGTGGGTAAGACAGTGTTTTCATATCTAGATCTAAAATTTCCTATTTAATTGGATGTGTTTATTAGTTTTATTATTTATTTAAAGTTTATGAATGAATTAAACTGATTTTTACAAAAAAAAAGTTCCGCGTTTAGTTTATTTTTTATTTGACTGTATTCTTTTATTATAAGTAGAATATTTTTGCAGACCTTTTATTAATTTGAATGTATTTTAATGTGCATAAAATATGGTGTTCGGTGTTAGTTTTTTAAAAAATTATATATTTTTTATTATTAGCTCTTGTACCTTTTACATTACCGTAAAAAGTAGTTTTTAAAGTGTAGAAATAAGTTATATAATTTATCATGGTTGAATTTCATGTTGGTCTTTAAAATTTTGCAATATTAATATTTTCGGCATGTCGGGTATATATTTTTTCATTGGTACTATTTTTACGATTAGTTCTGAGTAGTTCATCTATGGAGTCGTTTCTTTAGCATTTGGTATCACTTAATAAGAATTTAGTATAATTTTTGAAAATATTTCGAATTATGTAGCTTAATGTTTAAAGTAAGATGAAAGTTCGATATTAGGTTACTTAATCTATTTTAACCAAATAAAGTTTATAATGGCAAATTTAAATTTAACAACTGTCTGGATTAATTGAATTAAAAATAGTAATTAAATTGATTTAATTTTTTCGTTGATAAAGATACTATTATACTTGAAGGTATTCATTTTATGCACAAAATAATCTACCAATTCATCCCCACGTAGCTTTGTTAAAAATAAAATGTAGTTCATTTTCGCTACATTGAATTAGATTAAAATTTCTATTTTGGTGAAACATGAGAAATATAACAAAATGTATCTTATATTAAATATATAAGTTAAGTGGGTTATTACGATTTTTAGGAACCATAAAATCAGTTTTTTGTGTTAACATTATTTTTGCTTTATGGTTATTAAATTACGTTGTATGTTTTATCATAATTTTTTTGAATTTTTGTATCAATTTTTACTTTTAACAGGATATAACACAATAACAACAAAAATTTGAATTTATTGAAAATTGTTGTGGAAAAAATCTTTTTCTGGTTTTTATATAAACCTTGCTTTCTTCTAATATCTGAGAAATGCAGATATCAGTAAATACCCAAATAGCACAAAGGATATCCTCAGAAAATCTGGTGGAATATACCGGTATGTCCCAGGAATATACAGTTCTGGCTATTTCTAGTCAACGGGTGTTTGAGGGATACTTTCTATTACAAATCTGGATATCCTTCGGATATCTCGCCGTATGTCCCAGGTACATTGATTTGAAATACAATCTGAGGATGTCCCAATATTATGGCAGATATAGGTTATCCTGAGGACACCCAACGGATGTCTAATGTTACAAAGCAGGATATACACTATCCTCAGGATATTCACCAGATATTCCACTGTATGTCCCAGGGACATACAGTTTAGACCCAGGACAGCCTGAGGATGTCTCAATATTAATTTTCCGAAGTACAGGAACATATAGAATTTTTATTGTGGAGGTAATTTCTCTGTGTTCTCTGACAGAATTTGTCTTTCAGTATTCCTAAAAAATGTTTCAACAAAATTTTTATGATTGTTTATTAGTACATTTTTAATGAATTTCAATTCATTATCAAAAAATTCATCTTTTGACAAAATCAATTTGACTATCATCATACAAATATTTTATTACACTTTTCATTATGTCAATATGATTAGAATTAAAATTTACTTATATGTTGGTGTGAGTTGATTTCCTATAAACACCTGTTTCTAAATATTTTTTTTTTAAATTAAAAAATCTAGAAAGAGTAATGTGTTATTGTTTTCTATTTCCAAATTAATTATTATTTTTTATTGATATAATCTGGAAAAATACTTAATTCCTCAATGGTAAAAGGCTAAATTGCAAAATTATTGTCTACATATCCACCAAACGGTGGTTTTTTTTATTGTTTAATAACCATCTGTCAGTATTTTTGCCTGTATCTGTTAATAAAATCACTTGACTTTGCAAAATTAATTGTCTATTGCACAAACAAGAAACAGAAAATATTGTTTTTCAATTTGCTCATTTATACTGTATGCAGAGAGGAAGTATTTTTTGATTTATTTTTATAGCATTTGTTTTTTTATTTCTTTTGTTATTACTTGCTACAGAAATTAATTTCAAAGCCATTTCTGTATACAGAGCATAATTTTGAATGGGAATCATATTTATATGGAAACTTTAGAAACACATAAGTTTGTTTTCTCAAATTCCTTTGTGAAGACTGAATCACCTTTTTGCCTTTTTTCATACCCCGCCACTGGACATGCTAGTGTAACCACAAACAACCGAGCGCGCTTGAGAAATATTGTTTTACTTACAATTTGTAACATACGTCTATCCACAGACCAATATTGGTTAAAAATTAGTAATTAATTTTTTAATAGTATTTGGAATTTTTTTTAGTGTTTTATACTTAGTGGTGACAGAAAAGTTTAAGTGCAGTTTAAAAACGAGTTATAACTCGTCTATTAATTTTCTTAACAAAATAATAATTTCGGATTTTATTATTAGGAAGGCATACTACTACATCAAAAAAATTGATTCCCTCTTAAAGTTATGAAATTTATTCATAATTTTTTTACATCTATATTAACAACTTTTATTTCTGAATACACATTTCCAAGCAGCAGTATTATTTTTCTCAAAAGCACTGATCTAAATTTGTTTAAAAAATAATAGCCGATAAATGATAAATACGGGTAAATTTGAAAAATCAGACTTTTTAATGTCATGGAAAATACCCAAAGAAAAAAACTATTTAAAAAATGCCACATGCAAATACTTTCAATAAATATTTTGAAACAACAGTATTTCAAAATTGTAACTTGCATTTTTGATGTGCTGTTTGCAAACTTCTACTTTTGTAACTTTAGTTATGGTGTTATATTTTGAAATAATTATTTTTTTTTAATTTATTTTAAGTAGATAGTGCAAGTAAAGATATGCATGAGTTTGTGTCCGACACACTGCAAGCCAGTAGTGAGGACTTAGTAGAAGTGCAGGAAGGAATGAAAAAATTGGTTTTAGGAGCCAAAAGCAAGGGTAAGATAGATGCTTTAGGGTTGAGTAAATTTTTATTTTATGGGCACATCACATCAAATTTTTAGAAAAACAAAGGTAAAAGCTGAAATCTTTAAATGTCAGCCTATGAAATGAAAATTTCTTGCACTTTTTTTTATGTTTTTTTGGTGTAGAGAACTAATGGTTGTGATTAAATCTACAAGTGGTTAGTTTCCTGTTTTCGTTTTGTCGTAGCCTAAGAAGACCGACGGCATCTTTGCTTCCCATATGTTTTCCATATCCTACTAACAAGATTAATATAATGTTTCTTTAACCTACTGTATCCTTTAACGATCTCACTTTTAGTTGTTAGTTTTGCTTAAGATGCAATCCATCTTTATTTTTCTTGCTTCACACCATAGTCACTAACTTTAAAAAAATGTGTAACTAATATTAATATTTACATCGATAGAACAGTATGTTGCTTCATCACAGAGATGAAAATTAATATAAATAATTGTATTTTATCAGTACTGTTGTATCATGTAATTGGATGTCCACTGTGTATGAGATTTTTAAGAAATTGTGCACACACGATCACACCACTCAGAAAATGTATTTATAGCACATATACTTTATAATACATATACAGGATGCCACACTGGGATGACTTGTATATGCAAAATACTATTTATAGTAATTAAAAAAATTACAGTTTGCTCGAAATGTGTGCACAAATTCTCAAAATTGTTTTTGAGCAACTCATTTTGTAAAACAGTGGACTGAACTGTGACCCTTACATAATTTTAGCTGGCAGTATTATAATTTTTCCTCTTTGTATGTATTATATATTTATACAAGGCGTCCGGAAATTGTGAACAAAAAATTTAAGGGGCGATTCTGTTCATAAACATAACAGTATATGTTTGCATGGCACCTTTTCAAACATTCAATATTAACACACATAACCTCAAAACTATTTTTTTAGATTAGTGTTCCATATTATTGGTAATATTAAACTGCAAAATTGATATATACATATTTTTATTTGCAATTAAAAAAATAACAATTTAATATTAAAGATATTTAAAAAAAAAAGGTCTTGTCGATAATATTATTTCTGCGAAAATATGTATTTAATGTTTTCAACGATATTTCGGCACCAATGCAAATCCTGCTAAATTATTATTTTTTTACTAATTACTCTGTTGTTAAAGACGATGTGATAGATTTTAATGGTTACAATTGTATAAAACATTCTTTTATGTTCAAATTCTGCAATGCTGTATTTTAACTATTATTGAAAGCCGCCTCAACCCAGTAAATTCAGCAAGAGGACTTTTTTTGTGAAATTATTTAATCTAATTTATTGAAAAACCACAAAGAAGTTTTGACCAACTTTCTAGTCTTAAGGGTTCAGTGGCGTACCTAGGGTGGGGTAAGTAGGGCACGTGCCATGGTGCCAATCAAAGAAGTGGACAAAATTCGCAAATTATTAAACTTAAAAATCAAAGTAAACCTACAATATAATTCATATTCAAATAATCCTGCAATTCACTCTTGTGGTGAGCTCTTGCGAACAACCGAAAAGGCAAAGAAGGTTCAATTTAAGTTTAAGACTATCAAAAATGCACTTTTACTGACTAATTTTTGTTCTAAAACAGAAAACAAAAATAGGTTGTAAGATTTATGACTGTCTTATTTAGTTGTATCTGTTTATTTTATATTTAAATAATTTACGAAGTGGTGCAAGTTCGATGTTTGCCCTAGGCGCCGTTTTCGATTGATACATCTCTGCTAGAATGATTTTTTTTTAATTACAATTTATTTTCAATAATAAGTGTACTAAATTTGATAAAATTGTTTAAGGGGGTCTCTCAGAGTATTTGAAAATGTAGACCTATTTTCGAGAGTAGTTTTCATCGTTAGTATAATTTTTTAAACAATAAAACTGATTTGTGCTGTTAAATAAAAGATTGGAATAAGAAACGTGTTAATATTTAAAAAAAAAAAAAGTATCTTGGGAACAAGTATTTGTCTGAGTGAAATCGCCTCCTAAATTTTTTTCTCAAAGTTTTTGACCACCCTGTACATACATACATTGTAAACTTATGTAAGTACTTAAAAGTAAGTCTATTGAATTGTCTTCCCAAAGTTATGATAGGGGTCCAGTTTGAGTTGCTTAAAAAAAGACAATACTCGATTGGAATAATATAGGAAAAAACAGATGTTAGTATGTATTTATGAACTATTAGACATTTTCAAATGGAAAATTATAGGAATTTTCTCTAATCCTTTGAGTTTGTAAAAAGTTGATCCAATCATCTATTTGAATTGAACTAGTCATATTGGGTTAGTTGTAGCCGTTAATTTTGTCATCATTTAAGGTAAATGAACTTGTTAGATGTTTGAATAAGTGTAAAAGATTTTTTTCCATTTGTGAATGAATTTCTTTCAAGGTGTGGACCCACACCAGCTGCTCAGATTTCCTAAATATCAAAGAGGTGTACAAATCAAGAACAGGAAACTAACATTCTGAGCATCTGGTTTAATACATTAGCAAGTTGCTCAAAAATTTGATTGTAAATATGCTTTTTTATGCCTTTTCCTTATCCCTTATATTGTTCATATAGAAGAAGAGTGGGAGAGAGAACTAGAAGCCGAACTACAGGATTATGAGTTGGTCAGTGAACAGAAGTCCACGAATTCTAAAAGTGATAATTGGGAGCAGGAAATCGAAGAAATGTTACAGGATGAAACTGATTTAAAGTAAAACATTTTTAACACGACTGATAATTCATTCCTCTATGTTGAGTAATATATATATTAACACGTTGGCAAAAATTTTATTTCATCAATTGACCGAGATTTTTAGAAGTTAAATATAGGTATATATAATTTTTTGAATTTTTTTTTTTTACAAAAATTATCCCATATGTGCAATATACTAATCACTAACATGTGCAATATCCAGCTGTCAATTTATACTACTTAAATATATCCCTACATATTTATCAGCTATAAATGTTGCAGTATTAGAAATGATATTTAATTCGTGGAAATATTCTATTAAAATATTCTTTATGACGATACGTAAACATATACAAGCCTAAATTATGCAGGTAATAAATAATACATTTTTTTCAGCAAATATATTTTTATATCTAAAATTGTTGCAGTTAAACTTTTTTTAAGGGAAGGCCTAGTTCTTATTTGGTATCTTCGTAATAAGTGTAAAATTTTTGCCTCTTTGTGTATATAAGTGTTCTTCACTTCAGCTTGCTGAACGTAATGGTAACTGAACTGTCTTCTTCTGTTCATCTTTTTCTTTCACTTCTTTGTCCTCCTTAATTTCTTTTGGTTCGGTATTTTCATCAGTCTTAACTCCGTTTTGGTTTCCTTTTGTTATTCTTTTTTATTTCATAGGCTCATCATGCACAAAACAAATATCAATCGTTGGAGGGGGATAGTTTTTTCTTTTGTTTGGGGTCTGCATTTCGTTGCCTTCTTTAACACCAAAAATGTTTGTATGACCACCTCCTGGTGGTTTTAGAACTATACTAGAATTTTTGGTTTCAAAGAGGGCAATGTAAATATTTGTAGAAGTCATTCTGTAATACAGTAGCGAATATACAACACTATAATTTTTGAGGAATTTTACCTTACACTTTACAAAGACAGTTAAACCCTGTTTTACAGACTCCAAATATCGGGTGTTCTCAAAGTTGAGTCATTTATTTAAACAGCTGGTAGAACTCGTAAAAAAAGGCGATTTACCGTTTTTATAAAAGTTGCCAAATAAAGCAATTATTAACAGTTCTTTAAAAAAATTGAAATTTAAAAACTTTATAATACAAACCTGATTTATTGTAATTTTCGACCACTACGTTGTAAACATGTAAATGGTAAACAAATGGTAACAAATTTGAACAATTTTTGTAGAACAGGATTTTTATAACTCTTCTTTTGCAACTTTTAAACGATTTTTGGTAAATCGACTTTTTTTACGAGTTCTACCAGCTGTTAAAATAAATGACTCAACTTTGAGAACACCCTGTATATTAACTAGGTTCTTTATTTTTAAAAATACAATTTTCAACCGCTTTTCTTTTTTTAACTATGAACCATTGCTTCAAATAATCGCTCTCTATTCAACAAACTTATCAACAAGAATTTCCAACGATTAATGTTTGTTTATCTTCAGCAAATATATTTTTGTATCTAAAATTGTTGCAGTTAAACTTTTTTTTAAAGGGAAGGCCTAGTTCTTATTTGGTATCTTCTTAATAATCGTAAAATTTTTGCCTCTTTGCGTATATGCGTTCTTCACTTCAGCTTGCTGAACTTAATGGTAACTGGACTGGGTAGTTTTTTTAAGTAAAAAACTTCATTCTAAAGCTTTACAATTGTTTGTGATTTTTGGATAATTAGTTATATATATTTTTTGGTGTTTTTCGAAGAAAAGTTAGAAAATGGTTTAATACATTTTGCATCCAAAATATCAATAATTTAAATATTCCATTAAATTTCCTTGTTTGCATCGACAGCTGTATATATAAAAAAAAGGGTATTCTTGATATTTCTAACTTTTCTGAATTATTATATATAGGTACTTATATACGAAACATATAATTTTATCTAGTCAGTATTAATTAATATTAAGTGAGATATTCTTGGTACTTATTTTGTGATAATTGAAAATGCACTCTGGGGTCTACACCTATCACATATTAAAGAATCAATTGAAGATTAAACATAAGTAATGCATTTTCCATTTGCTACTATATAAGTTCTTTTAATTACACATGTATTCGTTTATTGGTATTGTAAATATTTAATTATAGTAAATCAAAAAAGTACAATATACTCGTGATTTGTTATATTTCGTTTGTATATATTCCGAAATATATATACATACATACACACGGTAGGTCAGTATGCATCGTACGGGATAATTCTTTAATAATCAATTTCTGAGAATATAATTGTTGTGCATAAAAAATAATGTCAAATACATTTGACGTTTTACAAAATTTTGAGAAAGGACATAATTTTCATTAACCATATCTTTTTTTGTTACTATTTTGTAGGCAAAAAGGATTTGCTGTAAAATTTTCCAAGAATTATTAATAAACAATTTTCCCATACATTGCTTACTCTGTTCGTGTGATACTGTGTAGGTATATATATTTCATCCGTTAATATTATTTTTTTAGTTGTAATCCTTCAAAGTGTTAGCGTAATAGCATTTAGAATGTAGCTTTTGTGTCTTAAGCATGTTCTCTCATATTCTAATTGTTATACAATATAAAAATTGTTAATAAATGTAGCAAATGTGCCCATTCTAACTGATTTTTATTTTGAACGTCGGCTTGATATTCCATTCTTCCTTCAATTTGAAGCTAATAAAAAGATACGACTAAAAAATTAAGAATTACAGAAAATTATGCGTACCTCGTAAATGAAGAAAATTAGCAATAAACAATAAGGGGGTGGTCCAGCTCTAGTAGAAGAAAAAAAATTAATATTAGGTGAACCATGTCAAACTCGCAGCACTTGAAAATGATCTGTGGGTTCCAGACTCGGCGAATAAATAGTAAATATTAGGTGAAACTGCATTGCGTGAAATGTATGTGGAAAACATTTTAAGTTTTACAAATGAATTTGCAGGTTTTAAAATTTAGAAAACAAGTTTTCTTTATCCTTTGTCAATAAATCGGTACCTAACTAAATGCAAATGGAGGTAATTGAATGAAGAATTGAAGTTAGTGTATATGAATTTTACAAATATTTACCTGCCAGGTTTGAAAATACTTAAAAATTTGCAATGAAATTATTGAGCAGTTATTTTTAATGATGAAAGGCAATAAATCTCCTGTCAGATCCAGAATTACTGACATTCACCTCATAACAGAGTCGTACTCGACTCATTCTCTCGGATCTCATTTCAGTCTTTTTTTAAATTTTGTTCTGATTATTCCATGCTCTTATTTTATAAATCTGCAATAAAAAAATTGAGGTTGTCATCACTCCCAATTTTTTTGTAGGTATGCCTACTGGATTTCTTTTTTCCAATCTACAAGTATACAATTTCTTTGTGATAATTTTATCTCAGAAATTTTGCAGTTTTTGAGATAAATACCTCAGTCTTTTAGGCTTTTAAGCCCTCGGCCTGCCCTATGACATGTACTGAATTTAAGGAGAATATACCATAATTTGTAATTTGAAAAAATATTTTCAATAAAAATTATTAAAAACCCAGCAAAAAGGACAAAAACATTTTTTTTAATTATAACAAATTTAATAATGGTCTCATTAAAATAACTAATAAATCATTACAACTAAAATTATGTAACTACTTGTATATTATTAGTAAAAATCCTACATTAACAATAAAAGTACACCCCTCCTATAATAACGCTATTAGTGGACTGAATGAATGCGCAAAAGATAAACAACCATGTTGTTGCGACAAAGGAATGAAAAAAAAATGTATTTTAAAATTAATGTACGGAGGTTTTGCAGTGAAGCCGACTTATATCAAAGAAAGCTAAGTGAAGTCAACTTATATCAAAGAAAAAATTGTATATACATATATAGCAAGAAATAAAACTTACTGTTGAGGAAGAGAACAAAGTTTTACTATTGGTCTTTGCATTAAAGTTCGTTTTGTTCTAACGGTAGCTACTCGAGCTATTGGATTGCACCAGGGTAGAGTTTCTCTACTCATACTAACGTACATTGCAAGAAAGGTGAATTTTTAATTTTTATAAGAATTACTGTGCCAGATTGAATTTTAGCTGCCAACTTGATCCGCTGTTGCAACATCAGTAAGTATTCGGAGTGCCAACTCTGATACAAATCGAAATGTATACATTGCAATAGTTGACGACTAAGACAGTTAAGAGATAAATGTGATAATCTGGATCTGGTAAAGCATTTAAAGGCTCCACTGTTAAAAAATGACCTGGTGTTGGGACAGAAAGGTCACTTGGATCTAAACATAAAGGGCACATAGGCCTAGAGTTTAAAATAGCTTTTATCTGAGTTAGAACAGTGTAAAATTCTTATGTATTATCTTATATGTTAGTACTTGTTCTTCTACGACTCTAATTAAATGAGACTTTACACGTTTAATGTTTGCTCCCCAAACACCTCCAAAGTGAGGCGCAGAGGGTGGATTAAAAGACCACTGAATTTGTCCTTTTTCTGCGGCATATAGCGTGTTCTTTCCGAGAACCAACGAAATTACTACTGCAATCCAAGTATATTTATGTGCAATCGTCGTAAAGCAGCAAGAAAACATTCTGTAGGTAAGTTTGAAGCAAGTTCTAGATGAACTGCCTTGGTTCCAAAGCACACAAACAAGGACAAGTACACCTATTGCGATTTTACTCCACGAGACTTGCCTAACGTAATGAAAAATGGAATGGCATAGTCAATTCTAACACAGTGAAAAGGTTTAATTTGGTTTACACATGTTTAAGATAGGTCGCTACAATGGCTTGAATAGAACGTGGATTTGTTCAAAAACACCATAAACATTTGGAAAGGCAATCACGACAAAATCCAAACTTGGTGGGAAAGGAGAAATTGTAATGTCTTGGGACCAGGATGAAGATGAATTTTGTGTACCTCTTCGATTAAAAGTTCTAATAAACGATGAGCTCGAAGAAGAAGTGCAGGACGCTTTTGGTCATAAACATAAAACACCACAGACAATAAGACAATGAAGAATGAGCAAGTCGACCACCTACTCTGATAATACCATTTTTGTCAATAAACACATTAAGTCTTCAAAGTGGTTTACTGAAAATAATGAGGGTAAACCGAAATTTAAGAAGTCATATGTCATTGTGAGCAGAATTGAAAAAGCTTTAAAATATCAATCAACATAGGGTGCCATTTAAAATTTCAGGGTATTTTACGGCCCTGCCCAAGGGGTAGCTTTCAAGACACCAAAACTAACGCCATTACGTGTCCCCCATGGAAAGAAAATCGACACCTCAGGTTTTTTTTTCAATACTTTCCAGGTGGGAAGTTTTAATTGAAACACCCTGTATATATATGTATATGCCGTGCCGGATTAATGATATTATATGCCGTGCCGGATTAATGAAATTTATGCCGTGCCGGATTAATGAGGTTTATGCCGTGCCAGATTAATGTGATTTTGCTGTATATATATAATTTCAACACCATGTAGCTAAAGCTTCATTCACATAGGATTAGTGCGGTTGCATTGGTACTGTAGAAAAGTTCTTAACATGCATTGCAATAGGGACGTTCAGAGAAACTTCACAGTAATGCCGCTGTACTGCAGAAGCTAGAAGCGTTTTGGCTTTTACCAATCCGTTCCCACCAGTACTACAAGGACCAATCAGACAACAGCATTTTTTACAGAACACCACAAAACATACAATACAGTAAATAATACTAATTTTATGTAAACAGAGTAGATAATATTTATACCACACAAGTACAATGCAACAGTACAACTGCAGTGCCATTGCACTAACGTTTATCTGAACGTTACTTAAACAGTTAATAATTTGTCACAGATTTCACACAAATTTGCAATAACTTTGATGTTATTCCTCCTCTGATTTTCTTCCCACTTGCTGGGAATCGCCCTGTATATTACTGAAACTATTTATATGTAATTTAAGTAATACGGTTTTGAAATTTACCAACAAGTTGTCTCTAGAGAGAGCTCCTTTAATTGTAATAATACATTTTTATATCAGTTTTTGTTATTTTTTAAATGTGAATTTAAAATCGAGTTAAAGAAATTGAAGAGGAAATCAGAGGAATTTGCGGGAAATCTGTCCAAGGAATTCGAGGGGTAGTCCAAGGAATTCAAGGGGAAGTTCGAGGAATTCAAGAGGAAGTCAGGGAATTCAGAGAAAGTCTGAGGAATTCAAGGGAAAGTCAGGGGAATTCCCTCGAGTAGAGGAATTATGGTGTTCAAAATTATAAATGCACTTTACCTCTTGTTTTATAATATGATAGGTATGTTTTCTTTATAGATTTAATTCTATCGCAATCTTACTATGTGTCAGATTAATAAATAAACCAAAATACTGTGCCATCAAAACAAATATATGACTTGTATATATCACTGTGATCAGAAAAGAGAGAAGAATAAAAAAACCGCTAATACACAGGACGTTCCATTAAAAAAAACAACTAAAATTTGGATGGAAAAAAGCAACTTTCAACTTTTATATATTTCCTTAAAACTGATCATTGCCATTTTTTCTTAGATAGAATGGCAAAAAATATAAGAAGTTCTGTGAATACCCTTGCACAGTTCCCCTTGAAACACTGTAGATTTATATAACCTCTTAAAAACTACTATTTTTCTATAAAATACTATACCTTACAGTCCTCCATTGCTCCAACTGCTCACATATTTACTGTAACTTTTTTACTTAATAATCGTTACTACATTCTTCCAAAATATTTTTCTCCTCATTGTATATTAAAGATCAAAATCATTGGTCAAAATCTTCAATGAATTGTAAATTATCATAATTTTACATGCTCAATACGCTAGTAAGATTACTGGTACATTTTTTAAAATTTTATTTAGTTTTACAACTACCTAAATTTTTCTTTAGAATCTGGAAGTTCCCAAATTGCAATTTATAAGCCTATCTGTAAATAATGACTAATCTTTTTGACTATAGTACCTAGTACATATCTTGAAAAAAAACTGATATAATTTAACAATGCTAGATAATATAAGCTTTACAATGATTCGTTTCAAATTTTTGTTGACATTAGCTCATAGTAAATCATAATTTACTCAAATGAAAAACATATTCTGCTGTAATTGTTCAAACATTAGAACACATTTTATTATTTGTAATTGTAGAAAGTTCAGCAGCTATAAAACGAAGTAGTTTATTCAATTATGTTTCTAAAAAATGAAATCAACATATGACAGATTTAATCAAGAAATTTTTATGTCACTAATCGCAAAAACTGATAAAAGGGTAAAAAGATAATTTTTAATGCAACTTGATACTTCTTGTTTAAAAATAGTTACTAGGAATTCAGTTGAACTCATTAAGTCAGTTATAATCAGAAGAATGAGTTTATCAGGATTAATGACTAATAAATTTTAGGTATTACAGATAAAACAAAACGGTTACAAATATTTAAAATAATTTTATTACAAAATACCAGACAGATACAACACTACCAAAATGGCACTTAAAGGGAATATATAAGTCTTAAACAAACATTGCAAATAATGCTTTCTTAAAGTGTAAACACTACATCTTATTAAATAAAGTGGAATATACTGAAATTTTTCAATTATTACTTAAAAGCCATTGGATTACCACAAACCTGAGGAGAACCCACCAGGAGGTACACGAACACGGCGTGGGGGTGCAGCAGCCTCCTTCTGTTCATCATTTTCCTTCACTTCTATGTCTTTAATTTCTTTTGGCTTGGTATTTTCATCTACAACATCAGTCTTAACTCCATTTTGGTTTCCATTTGTTATTTCTTTTTCATTCACATCATTTTTGGTATTATTTTGTTTGATAGGCTCATTGTGCACAAAACAACTATCAATCGTTGTAGGGGGGTGATTCTTCCTTTTGTTTGGGGTCTGCGTTTCATTGCCTTCTCTAATACCAAAAATGTCTGTATGGCCACCGCCTGGTGGTTTTAGAACTCTACTAGAATTTCTGGTTTCAGAAAAGCCAATGTTAATATTTGTAGAAGTCATTCTGTAACACAGAAGCGAATATTTAATAATACAACACTATATAATTTTTGAGGATTTTTACTTACTTAAAATATTGTTCCAATGAGTCACACTATACAAAGACAGTTAAACGCTGTTTTACACACTCCAAATATATTAACTAGCTTCTTGATTTATGAAAATATAATTTTCAACCGTTTTCTTTGTTTTTTACTAACAATGAACCGTTGATAATCTTCAAATAATCGGACTCTATTCAACAAACTTATCAACAAGAATTTCCAACGGTTAATGTTCGTTTATCTCGTTTCTTGTTTAAAATTTCTGAACTTTTGTCCTCGAGTGTCGTCACGCTATTCGTCGACCAATGAAAACCGACCTGTGATGTGTCAGTAGTACGTTCAGAAATATCCTACGATGTTCTCAAATTTAAGTAATAAAAACTTTTATTACACTATTCACTAGCAATAAATTCTCACTTCTTTGACATTAATCATAATAAAGAAGCTCAATAATTAATGCTTAATATTTACCCTATATACCATGAGAGCTACCTTATAACTATTTTTCACGATTCACGATTATTTGTCGCAGTACTCGTAGTCCTTAGCAACCAAGTGAGTGAGGTCAACACAAGCGTAGAAGTTTTTTAATTAAATAGTTATATCTAAATATATTTTGAATAAATGAATTGTATAATTTGTATATGCACAATACAAAAATATAATATGGTATTCTACGTGAAAAAGTTAAAAATTGGTTTAAATCAGTGTCGTAGATATGAGATAGGTACGCCGGTTACAGCAGGTTCATCGGAATACAGGAATTTTATAAGAGATCGGAATACAAGAATTTTACAGGAAAAGTGTGTTAAGCCATAAGATCGTAATTTTGAAGACATTTTGTAGATCACTTATATATATATTCAGTATTTCCTTTTTACAAAAAGCCATGAAAAAAGTCAAGAGATAATTTTCGTTCGAAACATAATTTGTATTTCAAAAACAACAAAAAAATATTCCTTTTTCAAAGGCCTGCATAATTTTAGAGAAAAATATGACCCAACATTCCTCATATCTACGCTACTGTTGCAAGTGAGAGTTCACAAAACATGTTATTGTCATAATATAGTGTGCGAAAAATTTCGTTTCATTATATTCATTTGCTTAGGAAATATTTTGTTTAAATATCAACACCTTGTATCTGAAATACGAAGGTTTCAAGGACAATATTTATATAAAAAATAATCTTAATTTTGATATGCAAAATCTTCATTTTTGGCACGTCAGATTTATTTTATCCACCAGACAACTTCAACTTTTGGCGTCAAAATACCAACACTAGAGGTTTACGAAAATGAACTCGGCACTCTGAGTTCATCTAGATCACTATCTAGACATTTTGTTCTCTCTCTCTCTCTCTCTCTCTCTAATACCATAAGAATGACAAAGATAAAGATAGTGATCTTAGCACTCAAAGTGAATTTTCGAAAACGCCCACTATTCTTAGTCCACCAATATATAATCAATGCTATATATAGTGGCCTTAATTAATTACCGAACCAGATCACCACATCAAAATAAAAACTATTGCAAATTAAACAGCATGTCTTTAATTTTAATGACGACTAAAATGTAACATCAAAAATTAAAAATTAAAGGAGACACCACAAAACATATAATAGAGGAGACACATCAATGGAACAGATATTGGAGAGAGAAAGGCAGGTGTGAGAAGTTGCGCCAATGACCTATAAGGAGATTTTACGCTGTCATTTTACGTCTACGCGCAAGCGTAGAGTGTAGAGACCTTGATAGATAAAATTTTTGTTTGTGTGTGTCAATTAGGGTTAGAATTAATTTTGCAAAGTTATGGTTTGTTCTAAATTATGATAATGGAAAGGAAAATAAAACTAAAAACACTGAACAGTCATATAACTTGTAAAATATGTAGGGGATATTTAATTGATGCGACAACTGTTACAGAATGTTTGCATACATGTATGTACTATTTATTTTTTTTTTGTAACAAAAAGTGATCCATACTAAATTAAATACAAATTTTTAGTTTGCAAGAGTTGTTTGGTGAAACATTTGGAAGAAAACAACACCTGCCCAACATGCAGCATTGTCATTCATCAATCTCATCCATTGCAATACATAAGTTTCGATAGGACTATGCAAGACATCGTGTATAAGCTTGTACCCGATCTACAAAAAAGTAAGTCTCCATTTTGTATACTTCTCAGTTAAAAACACGTATTTTCTTTCAGATGAAATTAATCGTGAAAGAGAATTCTACCGTCAAAGAGGTTTACCTAATCCTAAAGATATCCCACTTACAAATGGAGATCTACACGGCGATGACAACCACGTAGACAACACTCATGCGGAAAGTGACTATCATAGACAAGATGAACAAGTAAATGTGTGTTTGGAGTGTATAAGTTCGAATTTGAAAACGTTAAAGCGTCGATTCATTCGGTGTTCTGCTCAAGCGACCATTCTTCATTTAAAGAAATTTGTGGCCAAGAAGGTTCTAAACGGCATGGAGAAGTATAGAGATGTAAGTATTATAAGAAAATAAATATATTTTTTTTATTCAAGATAACCAGGTCTTAAAAATATAAGGGTGGTTAAATTAAAGTTACAGAATTTGATGACAAATAACATACCAAAGAGGAATATTTTCCATTTTTTTTGTTTTCAATACTGAAAATTTTATTTTTCGTTTTTATATAGGTGGTTTTTAAACTCAAAACATTAGTGGCACACTTTTGTGGAGAAATCAAATATGTATTAGCTCTAGTGCCTATCAGGATAGAGATGAGACATTCAACTTTTGTTTTTCTAGTAAACTCCATATTGGATCACTTCATTTTTTAACTCTGCTCATTTTTATGGCTATGATGATGCACCTGCATCATATCATATGATTTGTTTTTTTTTGCCAAAATATTGCATTATTCAGTTTTACAAAGAATGCCTTGGAAAAGAAAAATCCAGGTATTACTGTAAACCAAATTTTGAGTTCAGCTAAGTTTTCATTTGCATCAGAGTTTAAAAAACCAAAATCACAAGAAAAGCCATATCAGCATCAAATTAAGTTAATTTTGAAGAATATTTCATCTTTCTTTGTCAAAATTTAGACTTTACTTCTTTAAACTCTGAGGACAATGACAATTTAATTGAACTGTCATAATTTTGTATGGAGTTGGATGTTTTGTGTTTAAAATACTTTGTAAAAGTGGATAATTTGATGTTTCAGCAAAAACAAAGAAGCAAATCTTTTTGTATGACAGAAAATATTAGATTCGACAGTAATTTTGTTGCCTTATATCTGTAAATATACGAAAACGAAAATGTGATTTATTATCGTTATTTCTTTTATTAAAAAGAAAGAAACAAACGATCGTCACATTCCAGAGATGTAGATTCTAACTCTGTTTTTTCTTTTGGAACACCCTGTCTATTTTTACATATTCAATATGGTCAAGAAAATGTATCATAAGTTAACGTCGAGTTTAACATATTAGAAAGAGATGACTGTTAGTTGTTAAGTACCAATTAGACAACTAAATTTTTGTCTAACGAATGTTTTAAATATTCTGATAATTATGGTAGAAGATAACATTTTTGTGTTATGGCCCTATACATTTTTTTTACAGGTTTTCTAGTTTTCTATATAATTTTTTGGATCTATCTTTGTTTATGTCTAGATCGATTTTCTTTATATGTTTCCATTGATTTAGTATACTTTTCATCAATTTTTTAAATATCGATTCAATTAACTGTTTATAATACTGTTTTGTTATTTTTTATTTTATTATTAACTTTTTTAGTTAATACCTTCGTTTTTATGACTGCATTATATTGACTCTTCTCATGATTTTATCTCTCAGTTCATGTATTAATGTTTGCCTAAGGTACTTACAACAAATGATACAAAATAAAATGTGAGCGCAGGTAATTCTAGTAATTTAAAAAAATGCTTGAAAAAATATCTGTATGCAACAAAAGATTTGTGCAAATGTATGATAAAGTGTACTGCTCTCGCAATATGACTTATCGGTAACAAAAACAATTCTTATCTGTTTGTTTGTAGCAAGAATCTTATCTGAAATGGTATACTCATTTATTCCATTATTGCTATAAATTTTTTTATATAGGGCTAAATTTATCTATTCTTATTATTGCATGTTATGGTTTATTTAAAAGATATTAAAAATCAAATAAATATGTTTCGTCGGAGAATTATTCAATTTTTCCAGTTTTTTTAAATACCAATTTAGTAAAAATAATTTTCTAAATGATTTTATTTTAGTTCCTAATGCGGGTACCTATAATTTCTTTTTTGCTTACTTTTATTTTTGTTGTAGATCGATATACTTTGCAATGACGAATTACTAGGGAAAGACCACACTTTAAAATTTGTGTATGTGACAAGATGGAGATTTCAGAACCCACCACTGACTTTACAGTATCGACCTCGAATCGATATATAATTTATTTTTTAGTTATTTAAAAATATATAATTAACTCTAAAATTTGTACCATTCAGAGTTAATTATCTATTGAAATTGTTATTTATATTTATTTAGTTTTTCTTATTTTATAACTGACTTTAAAATATTGTGTTTAAAATTTACAGAAATATGACAACCTTAAAAATTTTTACAGGACATTTTAAATATCTTTACAGTTTAACATAAAGGTTTAAGGGTTTTTGTGCAATATGTTTAAAACCATCTGATTAGTTTTGTTGGAGTACAATTTCATTGTATTAATTAACTGTTGTTTTAATATTTTAAACACAATATAAATAAGGTAACCCATACTTAACATATAGTACAAATTTTTATAGTGCTGTTAAAACAAAATGTTCTTCAGGAGTATTTATCTCAATAATTTTAAAAATTTGAAACACCAAATATCGTAATGTAAATTTATTTTATACATTATCAGTGTCGTATGTTTTTTGTGGAATCAGTATGATGACAATGTGATACTATAATTTTTATATTTTTGGGAAATTGTTGCGAGTTAGGATAATATAACTGTCCATCTTTTATACAAACAGTATCACAACTGCAAAATATTCAATTACTTCAGTTGCCTTATATTTTTATGTATTGTAGACAAAGGATGCTAGAAAGGTTTTCTCGCTGACGCTAAATAGAAGATTCCCTTTTTAATATTATTTTTCAACATGACCTCTCTTAATTTCACAATTTGCCCTGCAACGACTTAATCTCATCAGAAAAAACCATTCCAGTTGGCCTTCAAAATAGTCGTCAATATGTTATTTTTACATGTTTAATGTCTAAAATGATGACTCCCAAGATGCTTCTTCAAATTTTTGAATGAAAAAAGTCAATTGGAGAAAGTAGTGATAGTGATGGATGATGACTTTTGTTCTTTTGTATTATTGTCTTCTGAATTGTACCTTAAATGGATACTTTGAATAGTTTCGTCTACGGAATGAGGTATCACAGCTTACCCAGATTAACCATCTTTATTATCATTACTTGCTTCACAAACTTTTTTAAATTTAGTTAAGTATAATAATAATGATAGTACATGAAAACAGGTGTCACATCAAAATTGTTTTAGTCATTTTAAGGAAATAAATATTTAAATAAACACCAATACTAACATCCAAAAGGCGGTAGTACTCAAAACAACAGCAATAATTAGAAATTTTTCTGAATTAATATTATTATATTTTATGTAAATTTAAGATAATACAATCCTTTTTTACTCAAAGGTTTGATAGAAGTTTAAACAGTGTTGCCAGTAAAGTACGCATCATATGGAAAAACTTTTTTATTTTATCACATTTAAAAATAATGCTATTTTTGGCATTTTCATTAAATAAATGTGAAATATGTCAGAAATAGATCATAGATTGCTTTCTTAATCCATCGATAATCAAAAGTTCCAGATGTTTTTTCTATTACAAAACTTCACCCAATGTCATTCTAATCACTGTGTCTTCCTGGGTTCAATTTCTTCATTTATAAATAGTGTGTTAATAGGAGAGAATTTTTTTATTTAATTTTTATTGTGACAGTTATATTGTTAAGAGCTGCAATTTACGAGTTTAATATTTAGCCAACTAGTATTTATCTGCCTTTGGGTTCCTTCTGTGTTTAGAGAAATGTAAATATTAGAGTACTTGTAAAAATTTTGTAGTTTTATATTATAATTGTACTACTTTCTTAAATCCGAAAATGAATGAATTGTGACCATTTCATTTATTTTCGACAATTTTTCCATGTATATTGTAATTAATTTAGGTTTACTTTTATTTCGCCAAATGGTTAGGTTAAGATTTTCATAGTGTTTAAAGAGTCAAGACACTATGGCCTGTCCTATATCTTTGACGATTATGAAGCCAATAATAATCGATAGTATCTGTAAGTTTCCATTTATTTGTTAAGGATATAAGGTGGGCTTAGAAATTTAATTTATATGCCTTACATGAAAATTAATCAAGCCTAAAGTCTCTTAATGCGACTAAATTTAGTGATATTGAAGTATGCAATGAAAATGGTATAATTACGAATTGAAGAATTTAGAACAAATTTGATAAGCAATACAAAGTCAGGGATATAAGAGTTACCCCAACATTTTTGAAAACTACAACAATCGTAAAATCTTCCTTTGTTTGGAAATTTTATAAACTGCCAAAATGCAATAATGTGAGTGTTACGTGTTGTATGTTATTAGCAAAATTCAACTCTTCGATGCCAAGAAGTGGAAGAAATGAATATAGTAAATGTAAAGTAGTTAAAGTACAATTGTAATTTTATGTAAATTATTTTTGTGAAATATTAGACACTGCAGATGAGACAAAATTTTATAAATTTTAACTTTTATACAAGTTTATAAAAAATTCATTTAATAAATGATTAACTAAAGCAATAAATGTGGATAATCTATTCTAATTTAGCCATTTGATGGTAGTTGCTTTGGCAATAAATAACAATGGTTTAGTGTTATGTAAAAAAGGGAACACAATTAAAGAATTTCCAATTAAAACTTCGGATTTAAATATATTCAGGTGAATTTCTGAAGTAAATCAAAGATTATTGTTCCTTTCGTATAATACATATACAGGTTGAATTAAACCTACAAAGTCCTTTGGCACAAATTAATTGTAATTAATGTTCTGGTTAATTCTTTTTAACCATATTTTCCAAAGAAATATCCATTTTTGGTGTAGTTAGATTGTTATTCATCTTCTTTGAGTCACTCCCGCTTTATCAAAGGGAATTGTCTTTACAATTTTTCATTTATTTTATTCATAATTACTTCAATTTGAGTGAGGGTTTACCAAAATTCACTCCAAGTGCTATCTCAGTCCTTGTTTATCTTATGGTATTAAACATAGAGGATAATGTGTTTAATTTACTAAGAGTGAATTTTTCCTCTTATTTTGATTAAGCTTCTAAGAAATTGAATAAGGTTTAAGGGAAATTGAATAAGGTATTCACTTTGAATGCTCAGATTAATATATCTGCCCTTGTTATTCGTATAGATGATGGGTTAAGATGATTAAAAGTTAATTTTCTCTCTTCCAATTTAAGCTTTTATGAAACTGAATAAGAATTTATTAAAATTCACTGGGAATGCTCAGATTACTATCTCTGTTCTTTATTCTTTGGTATTAGAGGTACAGGATATGTTTATATTACTACGAGTTAATTTTCCTTCTTGTTTTGATTCAAACTTCTAAGAAATTGAATAAGGGTTTATTATCTCTGTCATTATTCTTATGGTGTCCGAGGTAACGTACGAGGTGTTTACATCATAAGAGTTAATTTTCCCTTTTATTCAGGCTCCTCAGAAAGTACATTTTGGTGAATATTGGATTCACTTTGTCCAGCTAACTGACCAAACTGTAAAAATCAAGATTAATAATGTTACATTGTCCTTGGTGATCTAAAGAATTTTGCAAAATTGTAACATCTTTTTAAATTGTTTGAGTATTAATATAATTATATTATTAATTATGTTTTCTTCTCGTTGAACACTGGAAAGAATATTATATTAGTTTAGATAAATAATTTACTTTTTTAATCGTTATAAATAAAAAATGTACTGAATCAGTTGGGTAGTTGGCACAATGACAATCTTTTGATATTACCTATTTATTTCTGTACCTTTTAATGAAGAATATTGTAAGTGATTTTTGTTAAAAGTACATTATTTTCTTAAACACACTATATTGAAAATTCAGTTTTAAACCATGTATATTTTAAAAAAAATCAAAACTCTCAGTTATATTAAAAATATAAAATAAGTATCAATATATTTTTGCAAAAACTAATACTGTGTGTTTTAGATCATATAACTTCTTTATTTTTTTGTAATGTAGAATTTTATGAAAGTAGTAGCATAAATGCTTATGTGCGGTGTTTAATCTGTTAATAATTCAATTTCTTTAAATGTATATTCATTTCATAAAGACAGAAGTATGTTTCATGCAAAGGGTATATTAGAAATTAGAGTTTTTTTTTGTAAAAATTTAAATTTGTTATTTTGTTAATAAAATACTTTTGCTTTCAGAATTATTCATTTGTGACATGAAAATATACAAAAACAAATTTTCATTAGTCTCAAATTTTCAATATACTCTACTCCCAATATTTTATTTAATTTTTGTAAAATATAATGATTTTTAATGAGGTATATACAAACGAAAACCAGATATATATTTTTGTTTATAACTTTTAGCCTTTTTTTGACAATAACTACCTCATATTTTTATATTTGTGGCTCTTAAAGTTTTTGATAAATTTATAGTTAATAGATACCGGCAGAAAATTTTGTTTAGCAATGCCATTTTGATTGCATATTGGCTATTATATAGTCATGTAATTGTGTATGCCGAGTTCCCAGTATACTGTCTTTCAATTTTTCTATTTAATAGCATTGCGCTATGAGAGATGCTACCCAAAAATCAAAATATTTGCATTTTTATACAATCATACCTTGCAGTGTATGTAATTTTTTAAATGATTTAAAAATTTCATTATTTATAAGACTTGTCATGTAAATATTCTACATGTAATTGAAAAACTAGACCATTTTATTGTTTTTGCTAGCAGCAGTTATTTTTGTATTTCAATATATCTTACATAAAAACTGTCGCCCAGTTTAAGTTAGCTTTAAAACTTTTTACAAAATCATTGTCTATAGAGGTGTGAATTAAATATATTATTTTTTTTACAAGTTATTTTAAGAGAAACATTTTAATTCCCCCCTCCTTATATTTTAGAATCAACATTGCCCCAACGTATTGAAAAATATTGCGTTGCCAGATAAAAACAAATAAAGAAGTAGCCTTTACTTCCTGTATGAATTGTAACGTGTCGTTGAAAAATTAAAATTGACAATGTGTGTGCAAAGAGAACAGTACCAATCAGCACACAGCAGTGATAGCACTAAATAGAAAAGTATAACCAATCACAGACGTAATGGAAATATGCCGTTTTACAGCGCCAAATTTGAAATGTATTACCTATCATAGAAATATCACGTTAATTGTGGTTATATTAAAATACTGACATAAATTTGATTCTGTTAAGTGTATGTCAATTTATAAAAAATATATACATCAACATTAGACTGAAACTATTTTTGGAAAAATTACCACAATCTGAATAATTCCGTTCCACTGCAACGTTTCTTTTATAAACTAGATAACTTGCAGCAGGTTGCTATATTTAATGTTTCTGAAACTTTTTCTCGGTCACTTTCAATAAGCTAAAATGGAAATAAAAAAGGAAACACGATAACTTTACTATGATGTGTAGAGTTTGGAAATGTTAGGACGGCTGCAATGTGGTACAGGGTTCTTTTATGTAATTTTATTCAAACAAAAAGTGACACAACTGTACTTCTACACTAAACACTTCACATGGAACTTACCATAGTATTGTGAGTTGTGAGCATAGAGCGGCAAGTTTCCGATGTCTAATGATGACGTAACCGTAACCAATTCCTTAATTTTGATTATTATGGGAATATTTTTCACAGGCATGTGTTTGAATTATTTTAAATTCAAATGGTGTTTCCGTTATTCTTGAGATATTGAAAAAACGTTATTTGTTTGTTGAATTTCATGTCGCGTTAAAAGGACTTGGGAAACGGTCACTTCATTGTTTGAAAAAAAAAAAATTCATTCAAGACTATAGTTTGGTATTATCTTCTTCTATAGTATGTAATAAACTAAGTAGATACATATTTAAATAGGTATGTCAGATACATAATTCCCTTAATTTTACAAATGCAATTAAAATAAGGTGTTTAATTACGCGACTAAATTTTGATAGCAATTCAACTGTTCTATCTAATCCATTTAAGCAGCGCTAACGCAGATTATACGATAAAATATAAAATCAAGCAATTCGCTGGTAAAATTTTTTTAATCTGATTTTATTTTAATAACTTTAATAAACAACTAATTTAAACTGAGTTTGGTTCAGCTATCTAGGTACTTAAGTATTTTAGTTTAAGTGAGAGAGATGTTCTGGTCCATATGGTTCTGGAACACGGTTTGAAATTAAAGGTCATTTCTATTGCTCCTCTGTGGAACCTTGGCCAAAATCTTCTCTTTTTACCAAATTTAGGTAATTTGCCCAAATAATTGAGAGTTATTGAGAGCAAACAAATCTAGCGGTAGACGTATTATTTCAATTTTTAGGCAACTCTTACGCTTAATTTGTGTTTAACGAGCGAATGAGAAAGATTTACCTCTGTGTTTTTGGGGATTTTTGTGCGACGAAATCACGGATCAGAGCAACAGTTTTAGACGTAAGTAGAAAGTTTATCTTCATCCAGTACATGTAAAGAGATAGTGGGGGATTAAACATTAAACACAATTACTTTGGTTTTATAAAAGCAATTAAAAATACATATATAACTAAAATTTTAAGAGCAATTCAGTAATTTTATCTAATCCATTAATAATATAATAATATAAGCAGTACCAATCAGATTGTAACTGATTTTAGGATAATAAAATAAAATCAAGCAGTTCCCTGATAAAATTTATAAAACCCGTCTTATTTTGTGTAGTGCTATAATAAAATGAGGGGTAAATATATTATTTCTTAATAAACAACTAATTTAAATTTAATTTGACCAGTTACCTACTTAATTTATTCTGAGGGAAAATCATCCAATTTACAGAGAAATTGATTCCATGTTTTTTATATGCAGGGCAAAAAAGTCCACGAAAAAAATTATAGAATAACTATTTAACCAATTAAATAGACGCGCCTCGAAGCAAAGTTAATTTGGCTGTATTTAGACTCCTCTTACTTACTTTGCCTCGTCCTGTGTGACCGTCCTGTCCCTGTCACTCGTCTTCTCGATTGTCGATCGCACTAAATGACGTCATAAATTAGCGCGGCTGCAAACACTCGTTTAAAACAGTTTGCTCATCAAACTTTAGCAATTAATTATTAGTTATTTCTAATATTTTCACTACATGATTATATAAGACTATAGATTATTTCTAGATATTTAAAAAATATGTGCAAGTTCTCTATTTTTTGTCACACATTTCCAACAAATTATCTTTAGTGTTTACTACAATTTTGTTAACACATAAAAGTACTGATCTGTTTCTATGAAATGTTTTCTTAAAATCGTTTAAAGTTTTTACAAACAATTATGTGTTACTATTTTTTTCTCGCGGCGGGGGGATGTGGAAACCTAACCTTTCTTTTAAATTATGAGATTTGACAACAATGCATAGCCCAGTTCACAATTGTGCATTCGTTGCATCCACCGCGCGCCGTTGTTTGTCACGCTATCTTATCCAGTGGCGGGGTATAAAATAAAAGGCTAAAAAGAAAATGTTTTCGAATTTGAAAAAATTAATTATTAATATGTGTTTCCAAAGGTAGCCTCGTTATAAATATGACCCCCACTGAAAAGTTACACCCTGTATAATACTTTTTTATAATATTTTTTTTATAATGTAATCATGAAACATGCTAGGAAATCATTAGCGCGGAAAATAAAATTTTTTGATTTTTCAAACTTGAGACAAATGTATTTAAAATCGCATTTCTCGAAAAAAAATCTTACGGATTTATTTGAACTTTCAGCAAAATCGATCTCGAAAACGAAGTATTTGCAGACATTTTTTCATAAGACCTTTCCTAAGGATAATCGACCAATAAGAAAGTTTTGCTGAGATAATCTATACTATATGCCTTGTCCGTCTTTCACACAAAGCACGTTTTATATTATGTCAGTAATATAAATATAACAAACAAAATTTGCTTGTGTGTTGCATATACAGGGTGTTTCTGAAATAAGTGCGTTCCTTGAACAAGGGCGTCGCCAAAGGGGGGACAGCTGAATTTTAAATTAAAAAAAACAAGTTTTTATCTATCGGATTCAGAATAAAAGTTTAACAGTGCAACTAAAGCTATATATGTAACGCACCAATTTTATATAGGGGGAATGAAAATCGTTTTTTAACTAATTTTCGTCGAATTTCTTTATTTTTTAGGGTTTTATTAAAAATATTTCTAAAAAAATTAATTCACTGTATCTATTTCTAACTCTAATTTATATTTTTCCCACCCTTTCTCTTATCTTGTGAGTTACTTTTACACGATATTTGAATACATTTTAGCATATTCGAACAAATAAACTTTATATTTGATCAAAGAACTACCAATTATTTTACTAAGTTTATAAAACGTATCCGTTTTCAGTGACACAATCAAATGATCCTGTTCAGCTAAAAAGAGTACTGGGTCTGTTCTCTGCGGTAAATTTCATTATTTCAGTAACTATTGGATCAGGTATATTCATCTCACCTACATCTGTTCTAAAATACTCCAAATCGGTTGGGATGTGCGTTCTTGTATGGAGTTTGAGTGGTGTTATCTCTTTACTAGGTAAGTCAACCGTATTGAGTCATCGTCAAAAGAATCGTCTCTTCCAAAATATTTCAAAACCGTTACAATGTTTTTCCTTTTCTTTAGGTGCGTTAACTTACGCCGAACTTAGCACCTTAGTTCCAAGATCTGGTTCGGACTACGTGTATTTTATGAGTACGTTTAATAAATATCATAGATTTTGGGCCAAATTGCCATCGTTTCTGTATTCAATGGTGATGATCATGGTCATAAGGCCAGCTTCCATAGCCGTAGTTCTACTAACGTTTTCGCATTACATCAGCGATCCAATACTAGACGCATATTGTATAACGGATCTTGATGTTATTGAAAAGGTTAAGATAACTCTGGCCATTTCTGGATTAGGTGAGATTACACCTATTACAAACACAGAAGTAGATATGAATCATAGACTTAAATGTTAACAGTTTTGTTACTTTTAGGGCTTTTGACATACATTAACACCGCCAGTGTAAAATTGTACGTTTTAATACAGAATATTTTTGGCTGTTTCAAAGTGATTGCATGCCTAATAGTAGTAGGTGGAGGAATCTACGAAATTGCAATGGGTAATGCCTCGTCTGACATTTATCTGACTTGCCAATCTCTAAATTAAATTACAGGTAATGCGGAAAATTTACAAAAAGGTTTTGAAGGGACGACGTCATCGCCGAAAGATGTCGCTCTTGCCTTTTACAGCGGACTTTGGGCTTTCGAAGGATGGTAATAATATTGAAATTAATATAAATGATTAGCAAAAAAGGATTATATTTTTCTATTTCCGATAACAAACGGGAATATTGATTTTATACAGCATTTAAAAAAGTCCTTTATCCAAATTTGTGGATTTATGTTGGTTACAGTTTTTGAAACATTTGTGGGAATTAATTTGTTTTTGGTGTACACTATATTCCATTAAAGACCAATATAGATGCTTTGGGAGCTTGAATTTTAAAGACCAAAGTATGTTACCATTATCCATATAATTAATAATAATCAAACAATGAGAAATAATTTATCCAAATTTTTATATTTTTTTCATTAAGACGGATAGAGTTGTAGCAGAATTTAATCGAACTTTTTTGTTTTCAGAATAAATCAAATATGCAAATATGTTTATAAATTATCATTTATATAATAAAAATGCATTCTAGAAAACAAATTTTTAATGTTGAAGAAAAAACTTCTTTAAGATACGTTTTTCGTACATTAATGCTAAGAACTTTATGAAAGTGATTTTCAAGTGATAATATCTCAAATACAGTAAATAAAGAAACGCCAAATATAGCAGAAAATCTAACAAAGAAAAGTTCTTTCCAGCGGCTTCTAAAGATATTTCTGAGAAAAAAATACCGAATCCCCACCAGGAATATGCAACAACTTTTTTTTATTTCACTTTTGCCACCGAAAATTTTCCGACCGTTTTCAGAATTTAATTATTTTTAGTCGTTTTCAAGAAAAACACTCTTCAACCCTCTATTCATTACCATAAGTTTTAATCCAGGACTTTTTTAAAGTGCTACTCAACTATTACAGCATGTACAGTTCGTCATGAAACACACTGTATTTTTTGTAGGTCTATGGTGACATCCATAACAGAGGAAATAAAAAATCCTGAAGTGTAAGTTTACTTCTTCCTTTTTTTACAATAAGGTTTAACCCGTTAAACCTTCCGCGTTGTACAGAGTGCCCTTATATTCCACGTACATGAAGTTGTCGTAGATCTTTGATGTCAATTAATATCGTTAGTAGGTGCAGTTTATCAGTAATAAGTGTACCAAAAGATGAAAAAAAGTCGTTTAACTGAAAACGAAAAATATGGCAAAATAATAAAGTTAAATTCCCCCTTGAATTTATTGTTCATAGTTTCCGAACACCCTATATTTCAAATGCTATTTTCTTTTTGTATGAATGTACAATTTAGGAAAATTTATCGTTATCGAGATATACAATAAGTAGTTAAGATCTGCAAATTAATTATTTCTATTATATATATTATTTTTTAGAAATATCCTAAGAAGTATACTCATAGCTGTTCCACTTGTAACTATTTTGTATGTATTTATGAACATATCGTACATGACAGTACTAACAATAGAAGAACTGATAAATTCATCGGCGGTAGCAGTAGCATTTGGGCAGTCAGTTTTAGGAAAATTTGCTGTTGTGATACCATTGAGTGTCGCTTTCAGCACATTTAGTTGCTCTCTAAGTCTACAATTTGGAATTACAAGGTAAATAATCAAACTCTTAAACCAACTCATAAAGTGTAGGTCGTTTTTTACTTCTCTTGATCTTATTTTAGTTTCGCTCGGTATTTTGCTAATAATTCTGTCAGCTTCAGACAGAGAAGTCTGAATAAGTTAACAGTATAAACAGCGAAACGTCAATCGAACCTAAACGAACATGTGAAAAATAATACAAAAACATCATCTATTTTTCTCTTGTAATACTTGAATAAATGTTTATATACTTTTAAATTCAATCTTTATTTCGAACACCAATGGCTTTAGACTCTTTTTGAACTAAAAATAATCTAAGAAACAACATTGTAGAGAACACTATCAGATTTTTCCTATTTTAGGCTGTGTTATGTCTCTGGACAAGATGGTTTAATGTTGAAGAGTCTATCGTACGTACATTATAAAAAAATGACCCCTGGTCCCGCAGTTGTGCTTCAAGGGATCATTACATTTTTGTTTATATTAACCAAGGATGTAACCGAGTTGATTCAATTTGTTGGCTTCATGAAGATGATATTTTACTCGCTTTCAATGGTGTCACTGTTAATATTAAAGAAAAGGATGAAAGACGCCCCAAGACTTTATAAGGTATCGAGTGTGCCTTGCAAATGGTGTGTTACACACAATGTTATAGCTTTGCAATGAAATGATAATCTAACAAATTAAAGTACGTTCTGTACATATTATTATTACAACGAATTTAAGCACCTAAAATTGTTAATTGTTTTAGTTGTTGTTTCTATAGTATTTTCGTCCGATCTTAATTTTCTTTTTTGATAGTTACCATTCGAAAATTTTGTAATTCTTCTGCAATCTTTTATTATTATTCCCTCTCTACTAGTCTATTAATCTTTGCCCAGTAACACCTTTCACATAGCGTGATTTTTTATTAATTTATTACCGTTGATGTGTCTCTTATTACAATTTTTTTGCTTTTGTTCTTTTTTGCATGTTATAAATGTTTTTATCTATGCTTTGAGTGTCAGACCGAACAAGTATTTCAAGAGAAGTTAAATATGTAGTGCTCTTTTCCATATGCGTGAAGTAAGATTCTATATTTCTTGTTTCCTGATCATCAACAAGAGAATGGTTTTGCAAATTAGACCAGTTTTAGCGTATATAACTTAGTGTCTCTGCTCTCAACTTCTCGTGATTATTTTGGTGATAATGTAGGTATGGGCTTACTGAACTAAAAAGGTTATTATTATTTTACTGTTATTCTATTTTTAGGTATCTATTATCTATTATCTGTTACCTCTTATATGTTATCTGTTATCTGGTGTGTGTTACATGTTATCTGGTATCTATTATCTGTTATCTGTTATCCGTTACCGGTTATCTATTCTCTATTGTTTATTGTATACTGTCTATTATCTATTTTATTATTGTTGTTATTTTTTATTTTTTTTCAGGTTCCATTTCTGTTGCCAATATTTATGCTTTTCATTTTTATGTTCCTATTTTTCACTCCGATAGTAATAGATCCAACTGCAAAGCATCTAATTGCTCTAGGCATTGTAGGGTTTGGCATAATTTTTTATTATGTGTTTATTTACAAGGATTTGCAGCCCGATCTATTTTTGAGTAAGTATGAGTCTTGCTTTAGTTTCGAGTTTTTAATATATGTAAAAAGAAAAGAAGGCATATAAAAACAAGTACGTTCGTAAAATCTAGTATTAAAACATTTCTGTATTTTAGGTGGTTTAAATAGCTACATACAAATTTTATTTGAAGCAATACCGTCTCGAAGCATACAAGAAGTAGGAGATGAAGAAGTCGTTAATAGGCCGTAACAAACAATTAAATATTTTATTATTAATTAATGTATTGATTAATTAAGTAATAATTTCCATGAAATTTAAGTGCAGGGAGACAATAATTTATTTTTATTTTTTTAATTTCTACATAAAGTCTCAAAGTTTAGCAAACCAGTTCAGCAAGCGGTGTCTTTTTTTACTGTATTCTCTTATGCAAAAAAAATTAAAAATAAAGAACATATTTAAATCTATTGTTTGTCCTATCTCAAATTTCTTTTTGACTGACAATCTCTTATTATTTTCAACATGATAAACATTAATTTGATGAACATAGTACTTTTACAGTATTACTAGATATCTTAAAGGATCCATGATTCCAGATCGTCATTTGTCTTCCGATTTATTTAATATAGAGGATAATTTATTAGAATCCGTCAGTACTTTGGTAAGTTTAAGAACATGGAGCCAGTTGTGTAGTTAGTTTGGTTAAATGATGTTAAATAAAATTGTGATGCAAAAGTGTAACAACGGCAACTTTTACTTCTCAATAAAATTATGGCATAATTACATATGACATGTACAATACAATTGTTTTTTAAATGTATTATTGTGAAACGCGTTATGTTAGTTAACTTCTCTAAGTTAAGTACTAGTTTTACTTAAAAAAAATTGTTTCTGTCTTTTACAAAAATCAATATACCAGTGCTGATTTACGGAATTTGAGACGCACTGTATGTGTCCCCATGTACATTAATTAAAACTGCAATAATGAGATTATATTTTATTTATAGCAGAGTGTTTTTGTTACACTAGAATGAGTACACCAGTTATGGTTTGTTAAAATATCTTTATTAAACGTTGAAGGTTCGGTTTACCTTAGACAAATTATTTAGTTTAGCACTTTCTCAGAAATAATGTAGACATTATGTTTGTTAAACCATATTGTGCTCTTGGTTTTAGTTTTTATGCTTTGAAAGGAAAGTTTATATCGCTTATAAAAATATGCCGTAACTAATCAATTAAAACAAATTATTTTCTAGGGTTTTACAGAAAATAAAAAATGCCCTTTCAGTCACAGTAGATATTTGCCGTCAACGAACATAGGTCTGGCTTTATTTGATAAGATTGTTTGGATTTTTTCTAATTTCAGGAGTGTCGTCAACTTTTTTTTTAACAGTTCATCTATGCTACTGGAATTTTCTCAAAAATAGTAGTTTTTGGTAAGACCCAACTTGTTTGAAAGAATTATAAAATAAGAATTAAAATCTCTGACAACACAGATTGTTGGTATATATCTTTTGTTTAAGATGAAAAGAACACAAGTTTCTATGAAAAGAGTGTTAAAAATTATAAAATGGATGGTAAATGAAATTGAGAAGTTTAACATTTTTATTTCATGAAAAATACTTTATATTAGAGAATGTGTTCCTCAGCAAATAGACGAGTTTCAAACCCATTACCATTGGCATGTCCATACAGAAAATAATCAAAGTGCAATCTTTAACAGTAATAATTAATGTATTTGTGCAATATGTCATTTTATTCCTAAAAACAAAAACAACATAGGTACTTTTTTATAAGAACACATGAATAAGAACCACACGCCATTTATTAAGACAAAAATGTCAAATTTTGTATTGTCATATCATCAAATGTTGTGTTGTGCATATGGTCAATAAAGAGGCTATTAAAATTACATCGTGCCATTTTCCCGAAAACGATGCCTCATATCGAAATGAGTATATTTTCCGTGCCTATTCTACTTTTTCAGACACAGTGAACTTTTTGTAATAATCACAACATATACTGTACTGCCCGGGAACAAATTTTTACCAATTTTTGAGGGTGCTGAATACGAATTTGGAATTATTTTTGTGCAGTTGAATCTAATTTTCGAGAAAACAAATATTCAAAATTCAGTTATGTATCATTTAAAATACATGTAATTAGACTCATCGCTGGCCTGGAAAATATATTTTCAGAAATTTTAAGAAAAGCTATGTTTATTTAATCTACACAGCCTTCATAAATGATTACAAGTCACGTGACTGTCGAGCTTAGGCAACCAACATTGCAGGGCTGGCACTGGTAACGAAAATTATCTGGGCTGGATAGAATCTTGTGAAAAATTACACCGATCACAACCGGTGAAACAGAATATTGTGTTTTAATGTAATCTTGATCTTATTTTTTTAATTTCACCGAAATTTAATTGCCAACATGAAGGAAATAAAATTACTGTTCCCAACAATGATATTGCTTTTTTAAACTTATATTTCCATATAATAAAAACTAGTTTATCTACCTACATAGAGTTAGGTTGGGTTAGATAAGTTCTTTTATATGAATTAAAAAAAAATTATTTGACCCAACTTTATGTAGAAATTAGAAAATTAGAATGATAATCAAATTAGACATTACTTTTTTTATTTTATTTAAAAAAGCTCAACCTGATCTAACCTAACTTTATGTAGATGGTAAAATTTGATTTTAAAAAATTATCTTTGACGTCCTGTTTCTTGAAAACAAAAGATGTAAAGCCCTTGATCCTTAGGAAAAAATATTCTTACCGTCTAACGTTAAGACTTTTCCCAAGACATCCTGGGTATTAATAAGTCTATACAGGGGCGTAGCTACAACTTTTGCTTGGGGTGGACCCAGGCCTGCAAGCAAAAAAAATAGGTCAGCGTCTTACAATATCAAATTTTAATTTGATTCTAAAATATGACAAAAATAAGATGATAATATTCCCTGCTCCCCCCTAGCTGCGCCCATGAGTTTATAATAGTTTTTTTTTAAATTCTGTAAAAAAAAACATTTTCAAAATAAAATAATAATTCTATAAATTTTTATAATATCTATAAAATAAAAAAAACACTTTGTGCCTTTATATTCACATTTCTCTTCTAACAATGAATTAATATGCAACAAAGTTGGTACTAAGCTTTGTTTTTCTTGGTTGTATTTGAAAATTTTAAAAGAAAATTCTAATTAAGTTTTTTCCCGTGAGTATGACTTTTGGTGAACCTGAAGAATGATCTTACAACCCTTAGTCTTCGGGTTAAAAAGACATTCTTGGTAATCGCATAAATAATTATCGCATTTTGGGATTCTGAATTCAAGAGTTTGTTGACCTCCAGTGGTGTATAAATACCAAAAATAAATAGTACCACAAAAAGTTCGAAAGTTAACTAAAACAAATTTTAGTGAAAATTCTAGAATCTCAATGGAACGTTCGCCAAAAAGAAACAGCCTGCACAGTCGTGCTTAAATTGTTCTAAACATTTCTGTTATCCGCGTTGACTTTTTGTATTTTTTCATCTCGCTGTTTAAATTCGGTGAGAGGTCCAAGAAAGGTTGACTTTTTGTGTAACATGTAGAGAAATGCTGTTGCTGTACCGCACTGTATTCTTTAATAACAGTTGTAAATCATCGTCACTTATTAGTCTTATTACATTACAAGAGTAATGCGATTAATTAAATGCGTACGTCTGGAATTTTAGTACACCAGTGCGCTTGTGTATCACACTCAGGGTACATGAACCTCACGCAATAATTGAAATAATATGGGCCGTAATAATAAATGAAATTCACAGCTTCGTCTATGAAGTAGTAATAGTACAACGGCTCGTGGTTTAGTAACGATCCGTTAGACGCGGACGTTCGTATCAATTCAACACAGTGCGACAAAACATGTTGTGTCGGCAGGTTAAAAATGTTTTTTTCTTCAAGTTTCCCAACGCGCGGCTCGCCAGCTACTCGGCAGTTCTGGGTTTTCAAGATATTCCCTCGCCCAGGGGGTGGCCTATTTTGGGCACAACTTTTTCTTTGTTAGCCGCCGGCGGACCACCTAAATTGCACGAGTACATGGACAAGCGCCACAAACAATTGGGGCCTATTTTTAAAGACAACGTTGGCCCTGTAACCGCCGTGTTTTTGTCCGATGCCGAAGAAATGAGAAACGTTTTTGCCCAGGAAGGTAATTATTTTTTTACGTTGAGTCCGTTTTCTGTACATGTCATTTTATATATTTTTATTATAACTGGTTCGATAAACCAGTCTTTTCAGATAAATTCGAATGAAATCCTTTAATGCCTTTAATTATATTTCAATAATTATTCAGCTCATTTATAAATGTTAGTAAATAAATAACTAGCAACAATCGAATATTTGTTTACACTATCGAAAACAGTAGATATAAATAGAAATTGTATTATTCAGCGCTTCTATATCAATATAAATATAATTTTATTATTGTTAATACTTACCTACCTACCTTTCTGGTTATTATTAGGATTTTCACATTTTTCGGAATATGTCTGCAATACACATTAAAAATTGTCGAGTAACTTGTTTAATTTAGATAACATCGCTTATCTTTCGAACAATACGATAATATATGCAGAGTATGTAAAAAAATTAAAATATTATGTAGGTACCTACTGTTTTAATGACATTAGTCATAATATTTAAAATAAAAGTTCTAAAAGCATTTGTTTTTGAAAAATTAACAATTCTGTAGTAAAAATACGGAGTATTAAAAAAGTATAGATAGATACAGTGTCGAAATTTAAAAAAATCACCTTTTCTAAAATATCTCTGAAGACGTTTGATGCAGAATGACGAAATTTATTCTAATGATTTGTTTAATTATAAGTCAAAATCACTAGTAACTCTAGAAATTCGAAAATTTTGTCACTACTTCTAACTCTACGGTGTTTTTAAGAAAAACCGATCTTTCTTTTTATTCGAAAAACGAATCATTTTTAATTTAATAATTTTTTTAACTTTCATTAACGTTACCGAGCTTAAAAACTCAACGAATCGTTCTTTAAAGTATGTTTACGTACCTATAATTAACACCTTGTATATTTTATACCACAGTAGTGAGTGTACTGTGAATACAGGGTGTCCCAATGTTCCATGTAGCTATCGCATATTCATGAGGTCTTAATAAGACGATTTAACTAAATTTATCTCTATTCAAAGTTGCTTCGACTAGCCGCTAGAGGTCGTCCAAGTGGTAATTACTGCACACTTCACTTCTCTTTATAGGTCTGTAGGTCTATTAGCATAAGTAGAAATGAAGACTTCAAATACTCGCATATTTGGAAATTGCTTTCTCAAAATTGCAGATTCACTATTTTATGTTGTACCCTAAAAATTTCACACATTAGAATTTGGCAACAGAAAAAGTGAGGCTAATAAAGGTCATTGCAAGACTCTTTGTAATAATTAAAAAAACATAGTACAAAAAGCTATTAGATAATACTACCTTAAGATTTTTTTAAATTTCTGAACTATTTTTTATTTGTATATAGGTTTATAGTAATAATTAATAAATTAAGTATGCTGTGTTAATAAATTCATTAATAGAATTGCCATAAATCTGCACATAAAATATAATAGTTATATAACACGTGGTTATCTAAAGCCTAAAGCTGATACTAGAGTTGATTCTAAGTGAGGACAAGATATAAGATGTCAGTAACCTTTAGTTGGTAGTCGAATAAGTTACGTATATTGCCAAGTTTAATAGAATGCTAAATAATGCCAAAAACTTGTCAGTGTATATATTTATATATGAATTATAAAAATAAATCTCAACGAAATTCACAGTGAAAAAGGTAAGTATAGAAAAATAAATGAATGTTTTATTTTGTACTGAATTATGTATTTTCCCAAAAGTATCACAGTAGGCCGTCATATTTAATAATTGGAACAATTGTAGGTAAAGTACATTCGTAGATTTAAGAAAATAATTACCTGCATCGAGATGCAGGCCATAAAACAAGTAGCATTTAGCTGCCTATAATAATAATAAATCTCTCTGTAGCATTTACGGTATGAATATATAATAAATGTTCAACAGTTTTAATATGTGAAACATAATTCCTCCAGTTACTCACAGCATTTTATTAACTTTACTAAGAATAAGATACATTAACATTTAGAGTATGTGATATATTATTAAGTCCAACGCCAGACTGTAATTGATGCCATATGTGTACTATGGGATTGAATACATAGTGATATAGCAAGTAACTCTTGTGTTCAAAAATTCGAGTATACGAGTATCGGTTGGTGTAAATTTCATGAAAAAAAATACAGATACATATTAAATCTTCAGCGTTCTCGTCGAATTTATTTTTAAATAACATAATATTTTCTTGTTTCCCTTTTAATAATGGAGCTATTCACAGTTTTCCAAACGGTTTCCATTGGAATCTTATTCATTTGGCTGATTTTTTACACTTTCATTTGCTGTAAAATTTCTTAATAGAATTTTATGATGGGTGGTAACTGAACTCAGGTTGATGTAGTTTTTTTAAATTTATTTATGTACTTCACAGTATGTGCCAATTTTGTCACTTTTAGGAAGTCGGTCGTGTTATTTTGGCAGCTTTTTTGTAATATCGAATACTTTTTTTATTGTGAATTTTTAGGAAGAGATTTTTCGTTCAATTTCTTGTATAGAATTCAGCGGCCAAGTCATATTTTCCTATAACCAAAACTTATACTTTTCTAAATAGGGTACCTTTTGTATTATTCAATATTTTAAATTAGCATACAATTTTCTTTCAAATAAGGTCATATATGTTATTCACACAATTTTATTTTTATAATTTAACTGTTTTGTGATACAATTCAATGTAAAATAATAACAAATACTATTTGTTGAAAACTTCAATTTCAAGTTTATCAGATTCAAAAATATATTTTTTTTACTTTTTCTTATACTTATACGTTTTATAATTATTTTAGTTTTGCTTACATTTAATCCGAATTCACATAAAAAAACTTTAGTGATTTTTAAATAATATGTGGCAAAATCATAAATACAAAAGCAATCTGTTTTTACAAAATTATTTTCCATTGTAGTTTCGCTTTCTGCCCTTGCATTGGTTTTATATAGTTGGTTTAAAAAGGTAACAACGGGCACTACTGCCCAGTGGCCGCGTAGACAATTTAAAAAAAAACACCTTAGTATTCTGAGGAACACTTACCTTTATCCCTAAAAAATGACCACCACTTAAAATTACACCCTGTATACATCAGATACACCTTAATTTGTTACACATGTATGACATATTATTTGAAAGGACATTTAATAATTTTTATGCACATTTAAAAAATTTATAAATATTTAGGGTATTGCAGCAAAAAAATATAATCAGGGTGATAACCTTAAGACCAGGTTATTCTTCGCCTTTTGAAATGACCTACTGCGATTTTAATTATTAAAAGTGTCTCTGTAAACGTGCAAATTACCTTTTTTTCTATATTAACTACGAAAAAATTAACTAGATAATAGAATGATGAATGATGATAGATGAATGTATACAAAGATTGGATAAAAAATATGATTTTTTAGAAATTGGCACGTAAAACGTCCTAGCAAACGCAGGATGTGCAATTTTGAGGAAGTTGTTTTTCCAAAATAGCATCATTTTAAGGTCTACGCAAAAATATATTTGAGTTTCATTTGTTTTTTACTTAATGTGTTAATGGTTTGTACACCTATAAATCGGAACACCCTGTATATGCGTTTGGTTTCACTCTTTTATTTTGTATTGACCATTTCGTAAACATTCTTTAATTGTCATTTAATTGAAATACATCTTTATATTACAAATTAGTATATTTTTCTTAATACTTACCAAAATATTTTGCTTTTAGGGAAATATCCACTGCATATAAAACCAGAGCCTTGGCTTGTTTACAATGATAAACATAACTATACCAGAGGCTTATTTTTTATGGACGGCGAGGAATGGCTAAAATTCAGAAGGGTAATGAACAAATTACTGCTAAGAGGTGATTTATCGTGGATAGAAGATTCTTGCGAAGCAGCTAGCGATCTACTTTTAAAGCGTATCAAATGTTACAGCGAGAAAAACGCAGAATTTCCGGACTTAGAAAAGCAGTTATACAAATGGTCAATGGACGTAGTAATATCTGTTTTGTTGGGACCGAACACGTTTAAAAAAAATTGTGAAAGTTTACAACCTTATTTAGAAAAGTTAGCAGAAAATGTTCAGTTAGTTTTTCAGACTACATCGAAATTGATGTTGCTTCCTGCAAAGCTAGCTGAAAAGTATAACATACCGCCTTGGAAAAGATTCGAAAGGTCAGTGAAAACAGCTTTAGAATCTGCAAATGAAATTGTTGAGATTTTAAGAAATAAATATCACTGTGGAGATGGTTTAATTTCCAAAATGGAACAAGAAGCAGTGGCCCGAGTTGATATTAACAGGATAGTCGAAGATCTAATTTTAGGTGGAGGAGACACTACTACCTATACCATGGAATGGATGCTATATTTAATATCGAAGGACAAGGAAGTTCAAGAAAGACTAAGACACGATGATAAAACTTTATCGAAAAATGTACTCAGAGAAGCTTTAAGACTGTACCCAGTTGCTCCCTTTTTAACGAGGGTTTTGCCCCACACTGCCACTGTTGGAGGATATAATATCCCAGCTGGAACGTTGATAGTTATGTCCATCTACACGAGCGGCCGTGATGAGAGTTATTACAAAAATCCTGCTCTATTTTTGCCTGACCGTTGGATAAGAAACAGTACGCATAGCACCGTTAATCAGCAAGCGAGTTTACCGTTTGGTATTGGAGCAAGATCGTGCATAGGCAAGAAAATCGCAGAGGCACAGTTACAAGTGACACTTTCAAAAGTTGTGAGAAATTTCGACGTGGAGCTGTGCAATCAGGGAGACGTAGACATTATCCTGAAGATGGTTGCTAAACCGTCCGTTCCTTTAAGACTGAAGTTTAATAAAGTATAAGACTTGTTTTCGTTTTTTACTGTCCCCTGAAGCTGATTTTTTATCGATTATAATTTACTACAACTTTTTTAAATATGTACTATCACTTTCTATTTCGCTATGAGATACACAAACTTGTGTTAAATAAATACTAATAAAATCTCGAAAATTTCTATATATTGTAGCTTTCGCTACCACATTACTGTGAAAAGTTTTGAAAACTGTTGTAAATGTTTACAAATTTTCTAAAAATTGCATTTGTGTACTGAAAAAATATATATACCACAAATTATATTACACATATAAATATTATGATTATATTAATTAATTACAAAAACTCAATACACATAAGAAGAAAATAGTACAATATTAACATAAAACACAAACAGGATTCAAGAGTAGTCAACGAATTTGGAAAACATGGTTAAAGATTATTGAAACTTATATCTTTCGATATCACATATCATTAACATTTTGCAGTTAACAAGTGCCAATAAATAAGAAATTTTGACTCCGTATTTCCAGTCGTGATGGATATCAAAAGTAAAATTAACTAATCTAATATAACAAAAACGTAAAAACCAGAAGTGTAGCAAAGAACTCTTCCTACGCATATCAAGAGCAGATCTACCACATTTTTTTTAATCTAAAGAATTTAAAAAAAAACAGTATTGTTCTAAAATATGTATTGTATGTACATATAAAATATATGAGTAAATATATTTTCACAAACTTATTATTTTCTAGTACAAACACAAATTAGTATAATACAAATATATGATACACTTTCTTAATGTTCCTAAAACTATCTATGAAAGTTAAATTTGTTTATTTTTAACTAACCTATCATAGTTAAAATGCGATATTATTGGGAAAATGCTTGCAAAGATCCAACAAAAATTATTTACTGATATATAAAGAAAATCAACGGTTGTAATCTGATATACATAAAATTTGCTTTATAAGATTATGATTGCAAAAATAAGTATATATTTCAGTACCTTAAAGAAAATAATAGGTATGTCTTATTAATTTATATAATCCGTTTTTTTTAATATCCAACGTTACATATTTACGCAAATACCTATGCAGGGTGTTCAGTTTACTAATGGTCCAAATGGGCCATTGATAGATGTTAAACATTTGTTATTAAACATTTTTATTGTCATCACCACCAGGTACAACTTTATGAACTTAATAATTAATCAAAATTGATGCGCAAACTGTGTTCTTGAAGTCCTTTTATAAAAATATTTGTTCCGCCACTGTAAAGCAGCAACGCATAGTTTAAATTTTTCATGATTTTTAAGCATAAAAGGTACCCTTGTTGCATACCGCTAAAATATATAACTTTTTTGAGGTATCGATATACGCCATATTATTACCTATATTATAACGCAAAATTTAATTTTAATTAAAAAGGCACTTTTGTTTAAATCGTCGAAACCATTTTTGAGAAAAACTGAATTTAGTGTCCAAATGTTAATCACCTTTTATTTCGTAACGATTGGGCCATACTTCAAAGGTAGCTAGTTGGCTTGAATGAAAATAAGAAAGAAAAAAGGAAAAAAGGTTAATCAAAAGGGTATGATAGAACTAAAACGGAATAAAAAATGTTTTAAAGATCTGAGTATTAAAGGAATAAAATCTGGTTGACTTTAGGATAGTCTATTCTTATTTTTTGAGTTCTATCAGTTTCAGAATTTGTGATACCTTCTTCCAAAACATCCTTATAATGCAATTTTTTATTTTTGAAAAAATAGGCGTTTGTCAGTTTCGCACTTTACAGGGGCTTTTTTGAAAAGTATTATAAAAATTTAAACTAGGTTTTTCATTTAAATTTTGAAGTTGAGTTGAAATGAACCATCGAAATACTTTATATGATTGTACATATGCATGTATATATGAAAGGATATTCTATCAGTTATAAAAATGTCACGACCTTTATAAAAGATAGATTTAATTCATAATTATAACGCTTATGTTTATTAACTTTGTACTTAACAATCACAAGATAACAATGCATTTAAGTTATATTTTTTCTATGACGCATTTAAAAAATTAAATAAGGAATTTAAATAAAACGACTTGCGATATAATACAATTTACTTGTCTAAACATTTAATTAATCCAGTCGACTTTTGTTTACATGTTAAACCTTTATGGTTTTCCATTTATAGAACTATTTATATAAATAAAGTGTTAGGAATTGCATAGTGTTCATGCACTACTGGCCGTACAACCACAACATTTCTCTGAAAACAAAACAGAATATAAAAAAATTAAAATTTATATCAAAAACGTATTGCGAATTAATTTTTTCCCCTTTACTTTTGCTTTATTGCGTTTTCATTAATCAGATCAGTGTCATATATTCGAGTCCTGATAATACTCAATGTCCTTAGACGTGATATTTTTCAAAATCAATAATACCCTATTTCCCGAAAATTAACCTCTCACCATCCTGCCATCCTATATATGTAGATAAATCTTGTGATAACTCCTCTTAATACTGACTATTATATATAAACAAAAATGTAGTCGCGTTACTTTAGTTATCAATATATTTAATATTCACATAGACCTGTTTAGTTTATTTTTAGAAATTATCGCATGACTAAATTAATTCACAAATGTCGTTCTATTACATGTGTTTTCATGAATCCAGACCTAGTAAAGATATTATTTTTATCCATATAACAGAATATTTAAGCGTTACGTGTTACGGGATTAGCAAACTTATAACGACCCTATATGAATATAAAAAATGTCCTGGTATTATATCATTTTTAAAATAGACATTTTAACCATCTAACATTATAATAATAAACTAATTTATAGATTGGGCTCCTCTTTACAGGAACCATAAAATATTAACTGGAAAGCTGTTCATTAACACAGATCACTAGATTTACTTTAACTTCTTATTAATAGATGGCGCTTTACAAAATACCATATAAATTATATCATATTTTTATACTATAAGTAGAAACAGAAACAAAATCTGTGTTATAAGTAGCAAATATGAATAAAAATTAAGTAACAGGTCAAATTAAAAAAAAAAGAAAAAAATTTATCCATGTTTGTGAAGAAAATATTTTTTTGTTTTCAATCTTTCACATTGTATTTCTATGCAGAAAATGATATAAGAACCATAGAAAACTTAATATTAACCCTAGATAAATGATACTGATATTAACACTATATTTTCTATGTATAAGAACACATTACTCTTCAGATTTATTTATTTCAACTTCTGGTTTGGCCAGAAATTAATTTATCTTTTTCTGACCTCGTATATTTTACTTGCATCAGATAGAACCATATTACTTTAAATGCTAATGTGTCTGCATTATTTTCTGAATAAAAAAGGTTTTCTTCTGTTAAAATGTCAGCAAGGTACAGGGTGATCGATTTTAATATTTATGAGAAGATTGAGGTTTATCAGAAAGATTACGTTTATAGTAGCAGAACAAAATTTAGATGAATTAGGGCAAAAAATTACACAAATAAGTTTGCATTTCTGACCCAGGCAGAGCTGTGCGAGATTGAGAAAAAACAGATAGAAGGACTAAGACGTAGGCACGGCGATTTGTGCTTGGAGATATCTCAGACGCAAACTTATTTATACCGGTCTATAACTTATTGAATTTGTTATGCCTGTATTAAAACTATATAAAAACTTTTGTTTTGCATTCATCATTAGTATTTGTCTCTCAAGGGTATTAATGAAAAGCTTGACGTCTGCTTTTTTTTTTCAATTATTTGCAGATATGGAACTATTTTATTTATTTTAATTAAACACCATAAGTCCATGAATTAACGCACTAGAATAACAACAGACCTTATGGGTACTTTTAAATTGATGTTTTACTGAATTTCTGGACATTTAAAAAAGATCTCCACTTTTTCCACATAAATTGATGAAATGTTTCATAAATTTCTGAAAACATTGCACGACATTAACAGAAATTTACTAAAATGCCTAATTATTTGTTTTTCTATTGACGATGGATCGGGGAACAAAATAAAAATACCGAATTACTACAGTACACTTTATTTAACTGAAATATAAAATTTATAAATTATTTAAAAAAACATTTTCCAAAGCAATTTAAAAAACAATTGTTTCTGAAACAAACACAAAGTAGTGAGATTGGTCCATCAAATCCTTTAGAGAGAAACGTTTGGATACTACCATTTTATGCTGGAATTAATTCAGTGTTAAAGTTGTTAGTAACCAGTTGAAGAAGGCTTCCACTTTGGGGCCTGCCATCTCCAGAAGCCCATTTCAGGAACAATCTATAAAAAAAACAAAAGTTTTCAGCAACTTTTTTATTTTAATTCTCAAAAGATTCAAACAGCACTTACTCTGCAATGAATTCGAGTGGAGTCCAGGAGGAAAAGTCGGCTTTTGGCATCCATTTTCTATTCATGGGTGTATCCAAAGTTACAGGTAAAATAGCGACTACGGAAGCGCCTTCTGGAAGACCACTTTCTTTTTGAGCAAGAGATTTTGTCAGTTGATGTACTGCGGCCTTTCCCAAGCCATATCCAATCATTCCTAACAATTAAAAGAAAACAAACAAATATAATTAAATAAAAAATGAATTCATTAAATGATTTCAAGTAAAAAAAAGGTGATTCGTAATTTAAAAAAGAACATCCATCATCCAAGAGCTTCGAGAGCACATTCTTACCTGGTGTTGCATCAAGAGCGGCTTTGGCACCTGTCAGTTGAACAATTCCTCCTTCTTTCAGGTGATGTGCAGCAATAGCAGCTGTTATTAGAGAACTGCAGACACTTTGCTGCCACATTAGGTCTGAGGTTTTTGCTAAGTCTGAGGAAAATATTGAATATATTATTTAAATATAACAAACTACTTCTATTGCCTGAAAAGTTATACTGACAGAAAAAATTATAATTGAAAATAGGTCTACATTTTCAAATACCTGAATGACACTACTATTTAACAGGCTATTATTTAATAGACACAGGCAAATTATTTAAAAAAGCAACCCATGAAATGGAGAAATGTTTATATTGGTGATGTTATAGATATTAGAAATAAGAGCGGGATATAATTTCTTTGAAGGTCTGCAACATTATTTTAATAATTTCAATAAGTCAAATATATGTTTTTTCATTAGTAGGTACTACGTATTTCTATAGATTACCTTTTATTTTAGATAATTTATTAAAACTAACATGTCTATGAAGAGAATATAGTTAGGAAAATTTTTAGAATTATTCTACATCTAGAAAACCAGTGACCACTACATGTACAAAAAAAAATGATTCCTAATTCTCGATAATCTCAATGGGTCATACCATATATAAATACAACTTATGTAAATTTTTAATGTTCTCCTACATTAAGTTTTGATAGTAAAGGTAGATATGTGGTAAAGGTGTGGTTGGTAAATGTGGGTCAAGGTTAAATATTTCTCTATATATTAATGTTTCAAAAGTGAAGCCACAAAAATAGCAATTAAATAAATATTTTATCAAAATTTGGTATTTCCATTATCAGAAAAAAGACATTGGATATCAGCCCACATTTCATATATTCATTAAATTAGCTGACATTACCTATTGTTTTCTTACATCGGTTACTTTTTAGGTATAAAAAAAACAATTACTTATTTATATTATGTTATATTTATGATAATTTTATATCTCTGACACTGAGGTTATCTCTACTGCAGAAATATTGACAAAATAAGAATTATCCTCATGCTACTTTCACATGCATTGTTATTAAAAAAAAATTGAGAAGTAAACATAAAACAAAAAAATTACCTTTCTTAGCATTTCCTCCTGCCCAACCTCCAGCAACACAGAAAATTCCGTCAACTTTAGATCCATCTAATACAGTTTTCACTGATGACAAAATTGAAGTCTCCTAAAATAAAGAATTTCTTTGCAATGTGTATCAAAGTATTTAACTATTTTATATGTGCCTACTGCTCCCAGGACTTTAAATTTAAAGTTTTGATATAGGTACCTATATCAAAAGTTATATAAAAAACTTTACTTATTTTATTAATATTAAAAAATTATCATGACCTACCTGTTGCTGGAAGCTTTCTTCCTTGTTTACAATTATATTGCAGTCTGCTTCAGCATTCTCGGCTAGGTCTATGCACCCTACCCACTAAAAACATACAGTATTTAAGCAATTACAGTTGGTATTATAAAAAAAACATGCACTTACATATTTATTTGCTTTGAAATGAGACACACATTTAGCCCCGAGAGCACCCCGGCCTCCAAACACTATCACACGTCCGGCTTGCGACATTTTTAAACACTAAGCAACAGTAACAATGGTAAATATAAGGAGTATATTAACAAATTATTGAAAGATATTTACGTAACGCAACTAGTATTTCTCCAACGTTGATTGATCTTATTTTACAAACTTTCAAATCGATACACTAGTGCCCTTGACATTCGATTGTTTTATTTCAAATGGCTGAAAAACGGATTGCCAACCACAAAACATATAATTTGCCAACTGTGTAGAGAACAAAGATGCTAACGAATAGAGGCGATGGCCTTAAATGATAATAGAGATTATACAGCTAACTGCTGCTCTATGATTGTATTATTCTATTTTAGTGGGGTTGCAGAGAAGGAGTTATTTTGTGTATGTTTTTAAACAATTCGTTTTCATAATAAATTTATTTCTCGTATATTTTTTGCCTCAGTAAATTTATTTACTTGAGGTAGTGATTTGGAGAAATAATTCAAAAATTTCCATTTATATTTAGAAGGTCGATGGTTATGAAAGTACAAGAATTGAACAATTGAACAATCGCAAAATATCGAAAGTAGGTTAAGGTTTAATAAATGCAATATGCAATTTCATAATGATTAATTAGTATAATACTTATTAGAAAAATACGAATGAAAGATGAAAACATTATAAATATACAAATGTGCATGAAAATAAAGCAACAAGCTTTTTTGTAATTTATATTAAGTCAACGAATGCAAATTTGTGTAATAATCTCATATTTATATTTCTTAACACTGGATAACGTCAATTATAGTTTGGGATATTTTAAAATATGGAGAGACTTGGAAATTTCCAAATAACTATATGATATTAATATTATTAATCCTGCATTTGAAGATTTTTTATAACGATGTTTTTAATACATATATTTAATCAGTATCCTTTTATAGATATAAAAAAATTAATCGCTAAGTACACCCGATAGTTTTCGTAAGATAGTTTGAAAACATTAAAGTTCAATCATATTATAGTAAACTTAAAAATACTCATTTATTAGACCTTTTTAGTAGTGACGTCACACGCCAAATAATAGGCAACCCCACAGTGCACTTTGCCATGAAGAATTTCTCAATATTTTTACTAGCTCAATTTTCAACCTTATGTACTTTGGACATAAGTGCCAAAAAATGGCTTCTCTGCAATGACTTTAAATATCGAGTGTTAGTTGTTCTTAAATACTTCCAAATCCTTATAAAAATAAATTCATTTGAAGTTGTTCATTTTTGTAGTATCTATGTAAATAGTACACAACGGCCGAATTCGGTCTGTACAATTTCAACTATGACAATTTGTTGCGGGTTGCCTAAATATGTGACGTCACACTAAAGGAGTTCATTGTCGTGGGTAATCACCTGTGTGAAATTACAGCCAAAATTTGGCACCCGAAATTCCGAAAACGCCCGAGCATTCATGGGCGTACGTGAATTTAACAAATAACATACAGTACACACACCATCAATACCGTGATAATATGATAATGATAAATCTTTTTTACATAGTAGATCAACTAAAAATGAAATACATATTAAAATGAGTTATAATTTTCTAAAATTCAGGCATAGCACAAGGTGTGCCAGTGAAATGATTTAAGAACCAGCATAAAATCCCCGTGATTTGGGTACCCCCTCAAAAAAATTAAATGAATTTTTTAAAAGACGGTAATTTAAAGGCGAAGCAAGTCTCTTACTGGGAAGTTCACACTATTTTTCTTTATATTTCTAGTGTATCAGTTCATTTTATCTTGCTCTTTTGAAAATAAACCCAGAAAGCTTAATTTTAATAACGCGTATTTCCTGTTTTTATATAAATTAATCGCTTAACCAGCATTTAGATTTTATCAAATTATAGTGCATAACATTTATATTAATTTAAGTTAATGCGATGGAACGGTTAGATAAAATTCCAAACAAACTTGTTAAACACATTAGACTTTTTTTATACAAACCAAGTTAATATGCGTAGTGCGTGGTTAAGTTTATTGTTACAGTTTTGGTTATTTATACAAATTTATTCGGGAAGGAGTTCATTTGTAATTTTTGTGGTACCACTGATTGAAAAAATATTGTAGAATTTTTTTTAGCGCCCTAAGACTGTCAGGATTTATCAGTTTAAAGGAATATGTCCAGGCCATGAAGATATACCAGTATATTACTCAGATATAGAAGTAGTGAACATAAATCGTACTTTTCGTGTATCTTTGAAAGCTAACATACGCTCAGATATCAACAATGACATGAAGGTAAAGACTTTTCAATGATCAGGATAGATAAGTTCAATGCCTACATCTAATTCGATTTTCAAAATATTCATTGTGATTACTTGTAAATAAATTATTTTTATAAACTTATTCTAATTAATAAATAAAACAAAAATATAAAATAATGATAAAGTAAACAAATAGTATGACATAAAATGTGGAAGTGTGACGCTTTATTTGAAAGATTGAGAATTGGGAAAAAATTATTTAAAATCTTTGTTCTAGTTTGAACAAATAATGAATTGCAATTTAAAATTCAGATAGCAAAGATATCCACATTCTAACTACTGCCATATGATTTCAGCTATGGTTGTTTTTAAGCAGATGTAACAGTAGAGATGCTTTAGACTCGTGTGAAACTTATAATACGATAAAAATAAATCATTTTTGTAAAATATTGAATGGGGAAAATATGCCGTGGACAGACGCTGTCAGGAAATTTTCACCCCCCTTGAGATGTCCTCTGAAAAAAGTATATAAGTTTTTATATTCAGTTCAGATATTAGGATGTAAATAAATAAAAGCAAAAAAATTAAGGAGGTGGTTCCTTAATTAAGGGGATCTCTCATGTAAAAAAGCGGTTGGCCCCTTTCCTGTGGATTTTTGGCTGTTTAAATGTGGAGAGAAAAATTTAGTTTTCATTTCTTTTTTTATTTAGATATGGACAAAATCACACAAATGAAATTAAGTGCACTCTCCTTACTATAAAAAAGACATTTAATGGATAATTTCTTAGCCATTCTCGTCGGTAGCAATTTCTAGCATCACCCGTATATGGTAATGGAAATCTTTAAATAACTTGATTTATTTAAAAGAAATTTGATCTCTTCTATTTTTTCGTAAATGTAGTTTTTGAACAAAAATCATGTTATAATACACAATCTGGTTTGCATATAGGTAGTAAAATGAAAATTTTGTAGTAGCGGGTTAATATCATTGTCATTACTTTGAATGCTTTTTTGTACTAGTTTGATTTATTAATCGATATGCAAAACTGCACTAACACCGAAATGACTGCATTATCTTTATGGTCTCTCCAAAAATTCAGAAGGAGCGGAAAAAGGAGGTATAAATTGTTTTGTTCATTTATTTATTTACATCCTGCATATTCATGTTTATTTAAACGTTTTTTAAATAATGCTATTTGATAAATGACACTTGTCATAATAATGTAGAATGTATACAGGGTGTTAATGATAAGTTTTGCCAAACTTTAATGGCGTATTCTACCGATAAAAATAATCAAGTTTTGCCCTATAAAATTTTTTGATAGGATGCTTCCCTACGGAGATACAGGGTGTTAAAAGTTTCAAATATTTATATGATTTTTCCTGTAAAAAAATATTTAGTGATGAAATTTGGAGGATGACATTTTTTTAGTTAGGACTATTTTTTAATGGATAACTTATTCCAAAACACACTCCAGTGGCGTAGTTATTGGGGAAGTAGGGAACCTTTTTGAAAAAAAAAAAAAAAAAAATCGTAAGCAACTGGTTTTTTAAATAATTTTAAATGTTTTACATCAATTATTGTGGTATAATACATGATGGGGCACCACCTCATTATTGCAGCCTTACCGTTAGACAGTTGCTGAATAATCAGTATCCTAATAACTGGATTGGTAGTGTAGGACCCATTGCTTGTCCGGCTCGTTCCCTGACCTGAATCCCTTGGATTACTTTTTTGGGGCTACCTCAAAACTATGATATATCGTAATCCAGTTCCCAATGTAGAAGTACTTCGACAGCGTATTGTAGAGGGTTTCGCAACTATACACAATACGACTGGAATTATGAGGCGTGTAAGACGATCAATGCGGATACACTGTGCAGCATGCATTGCATCCCAAGGACAGCATTTTGAACATTTCTTGTGATGTTGAATAGTGTTTTGAAATCTCTCAAAAATATTAGGTATTGAATTTATTGTTGCACATTTAGCAAACAATAGAAAATGGTAAATAGCAACGTAGCTACTTAAGTATCTTCTTATTTGATTTCCCAATTATCTAAAGACCAGTAAATTTTAGGAATACTTTATTGCCATAAATTGATTGTACATTTTAAAAACATTTAAAATTATTTAAAAAACCAGTGGTGTACGATTTTTTTTTCAAAAAAGGTCCCCTACTCCCCCAATAACTATGCCATTGGAGTGTATTGTGAAATAGTCCCTACTAAAAAATGTCATCCCCCTAATTTTATAACTCAATCTTTTATGCCAGTGAAGTTATAGGAAAAATAATATATTTGAAACTTTTAACACCCTGTATGTAGGGAAGCATCCAATCAAAAATTTTTATAGGGCAAAACTTGATTATTTTCATCGGTAGAATAAGCCATTAAAGTTTGGCAAAATTTATTATTAACACCCTGTATATGTAAGATATATATTCTAAGATTCTCATAGTTTGCGTCTCAGGATATTTTGTTTCAGGGAGTATACGAATTCAAAAACAGCACTTTTGATGGATCAGCTTTTAACCGTTTTCCTGTGTTAAACTGGTATTGGAAAGTTTTAGTTAACATCAAAGATGAAATTACCGACGAACTCTTGCAATGTGCAACATTGGAAGGACAAATTGCACCCATTTAATAGACATTAATTATTTTATTATATATGTGTAATAAAAATATTGATAGTTCTAGTCTAAAATAGTTTCATTGTTTTACATACAGTGTAACAATGTACGAGGGTCATTTTATAAGGAAGCTACCTTTAGAAACACATATCAGTTTTGTTTCTCAGGTTCCGTCGTGCAAACTGAATTTTTTTTACCCTTTTATGAAATATAAATTGCATCCACGACATTCAAAATTATTATGAAAAACTAAAAAATGTGAATTGTTAATTCATACAATATTTGAAATAATAAAACACGTTTGTTAAATAACTATTTATTATTTGTTATATAAAGTTTATTATTAATAAATTCTATTATGGAATCTAACAACCTCACAATTGTTTTTATTATTATGTATTTAATATATCACAAGGATTTAATATATATATATGAATATATATATATATTTAAAATTTTGGAGGCAACCTACTTAAGAGTTTATTTATGGATTATAATTTTCTGATTTCTAAAAATTATATTTAATATTTCATATATACAACAAATTAGAAACATAAAAGCATAATACATAATGTATCACATTTTCTAGTTATAGATATATATGTTTAAGTACTGTTTATATAAGTGTCCATTTAAAATGCCATATAGGTACCAAATTTGCCTCTAAGAAATATTTAACAGTTATATATCGAAATTATTTTTATAAAACAATGTGGTTACTTGTGTTATATAATATGTTGCTAGAAATCATTAATAATTCAAACTATACAAAAAAATACAATAATTATAGCATTTTCTTGCCGAAATACTTGAATAAATGAACAATAAAAAAACTGCAAATAACAAAATAAATTATAGAAAAAATTTAGAAAACTTAACTTTAATGAGTCCTGATTTTTATTTCTATTTTACTAATATAGTTAGAATGCAAATATTGTGGAACAATAACGAGCAGATAAATTTAAAAAATCTATTATCATTTTAGAAAAATTAGTTTATAAATATTTTAATTTTTGTTACCATCATTTAAATAATATTTTATTTAATTCAGTGTACAAGATATAGGGAAACATTACAAACCTACTAGGTTACATTCCACATCAAAAATTTCATTTACATATTTCATCAAGGTCTTTCAGAAATTTTTAAGTATATCTTGGTTAGAAAAAAAGTGATATGGAAATAACTGAAAAATAATTTTTTATATTTTTAAAATCTTAATTTTTTTCAAAATGTTTATCCTACAGTACTATATATTTTTTATTATTTAAAAGAACACATTTCTTTCATTTCACTTATGATATTTATATATTTATATTCACTGATAAGTATATAATACACTGAAACAAATTCTATGTATACTGTATATGCATGTATGATCATCTCAAAAAGGCTCTTTAGCAAATTACAATCATGAAATGTACAGCCTGACTAAATTCATCCTAATGCTGACTGTGGGACGTGCAGTAGCAAATAATTAAGTCTTCTGTCTTCAACGCTGTTATAGTGAACTTTGTTAAAGAACAAAGTCCATTGCCCATCCCGCAGCTAAGTTAAGTTTGGTCATATTGTACATTGCATGTGTCATATATCTATTGTGATCGAGTATGTAGACAGGAAGACACTATAAAAATGCATGCAAATTATTGCTCGTTTTTAAAGCAGTTTTGGAAAAAGGTTTGTTAATAATATCACAGGGTAGTCACTAATTATAATTTATACAGGGTGCAGTGATAGTACATATTCGATTTGTACTAATGAAATAATAATTTCAGGGCACTGAAGGACACAATGCTGTGCACCATCAAGATTATTTTGCAAAACACATAAAAAGCAACTATATGGTTCAGAAAAGGTATACTACTGAAAATTGGTAGCTGCAATGTACCATCTTTTGAAAATGATAATCCCACATACTTTTTTAATAATGGTCCAAATTAATGTTCGTTGTAATTAATTAATACAACTTAAACACCCTGTATCTTAGGAATATTTAAATTTCTGAAATTACTTCCATCACTACTACCAATTCCTGAATTTCGATGGTAGAAATTTGGACATTTACAAAAAGCATTGCATTTGTAAAAAAGAATTGGAACAGTTCTGTTCATAGAAACATACTGTTAAAATAAATAAAGCCTGAATGGGTAAAAAATTTGCAGAAATTATGATTAATTTTGTGTTTAGTGTTTTCCTATCTCGGTAATGATAGTTTTCTTATAGTTGGTATTATGTATGTATTGTATTCATTATTAATGTCAATTTATTCAACATATCCGTGAGAGGCAGTATTGAAGCTACTAGTTACTAACTGGAGTATATAAAGGGAGAGTATGTATTACTTTATAAAGGTTTTAAGGTTTTTACTTTTATGAGTGTATTTAAATGTTAAAAATAAAGGATCTTATGCTTTTTAAAAAGAAATATTTCCCTTAAGTAAGTAAATATTCTATAGTTCTTGTGAGAAATAAAATTCGGAAATGTTCTTTTCTCCAGATCTCATTACTAAATGGAGTGCAAGAGAAATTTTTTAAAATACTATTTCCTGATTACTTAAATATGTTATGTAAATATTAAATTTATAATTGGCAATAAATAAACCTTATGAAAAACTTATGTAATAATTGCAAACAGCAATAAAGTTTTTAAGCTTATTATTAATTTAATGTACAACATTCATATAAAACATTTTTCAGATATGCAGGACATATATTTCAAAATACGAAGCTTATTAAATATTTCCTCAAACATAAAAATACGTCCTATAATATTATAGCATGTTCCAGTATAAATATAGCACCAATGTGTGTTTAACGATAAACATAAGACACGTGTTGAAACTTGCCAACAACAAAAATCGTATCATGCTATGATACGGAAAAGATTCAAATTTGATACATTTGAGTTCTGAATGGATCATAAAAAATAACAATTAAACATTCAGCATACAGGTTGCCTCAATTTATACATGTAGAGTTAATTAACATATGTAAAAAACAAATGAAGTTCAAATAGTTTTCACTAGATAGTCAAATTTGTATTTATTTATTGTTCCAGAAAAATTTCTAGTAAACACTACAGAGATTAAAAAAAAATAAGCCTTTTTATGATATCGTTGACATGAATCACAAGCTTAAAAAGTGTTGTGTTGCTCAATTATTTATATTTGGTGCCACAATTTATTAATTTGTAATTGTATTTATTGTGACTACGTTTATTTACATCGATGTTTGTAGATTAACAGGATTATTATACGATATTGTGTTAGTGTATTTATACAAAGTAATTAAAAATTAAAATACTTTATGTATTTTGCGTTAAAAGCAATTAAATTTAAAAATTGTAAAAATCTGGTAGATTTTTTATTACTGTTTAAATAACAAAGATAAAAACTAAATCATGCTTAAAAATTTGATTTTTGTTAAATCTATATCCTTTTTTGCTTAATTTTCTTCACAAAACAAAACACAATCTCTTAACATAAGACATAATATTCACTATAAATGCAACACTCCGTATACGTATGAAATTCCCAAGTTTAGACTAACTTCGGCAACAAAGTTATTTTTTTAAAAATAATAATATTAATATATTAAGTTTACCCGATATGGAATTGACAAAAAAATATACATAAAATAATTGATACAGTAGAACCTTGATTATCCGGGTTCATTTATTTTTATTATTTTTTTAAGAAATAAAACAGCAGAAATTGGGCATCGGTCATCGGATGTCAGATAATACAGATGAACGTTGGTTAACATGGAATCGCCGTTTCGGCCACGTTGTCGGAAAAGCGGGAGGATGGATAAAGCGAGGTTGGATGACCGAGGTTTTACTGTATAAGCTTATTAATATGAAGACAATCCTCAAAAAAAAATATGTCTAGTTTGGGTACCTAAGAGACGAGATATTAATAAAATAATTTTTCACGATTTGGTAGTCTTATGAGAATGCAGATCTGTTTGGTCTTTCCACTTAGAATGCGCAACAATTGACGATCAGTTTCCACAGCAACTTGTATAAATAGGAAATCGATATCTAAGGAACCGTATGACAGCTCGTAGAAATCGATTAGGTACTTGCAAAATACAAAATTTATAATAATTCTCCCTCAAACTGCTGTCGTTGCGTATTATTTAAAATTCGCAGGTGTGACATATGATGTATATTTCAAGCTTAGGCATCCAAACAGACTGATTGAACGAGCGAACGCCGAGCCGAGTGCGCCAGCTAAGTGCAACGTTGCCAAATCTAAAGGCTTACTACTTTAGTCACTAGAGAATCTACAAAAACTCTCATTTGACTTTAGACGTACCCGATAATCCTCCTTAAGTAAAATCAAACTTTTTTTCATTAATTATTCCAACAACTAGATAAACCAGACATTTTTACAACAATTTACGTATACAGGGTTCAAGTGTTCAAAAGTAATAAAGAATTCCCTGACTTTTCCAGGTTTCCATGTCACTTGTAGTTCCATTTTTACATACTAATTCATATTTATGCATTAAACCGGACTCCATAATCTTTTTTATACCCAAAGGACCTCTTATAAAGGTTTCAAAACCAAAAACAGTTTTCTCTTTCAAGATCCCAGGGCCATTTTTCGCAAAATTTCCAGTTGCAAACATCAAAGTCCCTGACTTTCATGAATATTTTTAAAATTCCCTAACTATTCCCCGTTTTTTTATAAAAAATAATAAATTTCCTGACTTTCCGGTATTCCCGGTTTTCCCGGCAGCTACGAACCCTGGTTTAATCTTTAAATAAAAAAAAACCACAGTAGACTAAGTCAAGACCTTCTTTGTGTTTTACTTATATTAATGGCCAGTACTACTATAAATTGGAATATGCTGTATGTATATTTTCATAATATTGCTTCCGAGATATTCGAAAAGAACATTGCCCAAAACAGTAGTTTTCCATTTCTCAGAGAACAATTTTCAAGTCTTAGTATGCCATAAGGCATACGCCCTATTGCTTAAAAAATTGCTTATATAAAATTTTTGCTAGCTAGCGACTATAAAATATCGTCACTAATGTAAAGTATAGAATTTAAAGTACGAAAGTACATAAAAATCCAATTTCTTTTATAAAAAAAAGCATAAGTAAAGGGATAATTATATCTAAAATAAAGTTACTAATTAAGTACAGAATTGGTGGTTACATATCTATTAGGATCAACGTCGACCAATGAACTATGAGCAACTGTGTCTGGAATAGGCAACGGTTTAGCTACACCTATCCTTACTATACCTTTTGGAGCCCCTTTCAGGGCCTGAACGGCTTGATCTAACGAGGCATTTTCTAAAACAGTATCGTTCACAAACAGCAATCGGTCACCAGGGATCAGTCTACCGTCTAACTGAGCGACCCCGCCCGGCACTAAACTCCTAATAACGATAACCGTGTCATTGGGGTCGATCGGGTCTTGGTAATCTAAAATGGAAAAGCCTAGACCCCTCTCGCCCTTCACTAATTCTATAATTTGCGGTTCGGAACTCCACATAGCTAGTCCGGTTAACGGTTCTAAAGAACGAGACTTCATCTTCGTAAAGGATTGATCTGATGGACCTACGACGGCTATGCTACTCGCTAAGGATCCGTCGGATTTGGCTTTTACTAGTCTATCTGAAGCTGGAAGTAAGTTATGTAAGCTGCGACTTAATGAGGCCCGTTCTGCAAAAGGATCGTCACGTTGCGCAAATAAATTTATGGGACTACGGCCACAGACCATACAGACATTTACAGGTAACTCTTTGAGAATGCTCACCACTTCGTGATGGTTCATTCCTAATAATTTATGACCGTTCACTTCTAACAGTTCGTCGCCGGATTTTAGTGTCCCGTTTTTCCCTACTGGGCCTTCTGGGAGAATTGATCGTATATAGTGATGTGGCCTCACTTCTTGTCCATCTTCGACATCGACGGTACCCTCTAGGCTAATGCCTAAACCTCCTTTTTCCCCAAATTTCGTAAGCTGCGCTATAACTATCTCCGTATCTGGCCCCATAAGTTTTTCCCACTTTTTTCTTAACAATTCCTCATTGACAGGTTCCCGAGCAGGCTCCTCTTTTTTATTAAAGCTAGTAAATATTTCATTATGCGTCTGTATGGAGTCGTCTTTACTGTCACCATTAAGAATTAAACTTCCTTCTTCCTTAGGAAATCTGAAATTTATATAAAATACGAAATGTTTAGAAAAAAAATAGGCATTATGTATCCAGACACCCTTGTTAGTACACATTAGGTTTGAGTAATTTACAGATAGGGTTAATGTTAGTGAAGCCTAGATATGGGAAAAGGTTTACAAATTGAAAAAGCAACTAATAAAGGATTACATAACAGCTTCTCTATTACCGTGGAACGTCAGGTGGTAAGGATGGCGATGCCGGTTTTATCTCGCTTGCAGCGATGGCTTGTTGGAGCTGCTCGTATTTGGGACCATGCAGATATCGTTCCAAACATAGTTTTACAACGTTTCCACAATTTCTTAAAACTTCCACGGCTTGGAGATTGGTGTAACCCTGTAAGGATTGCCCGTCGACCTCCACAATCCTGTCGTTAACTTTAATTCTGCCACTGATGTCTGCTGCACTTCCCTTACTGACGCTTTTCACAAAAATCCCTGACAACTCCTCTTTCTCGCATACGTAACCGGCGATAGTAATTCCTAAACCGTTAGCATCCTTTTTCAATTCCACCACAAATTTCTCCATTTCTGGCATTTTTACAGCTAAATCTAAATTAAGTAAGGGCAAAGAAGGTGATGCAGGCACTCTTGAAAGACCGGTAATTCCATAAGATTTTGAGATATCCGGTGGAAAGACGTCAGTAACTGTATCTACGCTTTTTTGAAAAATTGGGGGATACTTGTGTTGAATCAAGTATCTGTCTAGTTCCGCGCAGTCGTGCAACAACCGAGTTGGTACTAATGGTGCTGAGCTCCCTAAATACTTATATTCGGTACTAGATATATCGACTGGTCTTGCGACGATTAATCTCACGTGTGTGCCTGATTGTCTTAGAACTGTTGCCACTTGCTCGGAGTTCATCTCATGTAAATTAACATCTCCAATCTGAAACAAGGACAAGAATTTCTAAGATTCATTAATTCTTATATAAACATTTAAAATAATGACAAGAAAATGTACACAGAACAAAAACAGAACATCCATCCAGAACTGAACACAGAGTATACAGGGTGTAATTTAAAGTGGTGGTCAGGTTGTCAGAATACTATAACAAATTATTATTTTCATTTAAATCAAATTGTCAAAATAATTTCCAATTCATTTTTCTGTGGAACTGCATAGTAACAACATGCAGCAAGTATATATTTTTTAAAGTAAATCTAGTTTCAGAAATAGATGTAATGGCATCGAAATTCCTGGTGGTTACGCATTTGTTTTATATTAATTATTTTTGTTGTTTTATAAAATCCATATAATAAAAAACTAATAAAAATACTAATCTATAAAATTTAAAATACTTTTTAAAATTATTTCAGGTTTTTGATAAAAAGTATTTGTCAATATTTTTTTAAGCACTGTTTAGTTAATGAATGAAGCTCATTTTCAATGACTTCTGATCTAGTTAAGGTGAATTAAATAATATCAATCTACCTTATCAGGTGATATGACAACAGGGTGCCAAATGGCCAAAAAACACACAGCCAACAATAATTCAGCAAAATGAGAATGGGCCAATATGTTAGTGCTTCATTTTATTAGAATTATTTTAATTTTCAGTTTATTGGTTTATTGGTTTACAAGAATGTAATTGTAATGGTATAATTTCACAATTTTCTGAGGCATAAATTTTTACTGAAATCAAAATAGAATATGTATAGTGCAGTAAGCTTATAATCATTTCAGTATTTAATGATGGCACGCTGTGTTTCTGCGTTTTCACTGTTAAATTTATATGTGATATTATAAAAAAAGCATGTATACGAATTGAGAGATGAGATTTGATAAATGCCAGTTCCAATTGGGTATGCACTCATGGCTAGCGGGTGCAATTGTTTAAGGTCACAGTAACCTATCCAGTGGCAAGGTATGAAAATTATGCTGAATTAGGCTAAAAAAAAATTCAATTTCAAGACGGATTTTGAGAAATCGGACATATGTTTCTAAAGTCAAAGGTAACCTCTCTATAAATATGACTCCCTATTCAAAGCTACATCCTACATTTTTGTGGATTTTTTTTTGTGTTTGTGTTAACTTTTCATTTTAGTTTTTGATGATAATGATAGATAACCATGACCTATTGAAAGTTTAAAATTTAATTTCTTAACTCCTTTAGTTAGGAAGTTATTTTTACAATCATTTCATGTTTTACTTATGAACAAATTAATTTATACAAATCTTTTTTTTTTAATTTATGGCAGCAACCTAATACCTCCAAGAATATATCATTATCACGATAGAAACTTGCTAAATTTTGAAAGATTATTTGGCAAAATTTGATCAATCACAGAAGTAGATAAAATCACATTCATAAATTAGACTACTACATCGCTATACTAACCTGTAAAATATGATCACCGCTCTGTAATCTGCCATCTCTGTCAGCCACACCTCCGGGTAAAATTGTCTTAACGACAACTCCCATATTTCTCATACCTAATATACCAAATCCTAAACCAGTTCCGTCATTAATCAGATCTATACTCTCCACTTGTGACCATTCACTGCTCATTAAATTGTCGGATCCAGTCTTCGAAGCATCACTTCCAACAGAAGGAGAACGATGGATAATTTCGTCATCGTGTGCATTAAAAGTAGGGTTGTTTTGGAGAATTCTTAATGACTAAAAAAAAAATCAATAATAATTCTCAATAACAATTTAGTGCTACTAAACATATATGTATATAATTATAAATTTTAGTTTTCAGCTATAACCTAGCAAGGTCAAAGCTTTGTCTCCTTGAACTGTTAATTATTGTAATACCTATACTATTTCTCACCTCTGTATTACAAAGATTTCCATTCAGTTTTTGGGTATTGAGCAATAGCATTTTATTATCCGATCCGCTGAAAGTTGATACTTGAGGTGAACTAGGTGAAATTGGAGCAGAGGGTACCCTCTGCTCATCAAAATCTCTAGAAGGAGGGTAGTCATCTGTATAATCCGGATCATATAATTCTCCTGCAGGTGGTACATTTAGTACTAATTCACCTGCAGCTGTAATGTCAAAGTCTACAGGTAAAATCGAAGGATGCTGCCCTAGTTGTTGATTCAATTCACTTAAAGAATCTTGTACAGTGACTATGCTTCTAAAAACTGGATTTTCCAACACAGATATGAGCAAATTTAAATCTTGATATGTATTTACTTGTAGTTTTGGGTCAGTCAGGTCATCCACCGTTTGTTTTATATCTTCCAACAACTGCAATGCACTAGAAATATCTGCATTGAGATGCATCTTTGGAATTGATTAAAACATAAACAGCATAAACACACAACACTTGGGCCAGCGTTTACTTCACAGATAAAAACAATAAACAACTCGACAATAACATTAACATCAAAATAATATAAGCAAATCACAGAACACCAAATGCAAAATAATGGAATAGGTCAAGAAGTGACATGCGTGACATATAAATAAAATTGAGTGGAAGCAGAATGAGCAATACCAACTCCTGATAAACACCAATAGTGTAAAGTAAAAATCCCCATATTATGCGATTACAGCGTCTGTGGAGGTAGAGGAAGGAACTAATTCATTGCATGTCCTTCAACATTTGAGATTGCCGAACGGCGTGTCTATACACCACCCCCCTTCTGTCGTGGATTGGTGGCATTGTGCGTCGAGCGGGCAGTCGCAGGACCCTCTGTGTTTTCAAAGGCTGTTTCAGTTTCTGGAACAGCCAGGACCAACAATGCAATAAAAGACAAATAACAGAAACCTGTCCCTGCGGAACAACTCCGCGCTACCCTAACATACTCACCACCAACATGCAATCGCGTGCTGCTAGAGAGAGATAGTAAATTCCCTCTGAAACTTCTCTCTCTCTCTCTCTCTCTCTCTCTCTAAACCTCCGATACACGCTCGGCAACTGAGACGCTCCCTCTAGTAGTATATGCTCTAAGGTTCAGTCATGTTCCGCCCATCTCTACTTGTTGCATCTCTAATTATTATCGATCCTATTCTTTAACCTTGTCCATAGAAAATATAGTACTAACTATATAACTATAATCTGTTCTCAAAAGTATTGACACTTGACTATTCCTATTTGTAGAAGGCTTTACTTTTAAAATTTTTAAAATAATATATAGAGGATATAAGTGAGAAGTCGTTTGCATACGATAGATGGCGCTGTGATCAGTTCACAAAGTATTAAGTGTTGCATACTCATTAGGAGCTAAGTAGTAGTAAGCTTCCAAAACGTTACGTTTACGTGGCGCTGTTTCGCGGTTTATTGGCAATAGTAGGAACATCATTTCATTCTACGTTAGTTCTATATTTTCTATGACCTTGTCATATCATCAAACAAATGATAGAAAATGTCATGTTTTTTGTACTTTGAACTTTACTATATAATTTGAGCTTTAAACTTTGAAAGTACAAATTTTTATAGACTATTTATAGATTTTATTCCAGGAATTACCTAATACTAAATAATGTTTTCAAATTGTTCCAGACAAATTAGTTCACAGGTAAAATTGTTTATTTTTATTGAGGTTATATTAATCGACAATAATTTTAGTTAAAAAGGTTTAATAGCACATTAGTTATAGCAGAGCATAATAATGAGAGTTTGTTGCCAATAACTCAAAATGCTATTACGGCAGCCAAGAAATTAGGTGGTGATATTTCAGTTTTAGTAGCAGGAACAAAATGTGGACCAGTAAGAAGTAAGTTAAATGTAAAATTGAACATTAAATTAGACATAATATTTGTAGGCTTCTGAAGCATTATCAAAAGCCGAGGGACTTTCCAAAGTGTTAATTGCAGAGAGTGAAGCTTTTAAAGGATTTACGGCTGAAAGTTTGACCCCTTTGGTGCTGAATGCACAAAAACAGTTTAATTATACCCACATTATAGCAGGAGCTTCTGCTTTCGGAAAGGCACTTTTACCTAGAATCGCTGCTAAATTAGATGTTTCCCCAGTATCGGATGTTGTAGGCATTAAATCGCCAGATACATTTATTCGTAGTATATATGCCGGTAATGCTATTCAAACCCTAACGGCCAAAGATCCAATTAAAGTTCTTACCGTCAGAGGTACAAATTTTGAGCCTGCACCACTCGAGGGTGGTTCGGTAGCTACTGATAGTCTTTCTGTCGATGGTTGCACAAATGATTTAACCGTCTTTATTAGTCAAGAACTGAGCAAATCCGACAGGCCAGAGTTGACCGGCGCCAAAGTTGTCGTTAGTGGCGGTGAGTAATTTTAGTTCGTGTTTTATTAGGAATAGTAAAACATATTGATTTATATTATTTAGGTCGTGGTCTTAAGTCGGGAGAAAACTTTAAGCTTTTGTACGATCTTGCTGATAAGTTGAATGCAGCGGTGGGAGCTTCCCGTGCAGCTGTTGATGCTGGATATGTACCGAACGACTTACAGGTTGGGCAAACGGGGAAAATTGTTGCTCCTGTGAGTATCTACTGCACATTTAATAAAATTATTTTTTAACTAATTTAATATTATATTGAGAAAGTGTGTTATTGCATTTTATATGCCAAGAATAATTTTTAATTTATAATGGAGAAAAACTTATTTAAATGTTTGACTGATTAACTACATAAAAAAATCACATTTGCCTGTTATATAGGCTGGATAGGCTACTAGTCTCAAACAATCACTTGTGCTAATCGGAAGCGCATCCAATTGGGAGCTTCTAAATGTATTGTCTCATCTTTCTTGATTAGTATACTTTTTTCGTTTCAGTAAAAATTCACGATTCATCCTCTTTAATATTAATTTGAAGAATTCTGATGAAACAAATAAAAAAATATTTATCGACTTTATAAGTATTTTAGGTTTATTATAACACTTTATATGCCTTCTTAAAATATTAGGTAATCTATTGTTTTCAGGACCTCTACATTGCGGTCGGAATTTCTGGTGCAATTCAACATCTGGCTGGAATGAAAGACAGTAAGACAATTGTCGCAATAAATAAGGATCCTGAGGCCCCTATTTTCCAAGTTGCCGATTATGGATTAGTTGCGGATCTGTTCAAGGTTGTTCCAGAACTGACTCAAAAATTATAAATGTATAACCGAATATAAGATGGGTATCAAGTTTATTTTGTTACTTTTGTAGTTCTATTGAACATGCAACTTTATCAAGGAAATAAAACGTTTATAAATATCGTCATTTATTATAAATAGATTCATATAAGAATAACAAAAAAAGGGTATAGTTTGGACGGAATATTTTACGGTGGATAAAACATCACAAGCCTTTTTTAGTCGACAAGTTTTTAAGGTAAAACGAGTAATTTACAAACTGGTTAGAGTAAACATAACGTCTTTGGCTTAATAAATACTTATTTATACAGTAAAATGTGCTACTAAAATCATTAAGCCAAAGAGAAAAAATATATTAATAGAAATATAGACTTAAGAACTTAATGAAATATACGATGTGTCCCGATTTATAGGAATACAGGTCATTAATGTAATAAGTTAACAAATGAAGGTCAACTGTACCATCCTGAAAATTGCAAATCTTAAACCTGTATATCATCTAATAACAATTCTTTACCTGAAAATGAATTACATGATCATCAGAGAGCGGACAATTTGTGTCTTTAACCTTGAACATAGATATGTCATTCATAAACCTAGATACATTATCCATGACGCAGTGGCATGCCGGGTATGCATCGGAAATTTACGTGATAATTCACGAAAATTCCACGGTACATACATTTTTAGGCGTTATAAAATATTTAGAAAATCAGAAATTGTATACTACATATTTATTAAATGAAGTTCGGTTAAAAATAGTGTCATTCTTTTAATTGTAAATTAGGAGTCAATGTGACGAATATCCTCGGGCGACGCACATGATAGAATAGTCCAACTCACGCTCCATTCATAACAGGGCTGCAGTTTGAATTCTGACCAATAGGAATTCGATAAACACAACCGATGTCGACTGATAGACTAGAGATGGGCGCGAGTGTCATTTCATTTCTTTAGAACTAAATTAACTTAATTATTTTCTCGTTATTTAACCTGTTCACATGATTTATGGATTTTAAATAAAGGGTACAAATCTTCGCGAGGATAATACGATATATTTGCTATACATAATAATTATATTTTGCATAGTTTATACACAATACATTTTTGAACGCGTACACATCTCTACCAAAATTTGACCTATTCTTCGGGTTAAAGACACATTGTCCGCTCTCTAATGATCATAAAATGCCTCCCTCTGCCATCTTCTGTAAAGATAGTTGATATATTTCAATTAGTTTCTTATTTTAGTGCCATGTGATTAGATAATGTTGGATAGAAAAATTGCTAATACAATTTTTTTTAAATTAACACCTAAAAAAATTAGCAGAGTGAATTTGCCATTTTGAGAAAGTTATAGTTATCAAATACGCACTATATAATAAAAACTATTTGAACTGCCATTATTTTATGTAAATTGTTTGTGTACCTATAAAACGGGACACACTATATTTAAACCAATTTTACTGCATAATATAGTTGGAAACGCTTTCTAGTTACTCCAAGTAAATCTTAACATTCCCAAATATAAGAGTAAAATCCGCTAAATACTTCAAAACAGAATACAAAAATATAATTCTTGTTAAAAATGAGTTTCCACCTAAAACTAGAAATATTAAGATCATTAACAAAAAATATATATAATTTATACTTATTTGGTTCACAGAAGGTACATTTAATTTTCTTTAAATGAACACTTTACATTGCAGTGTACTTTTAAATTCTATTGCAGTCGTCGAAATGTAATAACTGATATATTGATTATTTTATGTCAGACTAGGTCCTTATCAATGATATATACATATTTTATCGATAAGAAAATATCCATATGGTGCATATTAAAAAATATATAATACACTAGTTTGGAAATATATAAATATATCAACATTTGGTAATAAGCAAAATGCACTAAAGGCACCAGGTCATATTTCATTTCTGGAGTCACTAAATTGTTTAGATCAAAATTATATCACGTTTATAGAAGACGGGACTTTATAAATATGTAAAAAAGAATTCAAGTGATTTCACACACTTGTTACGTCAGCATATAGATTCAATAAGAGATTCCAAGGGATCCATTTCTTTTTATGAACATACAGATCTTTCATAAGTTGATATATTCCATCAATTTTTCTGATGGACAGTCCCAGTTAATATATAAATCGGCTTTTTATGAAGACAGACAAAGAAACCAATGGATGGAAAGAGTTTAAATTATGTCACATATATAATTAACTACATATCATTATTTTATTTTCTAGGCAGTATTTAAATGTAATATTAAAAAAAAAGAAACAGAAAGGGGGTTCATTTATAAAATGCTTTCATAATTTGAGACTGTGTGAACCCGGTTTTAAATTAATATAAAAAAGAATATATAAATTCCCTGATGTCCAGATCTATGGAAATTCTCAATAATTCCCATTTTTCTACATTAGTGTACACCCCGTAAAAAATATTCTAGATGCTGAAGATAATAACGAGATAGTGAATGATATTCAAGGTAGAAGTTATAGGAACAAATTACATGTCTAATTTAAATTCAAAAACTCAAGCATGTCCTTTAGGCATAAAATCCTTCATAGTTTAAGGTGTTTTTGCTTTTCCTCTTCCTCGACATTTCAAAGAACGAGGAAAGCGGAACAATCAACATGGGCACAGAGTTATTCATAGAAATTAAATATACAGACTTATGTAAGGGTAAAATCTAAAAGAGAAGAGAGTTGACCCTTCGCTTGCGAGATAGTTGAGTAAGTCCATTATCTGTACACAAAGGGGAAACATATTTATGCAAGTGATCCCTGAGCTGAGTTCGGGAGCAGTATAGCGCCACTATCGAGAGGAGGGGGAAGATGGGGATTTATAATAAAAGACTGAGGAATGACGGTTAGTACATTAGAAAGAAATTTATCTACCTTGGCGAGCGACGTTGCCCAACGGCCTATGACTGGCCTTTCACCATTTGAACACACCATGGAAGAAACTAGTGATTTATATTATACATCAATTTCATCCAATAATTTTGGAAGAATACAGTAAATTGTTTAATTGATTTTAAGCAGCCAATTTTAAACATTATTCGTAATTTTCAGTCTTGAGGTAACATTCACTTTAATTTATAAATTTTGAATTTATATTTAAAAAAACCTTAAAAAAATTAAGTGGTGACATTTACTGAAACTATATTTCTGTAGACTTTCCAAATCCAGAAATCAAAAATATATTTTTTTGAACAATCAAAAATGCAATTACTTAGCTTTCATCAAGTTTAAACTTGTCAATAACCTTAAAATATAACGTGATAAATTTAGGAAAGCAAAAGTAAAAAGGATCTACAGAAATGCTATTTTTTTTTTTGGAAGACCACAACTCAGAATTGATTATTTAGGATAACGACCTATATTTGTACGAAAATATTTCAAAAACGGTATTTTTTTCATGAAAATACCTTGTACACATGCGTAATATCAGCTCCACATTTCCAAAAAACACATTATCATATGTATCAGATGTTCAGGTGTTTCCAGCATAGGCATGTGTCCAGCGTTTGGTATCAATTCTAAAAATGCTCTAGGGATGGTCTGGAAAAATATAAACATCACTTTTTTTTTGTACAAAGTGAATCAAATTCAACGGAATTTCAGGATATCTCAAACTATTACTGACAGAAAAAACTGGCGACACATTCTTGATTTTTTTTTCAAAACTAGTGGTTTCAGAGATATCCTGAAAAATAAAATATAAAGTTGGAAAATGGAGATGAAATAGGTTATAAGTAAACAAGTGGGATTTTTTAACGAGAAACCGTTTTAAATTTTTAATAACCAGAGCAGTGTGTCCCCTACCACTAAAATCAACTTTCATCTCGACAGGTTCGTGTTCTTGCTAAAATGTACCGATTTTTATTTTTAATATTTTGTTTGGAAGAAAGTTGTTTTTTTTTGAGAAATTTTGGATAAATAAATATAAGTACTTTTTCATGGTTCAGCATTATTTCTCGCCAAGCACTAAGCTGCACTTGTCTCTAAAAATGGTACTTTAAATGTTAAACAGAATTGAAAATAGAAGACAAATGTAGCTTAAATATTCTTAGATTTTATATCAACACTGATAATAAAGTTACTACTGTGAATTCAATGTGAAAATATTGTCACAAGTAAAAGAAAATGTTACCGTCCACAGCTGGCCAGTTGGAAACAAATGACACTTACTCTTTCCATTTCACACTCCTGAACCAACGTCACGTTCTTATCTTGTAAACCGTGCACTAAAAGCGTGGGTATGAGAATTCTCCTGTGAAAAGCTGCATCTCCATCAGGCCACTTCTGCCCATTTGCAATATTTTGAAGCACATACTCGGGCAGTCCGCTTCCAATATCACACGGCCCAAAATGTTTGCCTCTTGACGAGTAAAAGAAACTTCTGAAATTTGTTCATATATAACATAAAAGTTATTGTTTCATAGCAGAATTTACCTTTTTAAACCACAGTACAAAAGTGGATGGAGGAAATTATAAGCACAGCCGAATGGTGAAATTTCATTTTCTTTTACAGGTGGAGCTAATGGAGTGGGGCCTCCTCCACTTATCAAAATTAACTGTGCAATTTGCTGCGCCCTGTGTGGATATAATGCGGTAACCAAACTACAACTGAAATAAACGTTTGCTTAATTCATGATATTCTGAAAGATGTGTACTTTTTGTTTGTCACTCTGTAATCGCATGTAATAGAATGAATTAAAAATTAAGCGAAAACTAAGAACGTACCCGTAAGAGTGACCTATGAGGATACATTTCCTTTTATCGTCGGTCATGTAATGATCAAATATCGTAAGGGCTTGCAACAGTAAGTTACTGAAAGTATAATAGTTAGATTTGTCCGGAGCGGAACTCAATCCATGTCCCAACATGTCCGGCGCAACAACTTCAAATCCTCGTTGAACTAGAGCATTTATTATTAAGGACCATACTTCGGCTGATGCTCCTATGCCATGTTGTAACATAACTAGGGGTTTCTGGAAGAAATTACACTGCTAAGTAATAATTGCATGAAAATAAAACGACTCGATTAATGACGTTCTTTTAAAAATATTTGATACGTAAATGAAACAGATATAACAAACATTGTGGTATGTTTATTAATTAGCGATTTAACATCTTCGTGTGAAAAATTTATTATTATTTTAGTGTTAAGACAAGTGTTTGTACATTCAATATTTTCTTTTTTTTGCATTCTTCAATTGCATTCAATAAATTTAAAGGATCATTTTAGGAAGTGATTAGTTAATTTTTAACAAGTACGTGCTGTGTTATAGAGAAAAAAAATAAAATTATATTTTGAAATGTATTCTGCAAATTTCCTGACTTCACTTTCCTGCTCTTAAGGTATAGGGGATACCTTAAGAGAACAAAAGTGCTAATTTTAATATGCTTGTAAAAGGACACACATGTAAATGTCCCAGTGTTTCCACAATGAGTGGAAACACTGGGTATTAGTATTCATAACAAATTAGTGTTTCACTAATCGAATTTTAAATATTTACACATTTTATTTAAATTATAACTTCATTCTATAGTACAAATAAAAATTATTCAGAGAACAAAAATGAAATTGCTTGCAAGAACCACATACCTACGTATATATAAGTATAACTGGTATAAGTATAACTGGGAGGGAGGGGTCAGTTTTTAAAGGAGAATAATTTTTCTTTAAACTGCATTTAAACCCTTGGCTACATGGCTACACCCTACCTATTGTATGAAAAGTATGAAAATAAATAAGAGGGTGGCAGCAAGTGAAACTTCAATGGAAAATAATTTTGAAAAACAGATTGCTTTTGTATAACTGTAACATTAATTTGTAATTTTAATTATCATATTTTTTTGTCAATGCGACAAAGCACTGAACATTAAGAAAACAACTTCAAGTGTTTTTAAAAAATAAATATATGATGCCTGTTTATTTCAGTAACTAATAACTTTTATGTGGGGGTATATACCCCCATGTTAATTTATATGCAATTTTTGCTATTCATTATAACTATTTTTGATAATCTATAGCTTCATTAAAATATAGAAATTGTTCTGAATATTCACGAATGAAACGTTCCATAAAAGAGAAAGTTGTCATTATTTTCAGTGAAATTTAGTGTAGAATTTATTTCCTGCACCAGATATCGTCTATTTATGCACATACTTTCTTCAATACATTTCATATTAGATATCAATTATAAATAAAGGGAATTGATGCTTTATCTCTTAATATTTTAATAATGGGTGGTTTTATGTAGATTTATATATTAAAATAACCTCAAAACAGATTATTTAAATAAAAATGGAACAACACTCACCTTTTGTACTTTTTTATGAACACATCTCTTAAATCTGGAGTCATCTACACTATTTTTATTATTTTCACTTGGGTTTGCTGCAGATTTTATATTTTCAGTATCTTTCGTGGACGGTTTAAATTTTCTTCGTAAAGTTACGATAACGTCATCTTCTGTAGTTTCGTATGCTAAATTAGTTTTTCCAGTCTCATTTTTACTCTTTAAGATATAATATTCTTGAAACGCTTCGAAGAAAGTGTCTTGTATTAATCTTTCGACAAAAGTTTCTACATTTTTTATTTTAGTAGGAGGTAGATCAACACTTAGTACACTAAAAAATTTTATTACGTTGTACTGTTATCATAAAATCCATATGGGGCACTTACCTTTCCCTTTTCCCTGCACTTTGTACTATAGGTTGGTTTAAAACGACTGAATATCTCATAGAGCGACGGAATGAACAGTTGCAGTTTCCTATTTTTAAAGGCTTGTTCCATTTCGTAAACCAGTATTCCTCACTTATAGAACTTCGTTTTGAAATTCTGTTTGGATCATTAATTACTGGTTGTGTTAATAAAGACTTACGTATTGTTCCTGGATAAATATGCAAAACACGAATATGTATCTTAGAATTGATTACGATAAATTCGCAGTCCTTTGGAACACTTGGATCCGAGGGATATACCCGTTGTCCAACGTTTAAAGTAGAAAGTAATGTTCTCCAGGAATCGACTACTTTGGAAATACACCCATTGGATTCTGGTAATGTTTCTTCAGTCATTTTTCCTTAACTATGTCACACCCATTTTTAATTAACAGCTTAACTTCTTTATTAATCTACCTACACTGTTTGAAACTCATCAAGCACATTTCCTAGTACTGAAACAGTTGTTAACATAACTGTACTGTTAATTTCCATAACCATTCAGCAGAAGGTACCTGGAATCAAAATGAAAAGAAAACTATCCAGAAATTAAATCCTATCATCACGTGAAAAAGGCTTAAATAAATATTTTTAATGCTTTTTAGTACCTGTTATTTAGCCCAACCTATTGTTTACCGTTTTAAATTTCTTTGTCCAGGACCGTACCATAACATTTTTTTCTCTTACGTGACTCGAATCTCGAATTAAAACTTTTACTAATCGGTGTGTGACTCGAATGTTTTTAAGAAGGAAGTAGTCAAATCTGACTCTGAATTGGTAGTCAGATAGTTTAACGTGTTTGTCGAAAACATCTTCTATTTGTATCTTTTCAAGTAGTCCAGATTTCGTAAGTTAAGTTTAGTGATGTAGTAATAAAAGTTAATAAATCGTACATAAATAAATGTTAGCATTTTCCAGAAAAATGTTTAAAATTAAACAATTTGGGTGCAGTAATTTGATCCTTGAAACAAAAAAGCCCGCAAAACCAATCTTTCCTAATTTTAAATTTAAAATGTGTATCTGAAAGTGTAAATACGTCCCTGTTCCTGTAGATTTCAGATTGGCATTTCTGCATTTAGTTATATTTGTTTTTCGGCTTTGTGTTGGCAACAGCCGGCAATTCGACGTTTGACAGGCAGACGAGCAAGCTTGGTTGCAATCAAAAATTTGTACAAATATTTCTTTTCGGTAAAATTCTTTTGTCCAAATTATTAGGTAGTTTGTGAAATGTCAGACAACGAAGATGATTTTATGTGCGATGATGAAGAAGATTACGGTTTAGTAAGTATACGTTTAACTTAAATTTGTCTGTATAACCTAAAATATATTGACATTTTGAGATATAAATATTACATGTTGCTATTTTGATATAAAAATATAACGTTGTATTTCTCTTTGCAGGAATATTCGGAGGATAGTAACTCTGAACCGGACGTGGATTTAGAAAATCAGTACTATAACAGCAAAGCACTAAAAGAGGATGAACCTACAGCAGCATTAGCTTCCTTTCAAAAAGTTTTAGATCTAGAAAGTGGAGAAAAAGGAGAATGGGGATTCAAGGCCTTAAAACAAATGATAAAAATAAATTTTAAATTAGTAAGTCTTGAGCCAAAACTTGTTTACATTTGATAATCCTTCTCTTTCAGGGAAATTTTGAAGAAATGATGACTAGATACAAACAACTTCTTACTTATATAAAAAGTGCTGTAACAAGAAATCATAGTGAAAAATCTATTAACTCAATTCTTGATTATATTTCTACATCACGAAATGTAAGTTTTATTTGAAAAAAATAAAAAATAAAAATATATTTAAATTCACCATTACACTTTAGATGGAATTATTACAAAATTTCTACGAGACAACTTTAGAAGCTTTAAAAGATGCAAAAAATGACAGGTTATGGTTTAAAACTAATACAAAACTAGGAAAACTATATTACGATCGAGGAGACTTTAACAAACTAGCTAAAATATTAAAACAATTACATCAGTCCTGTCAAACTGATGATGGTGAGGATGATTTAAAGAAAGGTACTCAGTTACTTGAAATATACGCGCTGGAGATTCAAATGTATACTGCCCAGAAAAACAATAAGAAATTGAAGACTTTATATGAACAATCATTGCATATTAAATCTGCTATCCCACATCCTCTTATTATGGGGGTTATAAGAGGTAGGTACACTTTTATACAGGGTGTAACTTGGAGTGGAGATTATATTTATATGGTCCTTTAAATACACATATCGTAAGATTGTGTCTTTAAATTCTGTTGCGAAAACTGATTTTTTTTTTTTAAATAATTTTCATCATACTCCGCTGGACAGGCTAATGTGACATCAAACAACCATGAGTGCATACCCATTTGTTACGGCATGCATTGTCAAATCCCATCTTTCTTTATTTACTTATTTTATTCATAATAACATAATTTAACAAGATACATAACTTTATAAGATTATTGTGGCTATGACGCTCACTAACGACTCGTTTGAAAGACCAGATCTCACCTGTGAACGAAATGAATCGAATCACGGAGAACTGAAAAACTAGTTTATCGGCTCTCGTTTCTGTGTGTCATTTATTCGCTCTGAGTCATTCTAAATCAAACTAATCGGCCATAATCAGTGAGATGTTCATTTTGTAAACCTGTATCTACAAAGGTTTAAAAATTTTCAGATCTGTAAGAATATTAACAAAATATGAATATATATTGTAGTTATAATTAACTAATTACTAACTACTGCTAGTTATTTCATATCATTATTAAATTAAATAAAATAAAAAAAAGGACCAAAAAACAAAATGACATGATCTGTCACCAATTCATTCGGTCTTCCAATTGGATTGGATTTAAAAGAAAAGTCAATCAAAATGGGCAAGAAAATTTGTTAAAAAAAATGGAAACCTTTGAAATGCTTATAAAAATATGGAATATTATTAAAAATATAATCGAGGTAAATTATTAGATAAACTTTTACAAAAATATAGGATTTTCAATTATTTATCTGAAAAATATATTTTTTTAACTACAGAAAATTGTGCAGCATTTCTCTTTGTTTTAAATAGAGACCCTTTACTCAGTAAATAAGATTATCGGAATCAGGAGTTCCTTAACTTCTTTTCTAATTTGATAGTGAAATGAATTGACTAAAATGATTACCTACTTAAAAAAGTTATGATAAAATTTTTCAAATTAGTAACTCATTTTTAGATTGTGGTTAAGAATTTAACAGAATGATGTATGATTTCCTTTTTGCTTCTTCTTATGTCATCTCATTTTCTATAAAATTATGAAAAAAAAAAAAAATCATAAAAAACCTAAAAAACCAAAAAATAACTCAAAATTCAATTAATTTTGTATCTGTGTACTTTTCTGTCTTCTGTTTTTTAGAATGTGGAGGTAAAATGCACTTGCGAGAAGGGGAGTTTGAGAAAGCCCACACGGATTTCTTTGAGGCATTCAAAAATTACGATGAATCTGGTAGTCCTAGACGCACCACCTGTCTTAAATACTTAGTCCTAGCAAATATGTAAGTTGACGTAAGTTTGTATTCTTTTCAAATATATCGCCTTATTTTCAGGTTAATGAAATCTGGAATAAATCCCTTTGATTCTCAGGAAGCGAAACCTTACAAAAACGATCCAGAAATTTTGGCAATGACGAATCTAGTCAATGCGTACCAAAATAACGATATAAATGAATTTGAATTTATTTTAAAACAGAATAGGCAGAATATTATGGATGACCCGTTTATCCGGGAACATATTGAGGGTAATTTAGGATTACGTTTACATTTATATAAAAATTTTGAGTCGTTACAATTGTTGGTTATATGAAATCGCGAATCACAATATGCGTTCGATCACATCTTGACATTTTTCTCGTATTTTATGAAAAAGGTATCAAGAGACAAAAAAGTTTCTAAATTTAATGGCTTTCTAGCGGGCTAATAATTTTTAAGAAATTTAAATATGCAACCAAATTTTTTTGGCTCCAAAGACAAAGGGGCCCATGAAAAAGTGTCTTATGGGGATTCCCTGCCAAAAATAAAAAAATACGGGTCCCGTAAATTTATCTTAAGAATCTGTGACCAAATTTTGCTGCATTAATTTCGGATCACCCTGTATAACCCAATAATAGATCAATTGATTTTCATAAACAAATTATTAACTATTTTAAATTTACAGTTACTGACTTCATTTTGTATAAGATCTATATATGAATGTTACAGTAGTAAATATATGCTGTAATTGTACTTAAACCTATATAACTTATGATTTTTAATACATTCTGACTTGCAAGCTTTGAAGCCATATCTCGTTATCTCAATTTCAAGATGCCTAGAAAAACGTAATTAAAAGGGATTACTTAAGATAAAAGACTGTGATTATAAATCATGCTTATTGAGTGCATTAAAAAATTCAACATTTTTAGCTACAGAATATACATTTTTTGTCAAACAAGCAAATAAGTTATTAAGAAAGAAACTTAAAATCTACGTTTTCTTTAACCTTCAAATTGGCAAATAAATATATATTTCTGTCTGTCATGATAACCACGAGTATTAAATGAAGGTGGATTATTCCATAGGCTTATATTACATAAATTGTTCATTTTTAGTTATGAATCCGTATCCTTACAGATGTCCTTTAACCCATTTCTATCCCTACCTAAAGTGTATTGTAAGTATTGAACGTTTTCTTTCCCTCGATTCTAAACTTAAGTTTTTTAAGAAAATATTTATTTTATATGAAACTATGTTCTTCAATTAGGGAAACTGTAATTATATTGTAATTTCAGATTTTGATAAATATTTAAATTCGTAAATTCGTTACAAATTTTTTGCTAAATATTTTCTGTTTTGGTAAAATTATCCTTAAAATAAATAAAGCACTAAAAGATGGCATTTGCTTTTGCCAATATATTCAAGATTGTCATCTTGTTCATTATGCATTACTGCTTTATAGGCATGTTCGTTCTCGAAATTTTTTTTGTTATCTTTTAAATTATTATTTATTCCTAAATTCAGAATTTCCTTTGCACCATCTATCATCTCCAAATTTTCCTGATGTATATTAGAGAGTAAATATGTTAAAAATTGCCACTTTTTTAGATCTCTTAAGGAACATCAGAACCCAAGTACTGATTACATTAATAAAACCTTACACTAGAATACAAATACCTTTTATTTCGACAGAACTGAATATCGATGTCTCTGAAGTTGAAAGTTTGTTAGTCTCTTGTATATTAGATAAGTAAGTATATGAGTCGCTTGTCGCAAACGGCGATTGATGCATTTACCGAGTGGTATTATTGATTGTAGTATTATTTTCAGTACAATTCAAGGGCGAATAGATCAAGTAAACCAAGTGTTGTTCTTGGAAAGAGCAACCGTAAACACTGCAAGATATAACGCTTTAGATAGATGGGCAAATCAGTTAAATACGTTACATTCGTCTATTATAAATAAAATGGCGTAAACACGATAATTAAAATATTGTAAAGAAGTGATAGCGCTTTGCGCCTCTTTTATTGAATTTTAAGGAAATTACATTGAATCATGATTGTTGTAATAAGTTTTCTTCTTTTTTGTAGATTCATTAATTTATTAGATTTGTTTTATTGTATGTATAATAAACAATTATGCAATTCAGTTTTTCTAATTGTTAACATTTTCTAATAAATAGGAATTAATTATAGCCGAGGTTTTCTTTTTATATAAATCCCTGTAGATATTTTTCCTTACAGATGCATACAATTTTTGCTGATACAGGTGGAGAATTAATTTCAATAAAAAATAGTTAAGTATGCAACAGGTCTGTAAAATAACATTTTTTCTACTAAAAAATGTAAGCAACAATCCAGTATGCACCAGTATTATGTACGGTTTTTCATTTACACATTAGTGCTTAAAGTGAAATAAGATTGTAAGGTTATTTTCCCATATCTGTCAGCAGTGTACAATTTAATTAATTAAATATTTACTGTATACTAAGACATAACAAAATATTTAATATATAAATAACTGATTATAAGTGTAACTTTAAGTAGGGGTAAGTTTGTTTACAGGCAATATGTTAAGAGGGCTCTATAGCAAATAGGCAACCAACAATACATTTTTATAGATTTTATTGCACAGTTTGTCTAAATACGAATGAATGCACATATAACAGACTCTCCCATTTTAAAGCAGAATTTCTATGAAATGGACTTAATTTGAAACTCAAATTACTTTTTGGTATAAAGTTTGTAATTTGCCGCGTTTGAACAGGCGGCATCGCAAATTTAGCCAAACTGCAATAAAATCTATAAAAATGTATTGCTGGTTGCCTATTTGCTATAGAGCCCTCTTAATATATTTATATTGCATTTCGAATTTGATTCTGTGCTTATAAAAATTTTTTGGCACTTATGTCCAAAGTACATAAGGTCGAAATTCGATCTAGTAAAAATACTGAGAAATTCTTCATGACAATGTGTATTATGGGGTTACCCAGTATTTGGCGTATGTCACGTCACTACTAAAAAGTCTGAACAATGCAGATACAACTGAAACAATGTATTTTTATATATTGTGAAATCTGTAAATATTTAATTTATTTCGACACTATACATATTTTAATGTGCAATGTTCTCTTGTTATATTATACTACTATTAAATTATAAGAAGGACAAAGAAAATAACACGTAAAATATACATATTAAAATTCCCTCCTTGGAGTGATTTAATTTTGATTATACAAGGTGTTTGTAAATAAATGCGAAATATTTTAGAAGGTGGTTGCGAAGTTATTTTGTGAAAAAAGTTCCTAAAAACGTGGGTCGAAATATGCTTCGTTTCTGAGATACAGTGTTTAAATTTTACTTTTTTATTTATTTTTATTAATTAAGTTTTAAAGATATTGACTCGAAATTTGAAAAAGGATTTGGAGCGATAAATGTGCACTTTTTGTGGTCATCCGAATATTTCTATTTGCACCAGTGGCGTTTGTGCGAGAATGCAACAACCTTTTTTTAATAAAAAAAATGGTATGCTACTGACCTTTTCCCGTTTTGATATTTACTTAGAAATCCACCATCAATTCTACATGAAATTGGTCCCTTCAATTTTTTTCGTAGGATGCACCGTTTTTGAGGAAAAAAATTTTATTGCAACTTGTGTATTTTTAATTTTTATTGATACATTATCTAGTAGGTTGCTGTCAATATTTCTAAATAAAGTACAACCATCAAATTTCGAGTCAATATCTTTAAAACTGAAATAATTAATAAAAATAAATAAAAAATTGAAATTTAAACACTGTATTTCGGAAATGAAGCATATTTCGACTGACGATTATATGAACAAATTTTTTCATAAAATAACTTCGGCAACTCCCCCTAAAATATTTCGTACTTATTTACAAACACCCTGTAGATATTTTTTTCGTAGTGTTTATTTCTCAAGATATTTGAAAGTTTTCAGGTTAAAAATATCACCCGGTATATGTATACGTATTACAACTGATTTTGTTGAAATGTAATCAGCAAATCAATTTATTAATGATTTGCTTTTATCTTATTACTAATTCTGTTCTCAGATTATCACTAGATGTCAACAGATAAATTAATCACAAAGAGTAAACATTTTCCAAGTCGTAACTACGTCACAAATTTTCTTCGAGCTAAGGTGCAACTGAAATTCTACGATTTCTGACTCATTTTCGTCTAAAATCTTAAGTTTCGAGCTCTTGTTTTTGGTCTTGTTGTTATTTAATAAATGGACTGTTTTACAGCTAATAAGAAAAACACAAATGTGCATCTGAACCACCGTGACGTCGATGTTTTCGCAGGCAAAATTATTTTCTGTAATTTTGGCAGACCTTTTATCTTTGTACCCCACCATATATCCTTAGACATATTATTTTAGAATACCTACCGAATCCTAAAATGAAATATAAAAATATAAAACGATATGGACTTGTATCAGCATTCCACTTTTTCTCACGAGGCTATTTATTGTAGGTATATATGATTTTTTATCACATTCCGTATTACCACAAGTTTCCGTATATTGCGCGGTCGTATGCTTTTACACGTGCATATGGCGGTTAGTTCGACTTTGTCGTCATAAAACTTCTCGAATGTTATGAATTAATTATTATTAATACCATTTTTACTATAAATGTATCTTGTATAGTGCATAAGAGCATTTACACGAATGTCGTGGTACTTTGTTGTGGTTTATTTCTGTTCTTAAATGTAAGTTAATACTTTTACATAAAATATTGTCTGAGTTATTTATTTTTACCTAGTATAGTTTCATAAGACGAAAACATATATTTTCGAAAAGTTAACAACTTTTTAAAGTGCGCGATGTAGTGATGCATTTTTTATATTTTGTATTTGTCTGCTTTTTTCAGTGATCACTCATTTTCATTGATTTTTTAACTTTTTCACAGGTGGTAAAATACCCAATAAATAAGAAAAAACTTTAACCAACACCGCTCTTTCCGAATTCGGGGTAAAAAATATGGGTCCTTTTTTAGAAAAAAACAAATGATCTTGAACACAATCCTCAAAATCAAATACAATGTCACCAAGTGATGACCCCCGATGACCTCAGCAACTTTTATAGAAGTAATTTCCTGATATCTCGCTGTCTTGACGAGTTGTTCAGGTAAATCCATACTTCTGGGTATATAGGGAATATGGAAGCATTCTTTCAAACTATAAGCCTGGTATTTTTTAATTCTGTAAAGAGATTAATTTTGTCTTTTCTATATAACTTCCGGATTTTCCATTATATCCCAAACGTATATCTTTTTAAATGGGATATCCTAAATGTGCCATGAATTTATCCTTTGTATCAATAAAAAAAAAAAAAATACCCGGCATAATTAATTTACAATAATTAACAATAATTTTTTGTTTCTATATGATGTTGCGTTAAAAAATTCCAGCCTGATATCTCGGAAACCAAAAGAAATATTTAAGTAGTAAAACAATGTCGTGTAATGAATAGGCATGACTTCATTTTTACGAATTTATGAAATCTGTAAAAACTTTGTAGCAATAAATTAATATCATTGCATGTATATCATTGACAAACTTAAAAAATGCTCCCTTTTCAGCGTACGATTTAATATGTCGCTCATAAGAAAAAAGCTTGTTAAGGATTTTTCATACTCGGCTTTACTAGAAAAATAAATCGAACTTTATTACAATCTTCTTTTGGCGCCTATTTTGTTTCAAATGGCAATAAGTTAGAGTCGATTTCGTATCTTCGATAATAACGGAGATACAACACCGCGCTTAGCTTGAAGCACCCTGTGTACTTATTAAATACAGTATATTTCACGTATGTGTATTGTTGATTAGAACCGTAAATATAAGTACTTAAAATCGCTAAAGGGCAGTCTTTAGCTTAAAGCAACGCTAGCAAGTTTCTCCAGAAAATGTGCAGTCCCCGAGACATTCCATTGGAAACAGAGGCGTACCGGCCTTGGGGGATCCTAGAAAATTTCCCAAAGGAGATGCTACTGTTAGTATTGAAAAACCGTTTCGGATGTGTGTACTTTGAATTATTAAATTCAATTTAAATTGAGACTGGTTTAGGATATTATATTTTATATAATTTATAAACTACCGCGAACTCGTGGCGTTAAATATTTTTTTTCAACAGGAGTAAATGCGTAATCATTATGAGACATTAACTTGTGGTTACTGTAGTTCAACTCATTAAAATATGAAATATGCGTAATCAATTTGCAATGCAACAATTTTTTTAAATTTTATATTTTCTGCAAATCTACACAAAAAATAATACATACTTTTGGCATGCATTTTGAACTCTTTCCGTTTTTGAAATAAAATACAGGGCGTTCCATATACAAAACAAAAGTTGTGGTCATATCACAAAAACTAAAAATTTTATCGCATATTTTTTTATGCCATCGAATGTATATGCTCGAAAACGATAACCAAAATGTTTACAACTGAGAAAAATAGTGATCGACTTCTGCACATAAATTGGAGGTTAATAATTGTAACTGCAATAAAACGTTCCAGAAAAAATGAAGTGTAAATTAGATTTCTTTGAACGAATAACCACCTGTAACATTCAAAACACCATCATTATCCCACCCCTTCGCATTTAAATCTGATTATCAAATTTATTACATTATCCTCGCTCTAAACATTTCACCCCTACAATTCCAAATGAACGCTTTCACTGCTACCGTTAAAGTGTATTTATTTTTCGTTAAACTATCTATATTAAGGAATTGAATATAATTTCCGAATGTTCACGGAACTTGTTAGGCGAACGAATATTGGTGGCGATAAGAACTCTGATTCGTAAACTTCGCAAATTAACACCCCACTTGGAAAACAATGTAAATTAGCATGACAATTTTTTTTCAATGAATACTAAATATTTTATTACGCAGTTAGTTGTGCTTCTTGTATAAAATGTACTGCATTAATTCGATAAGACTTTTAAGAACAAAATTCTGAAGTTATTTAAATTAGCTTAATATCTTCATAATGGTCGTTATACCCTTAAAGACGAACGGCACTGTTCGACATTTTATGAAAATATCTTTATTCAAATTAAATCTTCTCCCACATAAGCATACTATCACTATACCTGTAAAAAAAACATACCTGTAAACTATACCTGTAAAAAAGTTATAAACCAAGTTAAACTATATTTATACAGGGTGTCCCACGGTGACGAGACATTAGACATACTGCAGAGACTACTTCGATTTTAATTTTGAAAATTTTGGCAATAGTGTTTTCGGGCATGCCCTTTTCAACTAAACTAATGGCGTCCACCTAACGCGTCCGGTTATACCGGAAGTTGACGTCATCTTCGTTATATTATTGCAATTTTGGATTCTACGTCAAATTTTAGGTTACCTGTTCTTAAAGTTAACCGCTTTTGAATATATTGAATTTGTTTTCAAAAAAAATTTAAAAAGCACTGCCTAATTCAAAAGATGTGTATTTTACAATAATAAAGTTAAAGCGATAAAATTTATAGGGGACGTAACTTAAACTCTAAGCTTTCCTGCCATAATTTCAAAACGACTTAATTTCATATAGGGTGGTAGAAATTTAATGCCAAATTTTGTCAACTTTAAACCATCTTAGCTAATTTTTTAAATGGAACACCCTGTATATTTTTACGCAACCTGATGAACCATTTTGTTCTCTTTCGAATGGAATACTGGGTCCCTATACCTATCTCTTCTGATTTTTAAGGTATTTACTGTTTTTCGTGCAGTCAACGGATATCGCATAATTACTTGCGAGGATGGCTGTGAAATTTTTAGTGGAGCTTCAAAACAACAATCTAATCTGTCACCAGTTTATTGTTGTCAATTTAACACATACAGTGAATGTTTGAGTATTATTTATTGTTAAAGAATGGAAAACGTTAATATTTATTCTAAATTTAGTATTTATTCGTGAAGTGTCACAAGATAATAAATATGACTAAATAGACAGGCCGTTTAATTTAAAATGAAGTCAATTTTCGGTATAACCGGAAGCGTTTGGTGGACGCCATTATTTCAGTTGAGAAATATGTCTAATGTCTTGTCACCGGTTGACACCCTGTATAGGACTCGCTATTATGCTGCAGAACAACCTCCTTTGGCAAGTGACATTACACAACCTTATCGGTTTCAAATATGTGGATTCGGAGAATTGTTTCCTCGATTTCAATAATGCTTGGTTATTGGTCTTCAGAGTCAGCGTAAATAAAAATAATATCAAGTTGCCGCGTGTTCCTTCAGGTTTATTTGTAAATAAACAGGGCAGAAATTCGTCACCGAGTTATATATATATAATATATTATGCTATCTCAAAAAAATGCTATGTATTTTTGTATGTTATTTATACTATTATTATTTATACAGTTAGCCATTTATACCCATTCCGCTAGGTGACTTAACCAATGCAATAAGGGAGAGATGGCCTTGAAATACAAATGGTATTAACCAAACAAAATGTAAAAATAAAAATTTTCTAATGAAACGTAAATTGTCATTCAATATCTACATATTATCTTTCTTTTTAAACTCGATTTTATCGCATTCTTGACAATGTTGATGAAAGAAGAGCAATATCATGCACATTATGCATTGCAATCAATCTTCCTTCTCTCGAGTGCTATTGTAGCATTCTCCATATCCCATACATTACTTAGTACGTCTTCATCTTCTAAAAGTTTTCCAGGTGTCAAATCAAGAATAGAAGACGTATTATCTACTGTAGTTATGCATAGAGCTTCTGTTAATATAGAGCTACAACTGGAAATTGATTTTGTGTTGGTTGATGATCTTCTTTCAAGCGTTTTTCTAGGAATACCATAATTTTGCGAGGCACCCTTTACAGACCAACCAGTTCCAATTGCTCACTTCAGATTTTCTTCAGTATAATTTCCACGCTTTGAGTGTTTTCTTTTATACTTCGTTAGTATTTTTCTGCAATAAATTTGGAATGGAGTTAATTTATGAATAAACAGATGAACAAATTATGTGGCCATCTATCCCTTCCGATTGGAGGCTATCCAAATACTAAGGAGATATGGCCAACAGATCAGATGAGGGGGAAGCCATCAATCCGAAAATAACTCTTACAGAGGGGAATATCGGATAGTGACCTTGGATTTGACCTTCAAGGTCATTTGAAGGTCAATTTTACTTTTTCAAATAGGAATCTCTATTTTTGACCCCGGATTCGGAAGGAGCGCCAAATTTTACGTTTACATAGGTACTTAAGGTTCTATTTTGAATGACCTTTATAGGTTATTTCGAGGACAAAATACTTTAAATTACACACCTGAATATCTCGTCAGGGAAGCCACCAATAATCCCTACGAAAGTTGTTGGGTTCGAAGGGGGTTATCGGATGGTGATTCAATTTGACCTTGACCTTGACCTTCAAGGTCATTTGAAAGTTAAATCTAATTTTTTAAACAGTAACCTCTATTTTTGACCTCGGATTCAGAAAGGGTGCCCTGACGAGACATTCAGGAGCGTAATTTAAAATATTTTTCCCTTGAAATAACCTTTAAAGGTCATTCCAAAGCAGAGCCTTAGGTACCTATCTAAACGTAAAATTTTGCACTTTCCGAATTTGTCTGTTTTTTTTTAATCCATGGACGGATTTCAAAGAGTGTTAAAAATCATTTTAATGCAGAATTAATGGATATTGCTTTCATTTGTGGCAAAATGCATTAGCAACTTTTTTTGATTTGTGGCATTTATATGAATGCATTTGTACATGCCAACGTTTTTTTTGGATAAATTTCGAATCGGTATATTTTCTGCACCAGCCTGTAAAATAATTACTTGTTTTTGGGTTATAATGTCTACGTAAATATATAAAAGAGGGTGTTTGGAATAAAACCTAAAACCATCTTTCGTATTTAAGGTGTTAACAGCTCCATGATAATGATGTAAGGGGCAGAGATGAGGGAGAAGCAAATGGGAATAGTCGGGTTTTGGCGATTCTGGGGGTACCTCTGCCTTGTAACGTGTAGAGTTTATTTCATGCTTACAGTTTACAATAAAGTTGAGTGATGATGAGAAATGTGAGCATTTTTCTCCGTTGTCAAGTAGCGCAAAGCCGTTCAAGCGTTCACGGTAGTGTATAAAGCCGCAA